ACGAGTTATCTTCTTAGTGCTCGATCTCAGCTTGTTCACTTTATTTCTCTGTCTTGTTACTACAACCCCCTTGTCAGAAAAATATCACCAATTTAAGCTTCTTGTCTTTAGTCATCATCGTGTTTATATCGAATAAATTTAAAATAAATTTGAAATAACTATTTTTTATTTTATCAATTTTGCAATATGGAAAGTAATATGTCTTGTTGATGGGTAGTATATGAAAATTGTGGTTTATGGATGAGTTGATAAGAATGACTGTTTTATTTCTATATCCCGTCCGGGAGGGTCATAACCATCCGTCCCCGAAGCGGGATTCAAAATTATGACCACGGCCAGTCCCCAGATGGTTGACGTAGATAGTAAAAGTAAGTCGTCGTGGTCGTGTCTTTACAAATCGTCAAGTCGCTGACGATTTGTATCGTAAAAACGTGACAGATTTGTGTACGCGTTCTGGGAACTGTCGTCGAGTTTCGGGTGGTATTCGATGGTTCCGCCCTCGCCGGGGCGGATTTTGCTGGCGCAGCACCTCGCGCCGATTACCGAAATTGGTCTAGAAAACCGGAGAGGAGGTTTTACGACTCCCGACGACACCTTCCGCGGCGCCTCCAAACGTTCAGAATACCAGCTTTTTTGACGTCTCGCGTCTCCCGTTGATTTACTTTTATTGTCTTATTTACATTCAACCCTCGCGGGAACGCGCAATCCGTTCCTCCCCGGGTCTCCGGCGGATAATACCGATGCATATTTCAGGGTCGTTTCTAAACCGTCGGTAATACCGGATTACGGCGAAAAATCGCACTACGGAGACCAGTAAAAGAAGCCAAGAATCTGGGCCTTATTGTCTGTGAAATTAAAACGAAAGGGTTGACTTTCTAAAACACCCACCGTTCGACAATTACACTTAAAAGAATCTCATTTCAAATATACTCTTTTTATTTCTTATAATTAACACAAATATATATATAAATTTTTGTTATTTCGACACTTATTTTTATTATGGCAAAATCATAAAAATTCATATACTTGTTTAAGTTTCATGGTCAAATTTTTTGGGCGTGATTTCTTCTGCATCTTTCTTTCCAGAAAGATCTTAGGATTCGTGGCAATACCGTATGAGTCATCAATAAGAGTTAAACATTTATTTTTAATGGTATCAATTTTGGCCACTAAACGCAAAATATAAAGACTATGTACAATTAAGGCATAGAATTGTGTTATTCAATGTCAGTATTTAGTAGCAAAAAATCGATAATGCGTAAAATGATCTTCACTTATCGGAAATAACAGCAATTTCCTGGTTGCTATATTTGTGCTCTCTAACCAGAAGCGATTAACTATGGGACTAATACATTATGAATGCAAACTTGATCTCAACTCGATATTAGATAAAATCGTTCATTTGATGTCTTGGAAAGTAAACTAAGTGCACAATACTGAAATAAGAAATCGTTTATCTTCACTTCGCCGAGGTCGCTTGCGGGCGAGGTGGCAGGACTGATTCATTATAAATACAAACCTTAATTCATGAGGATTTTGTATTTAGGAGCTATAAATAGTGCAGAAATTTGGCAAAACGATATCTTAACGAAAATGCAGAACTGCTACATTATGAATACAAACTTCAATTCAATGAAATTTTGTATTTGGGAGCTATGATATCGCTATGATATTAGATAAAAACGTTTCTTCGATGCCTTGGAAAGTAAACAAGCAAACAGTACATGTATAAGAAATCGTTTGTCTACACTTCGCCGAGGTCGCTTGCGGGCGAGGCGTCAGGACTTGTTCATTATGAACACAAACTTTAATTCAATGAGATTATGTATTTGGGAGCTATGATATCAGTTCCACCGCCTCGCCCGCAAGCGATCTCAGCGATATTGGTTAAACACGTTTCTTTGATGCCTTGGAAAGTAAACTAAGCACACAATACTTGAATAAGAAGTCGTTTATCTTCACTTCGCCGAGGTCGCTTGCGGGCGACGCGGCAGGACTGATTCATTATGAATACAAACCTTAATTCATGGGGATTTTGTATTTAGGAGCTATAAATAGTGCAGAAATTTGGCAAAACGATATCTTAACGAAAAGAGTGTAGAGTTATAATAGCATGTAGTGTGTTAATTAATTGTCGTACCCAGTATGCAACCAATATCACAGTATTTTTATTGCAATTCGCGATTTGCGTATGATGCGTATTGCACTGTGATATTGGTTGCATACTTGCAATGATGACGTCGAGCACGATAATTAATTAACACAGTATATAATCCAGTAATCAATGATCATTGTCTGCTATAAACTCATGTAAGGTAATGACACAAGGATACTTTAGCAAATAATTGCTGACAATAACTGTATAATAGGTATTATATTATATATATATAATAAAATATTTTAGATTTTCGTTTAAGTAGATGTAATCGATTCGGGTCAATTGTTGGATTAACATATTTGGTTATCTCGAAAACGGTAGAGACCTATCTAGTACAAAGCTTGTATCAGGTCGAATTTATCTAATTTAGTACGAATTTTGGCGAAGGCGACAGGGAGATGCAGCAGCAACGGAGCCGGTTTATTGCCTCCTGCGGGCACTCGCGCGATCTAAATCTACGTTATACCTCTGCTGTGGAGGCACTCATTCTCGTTTAACGGCTCTAGTTGGCCAATTAGTTTTCAATTAGGGCCGTTTCGGCCACCCTTATCAATCCTTAACGTCGTGTTCCCGAGTGTGGTCGTTTTAAAACTGATCAAATTTGTAGTTCAATAAATTACGTTTTATTGTTTAGTAGAAATAACGTTTTGGTTAAAATTGTGAAAATAATTATAAATGAAATAATAACTGAACTCAATTTGATAAGACGTTGATGCGATGGTGTTGGAAGGAGTAAAGCTCTAATACAAACAGGTGCACGTGCCAATTTGCATCTTAACTAGTTTTCCCCGTTTCAAACCGGGTCGAACGTCCCTCGAGAACGGGGCCACACTTAAAACAATCTCGCATCGGCGTCCGATGTCTCCTTAATTCGAACGCGAAGTATAAAGTAATAATTCTTCGTGAGCGAGTTTATCCACCCCAACTCTTATGCGAAACCCCAGAAGTTTTTATAGCGCTTCCAACGAGTACCGTATGAGCAACGTCTCCATATTTTAAACGTAAATTGGTTTTTAAAACGGCGAATTTTCGAGGGCATATGTACTTGCCTCTTTACGAACAGATTTTATTGTTACAAATCACCCCCACATTCTTTTTATTTCTTTCTGTTTGAATATATAAAGCACTAGTTATTTGAAACATCACGAATAATAAACGACCTTGAGAATGCAGCACCTCGGATCGTTAAAGATATAACAAAAAATTGCCCTTACCCCAAAGGGAAAAATTCATCCAAATTGTACCTAACGAACGCTATTCAATAGCTCGATAGATATTGGGCTAATCGATAGTGAGGGCTCTGTGTTGTGGGCATATAGAAGAGGGTGCGGATCGCGATTAGTTTAGTCCCCTACACGCGGTCCCCCATGGACCCCTTAAATCAACCTCCTCAAGTAGGTAAATATACAGTAATGACGCAGTTCATTAGCGCGAATTCCGGGTTTCCAAGAAATCGGATTATCTTTAAAAAAAAAGAAAAAAATACACTCGTTACTGGTTACGATTGCTCCTCGGGAGATAACTCGAATATCAACCGGGAATGTCAACTCGAAACCTTCTTCGAGGGTCGCATTCGCGTTTAACGCACTGTGAAATAGACGATTTCGAATCGCATCTTCTCCGATTCATAAGTGATTCCATCGGAAGACACAAGATGAATTTCCCTAGCGAATTGAACTTTGACGTTTAATAGTTATTTATGTATCAAGGTAGGAAGTAACTTTTTTTTTAATTAATTGGTTATGAAAGTAAGTAGTAAAATCAATTTCTGTGAAAAATAATGTTCCATACAAACAGTTTGGTTGGAGTAAAAACATGAGTTTGAACGAGAAGGGGGCGAAAGGAAAAGGTCCGTGTTCCAAGAAAGTTATCTCTGAGGCATACGCGGGTAGAATTTTTATATCTCGCAAGAGGATTTTGGGGTAAAGTAAAGCGGTCAGGCCCCTTGCGATCGCGAAAAATAAATTAGCAAGAAAAAAAAATCGGGAAGCATTAACACTTTTCTTGAGAGGGTTGGGGTGGGGAGCAGAAATGAAATAACGCGGTGGAAAGAGGAAAGGATGTCTTATCTACGCGGCGGAATTAATACGACAACCTCCTATCGGGGACATTTAGTAATTCCCCTTCGGTTATCTCCAAGTTAGCTACAAAAAACAATTACTCCTCCAACGAATACATACGTTCGCAAAAACCCGGAATACTTTTAGACGAACCAACCCTCAGGACCCGGACTTTCTAATTAGAATATCTTAATTTATATCAGTCGACCGACCGCTTGACCCAACCCTTGTATCTTTTGAGTTAATTTGCTCGCTTCCGTATTGAAGAACATTTACATAACTTCCCTCTCTTAATATATTAAATAAAATTTTAAAAATAAACCAAATTTTATGATATATATTTTTTTTTAATTTTGAATGTGTATGATATATTATATGATCGATTATATGATGATTGTTATGAAATGGTATTTGATTATTGTGCGTGGGAGTAAAATTGTCAGAATGGCAAGAGAAAAAGAGTTGGTAAGGGTTTTTTTTCGGAAGCAGTTTCGATTAGGTGATAATATGACGCATGGCATTGGGAGCGTATCGGCTACTTGTTGATCCGGACGCGTGGGCGTGTAGGCGGACTCCAGAGGCGAAAAGCAGCCAAATCGGCGTCAGTTTGTAGACGGCGCGCTCTCTCGGCTCGTTCCGTTTCGTCCAATCAGCAGGCCGAACGCCCCGGAGTTTCCGGACTCCGGCTAAGCGTCCGCCCACTTTCGGGCGGAGGCCCCCGGAGCCGTCACCGAACCGTACCCGATACGACAGCACCAGATACACTCCGCATACAATCCGCGTACGGTACACAACCTGAAAACACTCAGAGTATTCGGTCTTGGACGATTTCGTTTCGGTTTGAAGTTAAAGGACAAGAACGGGTTATTACTTTTGGTGAATAGTGTTTGCTTTTGAATCGCGATGTTGCCATATCAAGCAGTTGCCATGGACTATGCAGTATCTTCCAGTCTGCAGAGGCAGACACCAGTGGGCTTAGGAGTGAACATCAACCCGGCCTTCACGCACTCCTGGTTCGTACCAGCGGATCTGTGTGTCCCCTACAAACAGCCTTCTCTCCTCGAACCAGGGCATGTTATACTTATCTCTGTTTTAGCCTATTTCCTATATGAAAATAATTCGACCCCCGGTCGCCTACGCCGCGAGATTTACGTCAGGGTTGTGTGTGGGAGACCGGGGGAACGAGGGGTGACTCGCGTATTTGTCAGTTCGAACACATGTTACGGTAGAGGAGATTTACCGATCTCGGAAGACCCCGCTTTTATATATGCCCCCGGCGCGTTTCGATTTAATACTTTATTTGACGCTGAATAACTGCCGAAAACGCCGAAACCTTCCCCCCATCATTCGATTTTAACACCTAAGCTCTAAAGCTTTTACAACATGGCCGACTATCAAGTTTTCCTTTCCATTTTCAAACTCATTATTATCATCACCACCAAAAACTCCAAAATCACTTCAAATTAGATCTATATGACCTGAATCTCTCTACTGTGGCAACACAAAAAATCAACTCAATTTTGACAATTTCAAAGTTGAGTTGATTTAATATGATGACAGTTTTTCAACAATTACAAGATTCAAAACAAAATTGATTACGAGACATAATGTCTTAGACGATGTAGTGTTACATTTCAAATAACTTAAATGAGTTGACAAAATTGATAATATGATCTTGGAATTCAAAATATGATCTCTCAACTTCTTGGTTCTTCTTAATAATTATATAATTAAGTCCGAAATTCCAAATATGTATTATATTTGGCAATTTTAAAATAAATTTGGTTCTATATGATATGAATTTTTCAAAAATTAATAAAATTCAAGGTAAGATTTAATCAAAATTGATTAGGTGAAATAATATCTTAGAAAATGTAATGTTACATTTGAAATAACCAAAATAACACGTTTAAATTAAGTTAGAAATCTCAAAAGTGATAATATGATCTTGAAAAATTCAAAGTGGGATTTCTCAACTTCTTGATTTTTCTTTGAATGTAAAGAAGATCTCATTTCTTCTTAATAATTATATAATTGAGTCCGAAATTCGAAATATATAGTATTTTAACAATTTTAAAATCAATTTGGTTCTATATGATATCAATTTTTCAAGATTACCAAATTCAAAGTAAAATTAAATCAAAATTGATTAGGTGAAATAATATCTTAGAAAATATAATGTTACAATTGAAATTACTAAAATAAGACATTTAAATTAAGTTAGAAACCTCAAAATTGATAATATGATCTTGAAAAATTCTAAGTGGGATTTCTCAATTCTTCTTTAAATGTAAATAAGCACTCTTTTCTTCTTAATAAAGATATAGTTAAGTCCGAAATTCCAAATATGTATTATATTTGGCAATTTTAAAATCAATTTGGTTCTATATGATATCAATTTTTCAAGCTTAACAAAATTCAAAGTAAAATTAAAACAAAATTGATTAGGTGACATAATATCATAGAAAATGTAATGTTACATTTGAAATAATCAAAATAAGATATTTAAGTTGAGTTGGAAACCTCAAAATTGATAATATGATCTTAAAAAATTCAAAATTGGATTCCTCAACTTCTTGATTTTTCTTTGAAAGCAAATAAGATCTCATTTCTTCTTAATAATTATATAATTAAGTCCGAAATTCCAAATATATAGCATATTTTGACAATTTTAAAATGAATTTAGTTCTATATGATATAAATTTTTCACGATTAACAAAATTCTAAGTAAAATTAAATCAAAATTGATTAGGTGAAATAATATCTTAGAAAATATAATGTTACATTTGAAATAACAAAAATAAGAGATTTAAGTTGAGTTGAAAACCTCAAAATTGATAATATGATCTTACAAAATTCAAAGTTGGATTTCCAAACTTCTTAGTTCTTCTTTGGATGCAAAAAAATAATAATTTCTTCTTAATAATTATATAATTGAACCCGAAATTCCAAATATATAGCATATTTTGACAATTTTAAAATCAATTTGGTTCTATATGATATCAATTTTTCACGATTAACAAAATTCAAAGTAAAATTAAGTCAAAATTGATTCGATGAAATAATATCTTAGAAAATATAATGTTACAGTTGAAATTACTAAAATAAGACGTTTAAATTGAATTAGAAATCTCAAAATTAATAATATGATCTTATAAAATTCAAAGTTGGATTTCCCAACTTCTTAGTTCTTCTTTGGATGCAAAAAAATACTAATTTCTTCTTAATAATTATATAATTGAACCCGAAATTCCAAATATATAGCATATTTTGACAATTTTAAAATCAATTTGGTTCTATATGATATCAATTTTTCACGATTAACAAAATTCAAAGTAAAATTAAGTCAAAATTGATTAGGCGAAATAATATCTTAAAAAATATAATGTTACATTTAAAATTACTAAAATAAGACGTTTAAATTGAATTAGAAATCTCAAAATTAATAATATGATCTTATAAAATATAAAGTGGGATTTCTCAACTTCTTGGTTTTTCTTTGAATGCAAAGAAGATCTCATTTCTTATTAATAATTATATAATTAAGTCCGAAATTCCAAATATATAGCATATTTTGACAATTTTAAAATCAATTTGGTTCTATATGATATCAATTTTTCACGATTAACAAAATTCAAACTAAAATTAAGTCAAAATTGATTAGGTGAAATAATATCTTAAAAAATATAATGTTACATTTGAAATTACTAAAATAAGACGTTTAAATTGAATTAGAAATCTCAAAATTAATAATATGATCTTATAAAATATAAAGTGGGATTTCTCAACTTCTTGGTTTTTCTTTGAATGCAAAGAAGATCTCATTTCTTATTAATAATTATATAATTAAGTCCGAAATTCCCAATAAATAGTATATTTTGACAATTTTAAAATCAATTTTGTTCTATATGATATCAATTTTTCACGATTAGCAAAATTCAAAATAAAATTAAACCAAAATTGATTCGGTGAAATAATATCTTAGAAAATATAATGTTACATTTGAAATTACTAAAATAAGACGTTTAAAATGAATTAGAAATCTCAAAATTAATAATATGATCTTATAAAATATAAAGTGGGATTTCTCATCTTCTTGGTTTTTCTTTGAATGCAAAGAAAATCTCATTTCTTATTAATAATTATATAATTAAGTCCGAAATTCCCAATAAATAGCGTATTTTAACAATTTTAAAATCAATTTGGTTCTATATGATATCAATTTTTCACGATTAGCAAAATTCAAAATAAAATTAAATCAAAATTGATTCGATGAAATGATATCTTAGAAAATATAATGTTACATTTGAAATAACAAAAATAACACGTTTAAATTAAGTTAGAAACCTCAAAATTGATAATATGATCTTATAAAATATAAAGTGGGATTTCTCATGTTCTTGGTTTTTCTTTGAATGCAAAGAAGATCTCATTTCTTATTAATAATTATATAATTAAGTCCGAAATTCTCAATAAATAGCATATTTTAACAATTTTAAAATCAACTTGGTTCTATATGATATCAATTTTTCACGATTAGCAAAATTCTAAATAAAATTAAACCAAAATTGATTAGGCGAAATAATATCTTAAAAAATATAATATATAAATATATAAAAAAGACGTTTAAATTGAATTGGAAACCTCAAAATGTATAATTCAAAGTGGGATTCTCAATTTCTTAATTCTTCTTTGAAAGCAAACAAGATCTCATTTCTTCTTAATAATTATATAATTATGCCGAAATTCCAAATTTATAATATATTTTGACAATTTTAAAATCAAGTTGAGTCAATATATATATAATTTTCTAAATAAACATTTTTTGAAAGGAAAAAAAAAATACAGAATATAGTTGTATCATCTTGGGTGAAGTCACCCTTTTAATGAAAGCTGTCTTGGTTTAAGGGGTCCGGTCAGGAAATAATAAAAGCTTGACCCTTCCTGTTGGTTGGTCTATTTGCGGTAGCGCATAACGTGCCCTTAACATCGGGGTGTGGTCGAGGTTAAGCCAAAAGACGAAACATGCAAAGACATTTCGGCTTTTTGAAAAAGATGCTTGAAAACATCGTATTTGGAAATATCGCGGCGGTTTCCATAATATTGAAATCAGTGGTCCCGGAGGGAGTCGGGGTTCGAGAGGTCCCGAGGCCGCCGCGGCGAGACGCCCCGGTTTCAACGTCCCTTAGGAGGGATAAAATTCAAAAGTAACGTTTCCCCGTCGAGTGAGATCGCGTAGATTTTGAAAATGTGATCGGTCTTTTTTTGTGTCGTTTGTATAAATAATTAATAAAATTTGCTGAAAATAATCTGTCCTAGATCTAAAAAAATAATTAGATTTTGTGTTATTTCGTCATGAGAGACTTTCTCCGAAATTCGTTTGTGTTTGGTGATAAAAAAGAGTAGTATGTGAGTAATTTATGACGGACACCACAACAGACAGCCGTCGAATAATATATTTATGGATAAAAGTGGGGGTGGCTCCCTTACGTCCGCCGCTCTTTTCTTCTTTAGTTTCGGCATCCCCCAGCATAATTGTTTTTGCTCTCGGCCAATTTGCGCCGCGACGCAGGCCTTTTTCCTTTTCCGCAAGGGCCGACGTGTGAAAACGAAATTAAGGTGAAGTTTCGATAAAATTGATCGGAATTGGCCGGGGGCCCCTTGGGAGAGTCCTGGGGCTTCGGGAACCCCCCCCTCTTGGTCCGCTTTTATTAGGTTACCGTTGGCCTTCCGCCGTATCCTCACCTCGCGACACCTTCTGCAATTCCCCATGGGTTACCCGACCCCGGAACGGACGATGGACAGTAAAACGAAGACGTTTTCCTTGCAAGGTGCTGACTATGTCGGCCTCCCGTTTTATGACCAACTCCCTCTCTCTTTAAGGAAAAACCTCCACCATACCAACCCCCTCAACTCTACTTTAATGACGAGCAGCTCCCATGGGAGCTTTCTTTTCGGCCAATACTCCTTACTATAATATTAGAACTAATGGTGATTACAAAAATTCAATATTACTTATATTACTTAATTTATCATCAAACCGATTTGCATACAATTCAAAATATATCTGTGACATCATGAAGGTGATCATGATTCATTGGTAATATTAGAATTGATGGAGATCACAAAAATGTAATAAACTGGTGTTGTATTTAATGTATTACTTGTGTTCTATGTATTGTATTAGATGTATTATCGAAATGACAATAAATCCACCCCCTAAAACCGACGTTAGCCGTATTCGTTGATGAATCATAACCCCTTTCGTTGCGCCCCAGATATTCATTAAGAACGGTTTCGCGTTTATCGAGTAACGGTTCCGAGATGTCTACTCTCAACCTTGTTCTCGTTTTCGTTACAGCATCCTAGAGTTACGGAAGGAGAAGAGCCGGGACGCGGCCAGGTCCCGAAGGGGCAAGGAAAACTTCGAGTTCTACGAGCTCGCCAAGATGCTGCCACTTCCGGCCGCCATCACGTCCCAGCTGGACAAGGCCAGCATCATCAGACTGACCATTTCGTACCTGAAACTCAGAGACTTTTCCGGGCACGGCGATCCTCCGTGGAGTCGTGATGGACCTCCACCAAACAAAACTCTAAAAGGTAAAATAAAAAAAAATCTATTTATTTATTTTGACAAACTTGAAAATGTTTTGTTGGACAAGTTTGCAAAAAAATGTTTTTATTTGAAACATCCACATTAATTGATCCCATGGTAAGTGGAAGTTTTATTTGGAACATTACCTAAGGGTATCTTTAAATAATTTCTATAGAACACCACGTAGGATTTTGCATATATACATACGACGCCCTCGGCACAAACTTTAACGACAAAATGGATAAATTAAACTTTATCTGGTATCTGGGAGGGCGAAATCTAGATAATTACGCCCCCGTGTTCGTGCCCTTTGGCGTGATTATTGTTAACAACCCTTGTACGATCGCAACAAAATAGTGCTTCCGGCGTATAAATTAATTAAGCTCTATTACAAAGGACAAATTTAACTAAAAAATAAAAAGTTTTTTAATAAATAATAACTTAATCCGACGCTGAAATGTTTTAGACACTAAATGAAGGAGATAATAAATTTCTACGCAGCAGGCAACCGTTACGACCTGCGATTACAGAAGTGAAACTCGTTCGACTAATTGAAATATAACTGGATAGCGTCATAATGACGTCATTAAACTTATATAAGCGTAAATTTTGAGTTCCCTACCTTTACTGAAATGCACTCACTCACAAGCATTTATGGTACATGAAATTCTCTAAATGTTTTTACTTAAAGATAAAATTATCTTGTACATAATTTGATACTTTTCCGCCTAAAGGTCGTTCAATTTTTTATGCAATCGCTGTAATGATATACGATAAGCAGAAGGACCCGAAGGGACGTTATTGAATTACTGGGTAAAGTAAGCAAGGGCCAGCGGTCAAAGCGCCCATGGGAGAAGACCCCGCCCTTCCTATATTGTTTTATGAAAGATACGCGTTTTTCCGTATATCTATCGATATTTATCGCAAAACGAAGCATCTACATCACGTTATATAATGACTCAGTATAGGTTATTCCTTCTTTTTATCTTTTTTGAGGGCCCTCCATAATCGAATTGTCAACGACTAATGAGGTGAATAATGAAAAGTGCGCGGACGGGATTCGACCCGTTTTGGGGGGGCGGCGCTGACGAGAGACCCGGGGGTTGGTACCCCCAAAAACTAACATGTAAATCTAATCACGGACCCTCACTGCTAAATTTGTAAACCCAATTCCCCTCCCCGCTCGTTCGCGGCCGCGGCTAATAAAATTACCGGGCGCTTATTGTAAACCAAACTCGGTGAAATTTACAAGTGTAATTCCGCGACTGAATCTTTAGGGGTCGAAATAATTACGACAAATTTGTTCTCGCTTAGATATCCGCCTCCCTTAATGAATTGACATTGATATCGAATTATTTTACATTTCCAAACCAAGGGGATTTATATATTATTCACAAACAAAATTAAGACCCTTTGTATTATTATTCAAAATTTATTTCTTTTTAAACTCTATATCTATATATATATATATATATATATATATATAGTTCATTTTTTTTCTATAATACCTACCAAATTGTTGTAAAGTTGGCAAAATAAACAGGGAGTTTTGTTTTATCATGTTTTGAAATATATATGTCACACTGATGTTTGAGTTTTCGTTATTCAAAAAGAAAAGGTGTATAAAAAATGTTGTGGGGTGTTTATTTGCCATTTATTTACCTAGAAAAGGTGTTTTGTTCTATTTAATTACTTTGTATCACGTTTTTACAACAAATATGTACTTCGTTAAAATCGTATTTATCTAAAAATTTATTAGTATTTTAACCTCAACTATTTAGTTACTGAAAATGTTACTAAAAATCAGGAAAACAACATAAATTTTATAAGGATCCTAGATAATACCAACAAAAACCCTAAAAAATTTACATTGACAAGTATTATAGCAAAAAAACGAACTATATATATATATATATATATATGCAATGCAATGCAAAATGCAACATGTCTGAATATTTTTAGTTTTAGGTCTAATGTTAATTGTTTAGGCTAGTTAACATAAGATATCACTATGTTGTATATTTGTATTGAATTAATGAACTAATCTAGAATTAACACTAGCCGTCCTGAGAGACGTGCGGCTAAACCCGAATGTTTCCAGTTCTTGGTCTATTGTTAGTTCTAGTATTGCACTAGCACTATCACTACAACTAACACAAGACCTAGAACTAGAATCATTCGGGTTTAGCCGTCTTGAGAGACGTGCGGCTAAACCCGAATGTTTCTAGTTCTAGGTCTAGTGTTAGTTCTAGTTTTACACTAGAACTATCACTAGAACTAACACAAGACCTAGAACTAGAATCATTCGGGTTTAGCCGTCTTGAAAGACGTGCGGCTAAACCCGAATGTTTCTAGTTCTTGGTCTAGTGTTAGTTCTAGTATTGCACTAGAACTATCACTAGAACTAACACAAGATCTAAAACTAGAATCATTCGGGTTTTGCCGTCTTGAGAGACGTGCGGCTAAGTCCGAATGTTTCTAGTTCTGGGTATAGTGTTAATTCTAGTGACAGTGGTAGGTAACATAAGATATCACTGTGTTGCATATTTGTATTGAATTAAAACTAGAACTAACACAAGACCTAGAACTAGAATAATTCGCGTTTAGCCGTCTTGAGAGACGTGCGGCTAAATCCGAATGTTTCTAATTCTGGGTCTAGTGTTAGTTCTAGTTTTACACCAGCACTATCACTAGAACTAACACAAGACCTAGAACTAGAATCATTCGGGTTTAGCCGTACGTCTCATAAGACGGCTAAACCCGGATGATTTTAGTTCTAGGTCTAGTGTTAGTTCTACCAATGCCTGTAATATTAACCTATGTTGCATTTTATGTGGGACAGTGCAAGTGCATAGTAGTTTCTGCATTCATATATAGCGAGTTATATGAAATTCTCGTTATATATTTATATATAATTATTTTCCATTTCCTAACTAAGGGGATTCCCAAAACAAAATTAATTTCTCCTTAAACTTATAACCTATATAGTTTTTTTTTTTAAATAAAAATAATATTATTGTTTATCCTGTTGTTGGAAAACAAAAATGGTTTCACACACCTAACGACGGGCGTCGGAGTATAACGTCGGCGTTTGCGGGCGCACTTAAAATGCGCGTCGTGTCCCATTTTAAAAATATTCAGAAGGCTCATGTGCGTCTAGATGCGCGCGCGGAATAAATAATATTTCTTTCTGGAGGACGAATAATTGTCGTCTTTGTAGTCGGCGTGCGCGCGCGGAAGGGGCTCGCTATTACGAATTTAAAAAAGGAGAAAGGCTGGCGACTCTCGACTGACGTCTCTATCCCAACTAAAAATATCGGACAAACACCCCAAAAAGAAAAAACGGTGCGATATATGGACCCTACACTTCACCGGCCATATACTATGTCGCTCATACGTCTCCCCCCACGGAAATATACGATTCGTGTAGGGCGCTAAAAGAATTCCCTCGTATTTTAGCAATAAGTATTATTGTGATTATTATCGGTGCTTTGTTGCCAGAAAAAAAGGGAACTTTATAAGTCGAATAAAAATCGAATCTGAAATGTATCTTAATTTGTAAATAAATATTAATTGTTACAGCGGGAAGAGCAAGAGGTGCTGCTGGATTGGCTATGGATATATTCGAGCAACATCAAGGCACACACATCCTGCAGGTAGGGGTCGTATTTCCCGTTTCTTCCGCGCAATTTTGCCTTGTGTCCCAGGGGCGCGTAAAGAGTGACCGGTTGAACGCGATGGGAATCGTTAAATAGGTAGCTTTGGTCGCGACGTCTTCCCTCCCCCTAACAAATGAAACTCTTTCATTTTCTTTCTGGTGAAAATACCATTTATTAAGTTACGTCGCTAAACTTTTCCTAGTCTCGGTGCGATAACGACCCCTAACTACGATCTTTGTTTAATAAGGAAATATTGCGACGGGTTTTTGATTGCACATACGGGGTTCATCTACTTAGAAGGAGATGGTTTGTGAAAAAGGGAGAAAACGTATGTGTTTTCTCTTATGCCGCGAGATGGATTTATGAATGAAACTCTGATTTTTATCTACTCCCTGCCTCGCCGGAATAAATATAAGTTGTTGTTTACGGGCGGCGGTCGCTCCATTGTTAAAATTTTAAGAAGCTACTGAACGCGATGAGAAAACACAAGTCATTTAAACATTTTAATAAGATAATTATTTAAAAAGTTATACTTTATTGTTTTTATTTTATTTTATTTTATAGTCTTTGGATGGTTTTGCATTAGCCCTTGCAGCAGATGGTAGATTCTTGTACATATCGGAGACGGTGTCCATTTACTTGGGCCTTTCGCAGGTGAGTTTTAGTCGGGTTGATGGTGGCGGCAACGGCAGCAGCAGCAACGGAGAGAGGCCGCCCGGAGCGGACCTCCACCCACTCGCGGGGGCGGCCGCCGCCCCCCATGGCGAATGCTCCTCACGTAGACCTCTGCAGCGCCGTGCCCGCCATTCATAATGTGACTGCCGGGTTACAATCAATAGGGACTTTGCAACTGCGGAAACATGGCCGACCTTAGTTCTGCACGTCCACTCCTCCAAGCCAACTATGATTTTAAATTTCAACCCTCCCTTTACATCCTCTACATCCTTTACATCTACACCCCTTATTTATGATTTCAATTTATTATAGTCTTAGCAAAAAAAATTTTTTTCTAGGTGGAGATGACTGGTAGTAGTATATTTGATTACATTCACCATCAAGATCATTCTGAGATGGCTGAACAATTGGGTTTGGGTTTGGCCCAAAGCCAAAGTGTAGCTTCGCCGGGGAGTAGTTCGGAGGAAAGTTCGAACGCCGGTACAAACAATCCTGATGGTAAGTACGTTTCCCAACGGTCGGTTTCGTTCAATAAGGCACGTCGCGACTCGCTTTGAATGCCGATTTAAAAAAATCAGTGACCACCGGGTGACGAATGTGGACATCGCATTCCGCGTCGACGCGCTCTTTTGCATATCAATCGACTAATAAATTCTATTCTTTAGCCGCTTGTTGTCCTTTACGCTTCTGAAAAGAAAAAACTTCCCTCGTTAGGTAACCTAGAAAACAATCGATTTGGGAAATCGAGTCGTAAACTCATTTTTATTACTATCGCGTTGCGCTCCCCATACAAAATTACAAATTTCAAAACTTTACCCAATAAAACTTTGATTTCCCACCTACACCATTAATGCAACGCACACCTAACGCCATCTATTAATTCAATGGCAACTCACAAAACAATCCCTACTTTAACTCCGTAAATATATCCACATTTAACTACATATTTATACAAAAAGATGACGCTTTAATTTATTAAAGCGTTAAGCGGAGTTATTGATCACAAAAACTGTTAAAAAGTAACTAAATTATTACTTGGAATATTTCGAAACTTTGTTTCTTCTAAAGCCAATTACTAAAAAACAACGAAGTTACTAATAACAAGAAAAAACAACCTCTAAATTTACTTACATCATAGTTAAGTGAAATCGGGACAGTTGAAATACATCAAAACAATTCTTGAGTACTCATTAAGACAAAAAAGTCAAAATTAATTAAAACATTACAAGATGGACGAATGTAAAACGTGTATGAAACGATAAATGCGTCGAAAACAATTTTTGAACCGGTTTGAAAAACTTTGGTGGATGATGCGCAGACGCAAAGTTTTTCAAACCGGTTCAAAAATTGTTTTCGACGCATTTATCGTGTCATACACGTTTTAAATTCATCCATCTTGTAATGTTTTAAATAATTTTGACTTTTTTGTCTTAATGAGTAGTCAAGAATTGTTTTGATGTATTTCAACTGTCCCGATTTCACATTAACTCATTTATTAATTCATTTTTCAGTTTCTACGGTAATGACATTAGGAAGTAATCCCACATACAGAGGCTTAGATAGAGCATTTTGTGTACGCATGAAATCAACGTTAACCAAGAGAGGTTGCCATTTCAAATCCTCAGGGTATAGAGTAAGTTTAAAACAAAATTTTGAATTAATTGTTTTAAATTAATATATTAATTTTTAGGTGGTTCTAATGTTGTGCAGACTGCGACCTCAATACACATTTTCACATTCTCGAAAATCACAGCCACCCCTCCTTGGTATGGTAGCCCTCGCGATCGCTCTGCCGCCTCCTAGCGTCCACGAAATCAGACTTGAATCGGATATGTTCGTAACGCGGATTAATTTCGATTTTCGGATAGCGCATTGTGAACCGAAAGTTTCCGATCTCCTTGATTACTCAGCCGATGAATTAACGGGAAGAAATTTATACACACTGTGCCATGGTGAGGATGCGAATAAATTGAGGAAGTGCCATGTTGATTGTAAGTTAAAAAACGAAATGAAAAATATTTTTTATTGCAAACTTTTATTTTTAGTGATAAATAAAGGACAAGTTTTGACTCATTATTACCGGCTAATGAATAAAAGTGGCGGTTATACTTGGGTGCAGACTTGCGCAACCGTAGTGTGCAATACAAAAAATGCTGACGAACAAAATATTATTTGCGTAAATTACGTAATAAGGTAATGGTATTTCTTTTTAATATTAATTTTGTTTAAGAAAATCATTTTTTTAGTGGTCGAGAGTACGAAAACCTAATAATGGACTGTTGCCAAATGGAGGACAGCACGAGGACGGTAAAGCGAGAGGACCCAAGCGGTAATGACCCGGAAAACGGGTCCCCGGATGCGGATCGAGGAGGTACGTTGCCGTACCGCCTGTATTAACTATCTCTAAATGTCGTATCTATGTGCTAAGATGGGCGCACTAGCGGAGGACCATCCAACCCTCCTCAAGACCCTCGACAGAATGGAGACGACCGCACCCAAGCCGATGATTCCGAACGAACCGGCACCACGACAACGGATGAAGTAGCTCATCTTGCAGCAACAGCGGATGGCACCCGAAGAAAATCAACCGGTGTTGGTAGAGGGAACAAGAGGAAACTCACCGAGACCACTTCCGGATCTTCCGACGACGAGGAGTCACCTCGGAGAAACGTCGTTCTTAGTCCCCCGTCCACGTCTTGTCATTCGACGGGAATTTCCCGACCCGTACCCGAATCGACGTCACCAAAATCTATCGAAGAATCCGGGACGTCTGTTAAAGATCTCGAGAACGCTATGTCCAAACATCTTCCGGCGTGTAAATCCCCGATTCATCAACCAACAGACTTTAGCACAGACGCTCTTTTAAAGCAGCAACGAACAACTATCCAATGGATTGGGGCACATCAACAGTTACAACAACAAGGGCCTTTACCAGCTTCAGCTCTTCTTAGACAACTTTATGCCAATCGTGAGAGTGTTATCCGTGCTAACGTTCACGGTATAAGCGGTAGCGGTTCCACAAGAACAGGAAGTACCACTTATTATACCGGTGATACACAAGCGGGACCACTTCCCACTCCCCCTGGAAGCGAAAGCTCTTCATCATATAATGATCACCAGTTTTTGCTATCGCAACACCAAAATTATTCCACCACGTATTCAGGGGATTACCACACGGCCATGACTCCTCCGTCCAGCGTCTCACCACGGGATAAGCATCAGCAACTCCATGGTGGAGTAACATTTGAGAACCCTATCTATCAAGATGTTTTACGCCATCAGTATCCTGATGGGCCACTCCCTTTAAAACCCCAGGTGTATTCATACGTAGAACAACCCCAATTTTATCACCACGGTACTACGGGAGCGGGTTTTCACCTGTACCATCCCGGAAAAAGTGCACCCGCCGCCCCCGCAAATTGGTACTCGTCGTCATAGTGCGTACGCTCTGTTCTGTAAAATCCAGGTTCTCATCGGAAAGCATCAACACAAAATAACCAAAAGTAACAATAAATTTTCTACGGAATCCGCCATCTCATTGTTCTCTATTGTGGTTAATTCTTGCATTTTATCCAAATTGGTTTGTCAAGGTAAATTTTTCCCAATTATAATTAAATTTTACTAAACTAAACTTTTTTTGCTAGAATCAATCATATCATAGCTTGTACAAGCCAATTGCATAAAATATCCATACTCCAAAAACATTCCAATAAGATGGTTGAATCACGGTGCTACAATTGAGGAGTTATAAATCTTCGTGTTACTATTGGTTATTTTGCGATATCAGTACGTTCCTTAGCATTAACGATGATTGTTATTGTTCGTCCAAAAAAAATCTTTGTTCGCGCGTTTCTTGTCTTGCGTACGTTGATTTGTCTGTTAAAAAATTGAAACTAAAGCGATGGACAAATGAATGAACGAAAGTCGAGCCTAAGAAAAAAATCCGTTCGCTGTCACCTTCGCGGCAATTCTAAGTGATTCTTATCGAAGAAACTGACAGCAAACGCCTATTAATTTTGATTTTTTATAGTTCGTTAACGTTAACTACGCCTAAACCAAAGAGCGGAGGCTGTTCCGAACGATTATGTCCTCCCTAAATCCGCGACTTAAGATAACTTATTTTTTACTTAGCAGCTGTAGTTGCTAGATGAAGGCAGAAATGGGCTAGTTGAACTGGGGGGTTTTATCGTAAACGGGTCAGCCTCTGGTGCAAATTTGTGCAATAATAAAATGTTTTGCATAATGTCGACGTTCACATATAAAGCAGACAGTTGAATTTCTCGTCTTACCCAACTTGCGACAATCAGAACAACTGTTATTGTTATCAAAAAAAATAAGAATAAATAAAACCGAAACAGTCGTCGTCTATCTTCTTGCATTCCTCGGCGAAACTTGTCGAAATTCTTTTTTATTACTTAGTTGTTTTTAAGTGTGTTTCCAAAGTTTATTATGTAGGCAATGTTACTCTTTTTTCTAGCTAGCGTAATAATCGTACTTGTGTTTTAGCGTTACTATTATCGTATAGGTTTTGCTATCAGATCTACTAAACGTGTCGCGTTTAACGGTTAAGCCATATCCGGTATTCGTCTCCCGAAATCGACATCAAAGCGAAATTACGTTGACTGCATTCACATACGAGTGTCCCAATACATACAAAAATTATCGTATCGGAACACTTGTTGATCCCTTATTTACATCGCCGGTCAGCAAAAAAACAAGCATATTTTTCCACTTCTAGTCACATAGTTTTTGCTTAGAAACAAGCATTCCAAGAAGTCAACTTAATTTTTATTTGGTAGTCAGCCGTACGAAGGTTGGCATCGATCGTATATCGAGAGCGGTTGGGCATTGTCAGCAACAGTATTTGAACGGCCGGATCGGCCACCTGTACATAGTTATTAACAAAAAAATCCGATCATATCTGCATTCCGTGTTAACATTATTATTATCTTAAAAAACTGTGTTCCAGTGAATAAAAAATGTCAAGGTGCTGATAATATAAATATATATACATACATACATATACAAGTACATTATTAAATGTATGTAGGAATGTGATATATTCGATATAAATAGTTTTGTTATGTTCATTGTGACGTTGTGCGGAACGGTTTCCCCTCTTCTTTGCAGTACAAACCTAACTGGAAGCCAAGTCTGAAAGCTTACTGCGACAACATTCTCCCTTCCGGTCGTTAAGTATTGCGAGATATTTATTCATTTTACATGTTTTTTAGTCTCTATCATCAACTATTCGTATTGTAAATAAAGCTTATATCAAAACCAAACTTTTTTTTTCTTAATTTCTTATTCTTTTCATTTAAAATTTTAATTGTATATATACAAGTGTTCATTAAGTATGGATTAATTACAAAATTAATAATTTAAAAAAATGGTGCCTACAAAAATTGTTCCTTTTTTTATTCTTAACAAGTTTTATTTGAAAAATATTTTGATACAAACAATAATTAGGAAGATAATCTTGAATTCCATTTCTATACTGTTGACAGGGAAATTAAAAAATTGATCAATTTCAAAAATGGTGCCTACAAAAGTTGTTCCTTGTTTAATTCTTAACAAATTTTATTTGAAAAATATTTTGATACAAGCAATAATTAGGAAGATAATCTTAAATTAAGTTTCTATACTGTTCACAGGGAAATTAAAAAATTGATAATTTTAAAAAATGGTGCCTACAAAAGTTGTTCCTTGTTTAATTCTTAACAAGTTTTATTTGAAAAATATTTTGATACAAACAATAATTCGGAAGATAATCTTGAATTCCATTTCAATACTGTTCATAGGAAAATTAAAAAAATTGATAAATTGAAGCTGTAATATTATAATGAGTAACTCCATGTTGTTTTGAAAGGGTTAAAGAAGGGTTTCATAATTAAATGATTTACTTTTCAAAAATTTTTATTTAATTTTAAATGTTATGCACCAACAAATAACATAAATTCTTTAAAAAAATTAACTTACATAAAAAAAAACAGCGACATCTTTTATTCTCCAGCGAAACTAAAATTATTTTATTAAGTCGAGTTCCAAACCAATCTGGTCATTACATTGCTAGGTTATAAATAGATGGCGCTTAAACAAATTATTAAGCCAGAACATTTTTTTTCTACTAAATATTAATTAATACCCCGGGTATAACGAAATAAGAAAAACACGTTATACTGTTTATTCCACATCATTATTTCCAATCTAAAATTACACTGTTCGATACATTTACAAAATAAAAATATAATAAAATGGAGACAGTAATATATATTTATCTACCAGGTCAATTCTGCGTAAACTGTTAAATTCTTCGTATACGGGCATTGAGGAGAAAAATTATTTTTTTGTATCACTAATACCGGATGTCGTTAAAATATCGCAATTCATAGTTTAGCACAGAAGTAAAAAATGTTTAAAATGGGATAACAGAAATGACCAAGCTATCGCGGCTACAGCAAACGTTAACGAAACTTGGGTCAATGCCACATGCAGACGCGTCTCCAGCTCATCCGTCACTTCGGCGTTCGGTGAGTGTATATATATTTATATAGATATAATTTTTTTTTACATTTTCGCCTCCGAAAAATACTTTTAGTTTGTCTCGGTTACCACAGAGATATATCAATCAAGTAAGTATAGTGCTAAAATTAATATTGGTTATCGATGAACACTGTCGTGGGATTGGATAGTTTTACTGCACGCAGCACGAGCTCTTGTAGCCGTTCTTCTGCTTGAGTCTCGACTTCGGACGGTATTTTTCTAAAAATGCCAGCTGCTTTGCGTTTATCGCTCCTCTACGTTTTCTATTACACAACAAAAATAAACAAGCTATATGTTCGTTCTTTACAGTTTACCATCAAAACAAACTTACTCTCTGATAAGTTCAACTGCCTCTTCGTACTTAAGTCCTAGCTCAATTAAAGCCAAAGCGACCATAACGGGAGCCCTACCAAGTCCCGCAACGCAATGAACGGCAACGTACGCATCGGGACTATCATGGAAGTGCTTTTTGATGAGTTTAAACCACTCCTCGACGACTTGGTTAGGTGGGAAGGTCCCATCGTCGTACTCGAGATCGTAAACCACAATACCTTGGTTCTTGAGCTCATCAATTTGGTACGATGGTTCACAAACCCTCACAACTGCGCTCACATTATGACGCTTCAATTCCTTTTCAAAATATAACCCAAAAAATAATATTACATAAAATGTTTGTGTTAGACAGAACTAACGGAAAAATTTGGTTTTCAAGTCAGGTAGTTAAATTTCTTACCTGGATGTAGGTGTGAATACTCTGATCTGAGGGTCTGTCTGTGATAAGGAATTTGAACCCCTTGTGCTCGATCTCAGCCGGAGCTGGCCTAATATCCTTTTGGCGCATGTTGGCGGGATTCGCGAGGAGCACTTTGTCACTAATTTACCGAGAGCCCGTCCCGCGAGTTATGTAATTTTTTTTAGAATGAGTGTCGGTCGATCAGTCTTTTTGAATTTCTAAGTGTAAAACGATAAAATTGGTTAATGTCTCCCAGTTACACTGTTGTTGTTAGTGTTTTTTTTACTTCTTTTTTTTTATTTTGATATGCAATACCCCAGCAAGCTTTTCGATTTCGGAAAACTCTGATGTAAATAAAAAAAAATTATAACTTTATTAATACGAATTTTTTAAATAAATCTTCACTTACGTGTGGCTGTATTTGGTTACAAAGGTACGTACAATTCGATCAACTGCGTCTAACTATAAGAATAATAAACAAATATATATTTCTTTTAGTTAAAAAAGACTAGTGGATCTCTTTATTTGTGTTGGGCCTGGCAGTACTCCGCGCTATCCAAGTGGAACTCCATGTATGCGAGAACTGTCTCACCAAATAACTGCAAAACAAACAAAGAGACGCATCGTTACTTCAGTTTCAATTTGATTCTTCACGTTGCATTATTGCGCGTTTAGAAAGAAAAAAGAAGAACATTGTCCGGAGGGGAGGTCGCGACCGTAATAAAAGGAAAATACAAGGGGTAAAGAATCTCCGAGGTCATCGCACCTTCAGAATCGAATTTTTGTATTATTAACAAATATTGTATTAATAGTTTGTTTATAAGTCCAGGAACATTTTGGAAAGTTCCAGGAGTTATGGAGAGAGTTGTCGGTAACTTTCTAACTTCATTTTTGGGGTTCACTTCTTTTAATTTAATGGATTAAATATGGATGGACTAATAAATAAACGATGTTTTATTGTATTTATTTAAACATAATAAAAATCCCCTATCATTTGCATCATCGTCACCGAAATCGATGATCTGGAGTGACGTCAAGATCACATCCTTGAGTTATAATTTGCAATTATTATTAATACCGAAATCGGCTTGCGAAACAAAGGTTAAGTTTAATACGAACAATCGATAAGAAAAAAATCGAAATTGTAGGAATCTTATCTTAAGTTCAAACAAATTTTTTTCGCAGATTCCATTCGTTTTATCAAATTACTCATTAAATAGTTTTTCAATTACTTCGCTAAAATATGATGAAATATTAAAAGTTGTTTTAACGAACAAATCTTTGTGATGGGAATAAATCGATGATGTTTGTTTAATATTAATCATTTGATTTATATCAAGATATAAAAAATGAGATATATATATATATAACATTAATATGATTAAAGATAAATCACGGTCAAAGTATACTCAAGATTTTTTTATTTTTTTAAAATAATATGTGTAATTGCAATTAATATCTGATCCTTTTAATTTTTTTTATTAATATATTCTCGAAGAGATAGTGACGTAACTATTCAACAATCGACGGAACGACTTTTGTTGAAACAAGGTCGAGCAACAACTGACGCAAAAGCAAAATGTTATTAAAGTCGAGTGATGACAATTGTACTGAGAATACGATTGTCCTCTTGAATATTTTTTTATCAGTCTTATTTTATTTATTTGTAACAAAAAAAATGGAAAGATATTACTGATATATTTCGATTGGGAATTGAACAGGATCGAACGAGTTTTCTGAGAACGCGTTGTTCAACGTTGCGAAACCATTCCTGCCGTGGCGATTTCCAGCAGGAACGGTTCGGGATTTTAAATAACTGCCAGTCAAAATCGCCGGGGGCTTTGGATACGCGGAGGAGATATTTTTGGAGTCTCTCTCTACATCGTTTCCCCCCACGTCTAAAGTTAAAAGAAAAAAAATATTTTACCTCTCCCATTTTCTCTTTTTTTTTTTTTGTAATTATTCCCCTTTTTTTAGCTCTCCAATCCATCGTATACCCGTTTACTTAATTATACTATATTCGAGTATACTTAAAATATTTATCAAAATTCATTTACTTACTGCACTAGCCATACACATTGAAAATGGAGTTGACTAAAAGCCCTTTGAAATTGCACGACAATTGCGGGAGAGAAAAAAACGCTTTAGCTCGCACGGCGACCGACACTTGACTGAAATCTCTATAGTCCAACTCGTCGACAATTCAAAATGGTTGCCAGTGACGTCGCACAGCTCCATCTCTTGATTTTCTCAGAAACAATTTATATGACGCCATATCTCATTATCTTTTTATATGCATGTACTAAATCGATGTGTAAATAACAAATGATTCATCATCATTTGATGCAAACCAAAATAACAATATGATTTTATATAAAATTTTATTAAATATTGCTTAAAATGTGTCAATATAAATCTCAATAAAACATCCTTTATAACGTAATCACGAAAGTATTAAAATATACCAATTACCTCCTTTACCAACCTTAATGTTTTATCAACTCCATCTCTTGTTGACTCCTTCAACGATTTATATGACGTCATTTTAAACTTTTTACTCATCTTCCTCATATTCGTATTCATTCTTCTTTTGCTGTGCACAAAGTCTTGACTAAAATCATAGAGTCCCGGATTAAAAGGATGATATAATCGAAGAATATCAAGGACCAAAAATTTAAATTTCACACGCTCTCCAGGCCTAAGCAAGGAGATGGCCTTAAGCACTCCCAGTTGATACCAACGAGACGATATTTTTTAAGTCATGAATCACACCACGTCGTCAAGGAAGTCTTAGCTAAACTCTATACGGCAGCAAGAAGTGAGGCTACGCATTAAAGGCGACAAATGAAAGTCATATCTGTCAATAAGTTCAAGAGTTGTGTAGTTCCGAACAGTTCTGAATGATTCCGCGTATACGTCTAATACGCAATATGTATACTTCTAATAATAAGGATCAGACTTGATTATCTTATGATCAGACTTCAAATTCACTTATTTTAGTAAGAATTTCATGATAAATAAAGTTTCTGGAGAAGTTATCCGCAACTCACCATCAGTTTATGTACAATATTTGTATTTTTTAACAATATAATGCCATAAGAGTTACTCTTAGAGATTGTGATTGCTTAAGATGTAAGAATAAGAAATCAAAGATTTCCAGAAATTCCAAACCCAACCCAAAATCAAAGTGAACACCAATTTTATATATGATTTGATGTTGTGTTAAAAACCAAGAAAAAATTTTAATTTTTTTAATCAATTCTATAAAACCGCTTTGTGTTAGCACGATACAGTATTGGTTAAAAACATTGGTCGTCATAGTAACGCTATAGTACAAATGGCGATAAAAACAAGATTTGAATCAACGAGTACGTGTTATTAAAAGATAATGAAGTTTTCATAAAAATATCTATGAATTATTGATTTAATGAAATTTCTATTAATAAAAAAAAATATTTTTATTGCCATTTAGGCAAAGTGCGTCTTGGTCACGTTCAGTTTTGTCCCGTGGTCATTTATTTTTAGATCGGGCAGTCAAATAAAGAACAAAACATCTCATATTTTTCGAAAACAATTTTTCGTGTTGTGGTCGAAACCAAAAACAATAATACGATATTTGATTTCGACTAATTTTATATTTTTATTGTTATAATTCTAAATCAAAATATATATGTTTAGTTTTCGATGAATTCGAAGTAATAGGAGATAAAACTTACCTTCAAAGAAGTTTGGGTCGCACTAAACAGCAAAACACAACCGAAAATGAGTAGTTTTACGTTTATTTTAGCGAGTTAGATTCGCGACGTACAATGTTTACTAGAACAGGATTGTCAATCGTTTAACCTTATGCCAAGTTGGCAGTATTTTTGGCCGTTTGGCCCATAGTACTAATCAAGTCGAATGTACACACGAGAAAGAGGGACAAATATACTTTTTCCCTCCATTATATAAGGCTATACGCAGTTACTTTCCAAGAAAAAAATGTTTAACATTATAAAAAATAAAGTATACTTTAAGGTGTTTTTTATTGGTAATATACATATAAAATTACACGTATGTCACGTTGGAAAAATCTTGAGCGTGTAAAACATGGGGGAACAACGGCCGCAATAGGATTATGTGGTCATATCAAAAATTATTTAAAAATAATTTTTGATACCACACCATTTAAATTAAAATAAAGAATAAATCAAAAAAAAGAAATAGTTGCATAGATAGGACTAGTAATAGTGAGATGCGTTGCGGTTGTTGTGAGTAAAAGTAACGTTTTTAACGTACAAAAATATAGTTTATATATTCTTTTTTGTTCAGGGCCGCACCTACAATTTTTTTAATTAAAACCTTACAAATTAAAATTAATAAAGAAAAAAAAAATTAATTTAGTGAAAAAAAAATTAAATTAATTAAAAAATAAAATTAAAAACGGCGATAAGATCTAATTTTTTTGTTAGTGATGTTGAGATTCAGCATATAGCATTTTCAATAAAAAGAAACTTTAGCATGCTTTAGCTATAATATGAGAAACTCGAGAATTAAGTTTAAATTATAGCACACTAAAGTTTTTTATTGATTATACAATATCTCCTTTGTTCGCATTATTATTTTTTGATAACGAATTTTTTATCAAATCGCACTTAAACGATTAAATTATCTCAGTTATATGTGAGTAAACGAATAATACGGGTACAATAGATACATCTAATTGACAAATTTGCAACACTAAAAAAATAAAAAATAGTTTTACCCTTCTTTTATTTTTATTCATTAGAAACTATTCCGCGGCGGTGTTTGCAGATTCTAGATCAACTTTTTTCTCTTCTTCATCTAATTTTTTTTCGACGTCGACGATCGGTTTTATTTCTCTCCTCAGCGACAGACTCAAATCAACTTTATTCTGTTTCGAGTCGTGACTAGAAATTGTCCGTTGAGATGAGTATAAGGCCTTCATGGTTGACGGATTTGGAATCGGTGGACATGAATACGTCGATACTGAACTTAAATTTCGACGGTGACGTCTGTGTGAATTTTTTTGTTCAAACACTACAAAAACTAAATTAATTAAAAACCAACAACACATTTTTTTTAATATTTACGTTTATCCAAACTTATAATTGAACCGACGACTTCATTAACTGTTATTACAGCGGTTTCATCGAGCCGTTTACGACGACGAACTAACCACCAATCCAAAGTGAAAATACCAAGGGCCAGGATTTTAATGCCACCACAAAGACCCACATAACGATATCGGAATTGTTCGATATCGTAAAGTAAACAGCGCCCGGCTTTTTCATCACATGAACTTTTCCAAAGGAGGCACGTTGAATCTATTAAATTCCCGAATAAAATCGGCGCTGGGATATATCCAAAGAGACGAAATATAACAAATTGCATTCCTAATGCGAATGAACGTTCTTCTTCACTTACAGATCTTAAAAATACAAAAATAATTTTGTTAAAAAAAATTTAATTAATTTTTTTAAAAATGATTTTATGGCAAAATTATTTCTCCTCTGTTTTTAGGAAAATCTTGATGCTTCTGAATTGTTATAACACGTGTTAATTAAATTTTTGAAAATTTTAGAAATATAAGAACAAATTAATAATCACTTAAAAATCGTTTAAAGTGAAATAACTCAAAAAGTAAAGGCATTAAGTATCAACAATCCTTGTTAAAGTCGATGTAATTTTTAAAGGGGAATCGGAATATGCAAGAAAAATTATACTATGATATTTAAAATAACAAAGTTACAACCTCAAGTATTATGAATAATACTTAGGGCGGAAATTATTTCTTCCATAAACTTCAAGCATGGTTGACTTGGTTTCAGGCTCCGAATCCCGAGTGATACCATTAATAAGTACAGTGTGTTAATTAATTAATTATCGTACCCGACGTCATCATTGCAAGTATGCAACCAATATCACAGTATTGGTATTGCAATACGCAAATCGCGTATACGATAATTAATTAACAAAGTGTATATGTAATATATGTATAAAATAATATTAAGCCATAAAACCAGTTTTTTAAATCTAATATAAATACCTAAGTACTATCATTAATAGTGGCATTTGTGTAATTGCAACTATAAACGTCATAAAGAATAAAAGTATTAAAAATGGGTAAATTGTGTGACACGAAGAATTACATGGCCCAGCTGTTGCAACTGGGACTACAGTAACTTCAGCGTAGTCGTCTCTTGATATTGACATAGCGGAAGTTGTGCCACCAATTAAGCTCATATTTCCATGAATACCTAAAATGTAAATGAAATCGTTTTGGAAAATAATTTTTTTTATGGAAAATTGTCTTACAGGCACAGTTGGTATAATTAGATCTAAGTATCGACGTGCAGCCCGCGTGACACGGGCTAAAGTACGTTAAGCCATTGTTACCACAAACCGGTTCGACGTCATTCGTCGTGCATTCGCAACCAAAATTGCATGATGACGTTAGATTGACTTCGAACGGTTCGGCGAGCGTGCTATTAAAATACGGAATGGTTGTGCCGGCCATTTTTAGATTGTCACAACCAAGGAAGAAGAGTAACGCGTAACAAAGCAGGCACATCGTGTTTGAGATCAAAACGAATTGCACCGCACCTTTCGGGCGGAGCTCCATTTTTTGTAAGATCCAACCGCCCATAAATATTCCTATACAAGCCCCTGGAATAGCTATTGAACCTAAAAAAAAGGAGTATTAAAAAGAATTATAAAACGGAAAAAAGTTTACCTGTGAAAACGCTAGCTTGACTTTTACCTAATCTGAATTGTGTTTCTAAGTACTTTGGTAAGAATACAACAAATCCGGATACAATAACGAGTTCCATGCAGGCTCCAAGACACGTTACAATATAAACGGGGTTGCAAGCTAAACGCCACATTGAACGGGGAATATCTAAATTTTTTTATTATAAACATATTTTATAACGGCGAATATTAATGCATGATATACCTTTAATATCCTTTCCATATCCAGAATCATTAGTAGTATTACCAGATGGTTTTTGTGTAGGTACAATAGAATTAGTGCTAGTTACAGTGGCAGTTTTTTCTGTAAGTCGTTTGCGTTCCTTTTCAACTGACAACACTTTCGGGAAAGAAAAAAATGGTATGGAAACTAAAAGCAGAAGGACCCCGCTTAAAAGAAATCCACCCCACCACATTCCCACCCAACGGCGATCACCAGGACCTAAAAAAATTCATCTTGAGATTGTATCACCAAAACATTTCAATCTCACCTATATCAATTAAATTTGAAAATGAATCTACATGAAACGATAATAAATAAGCCCCCAATAAGAATCCTAACACAGGTCCAAATGCAGCCATACTGTACATACAACCAATATACATTGACGAACTATCTGATTTAACGTGATCATCAACGTATGTCGTTCCTAAAGTAAACAAAGGCGACCCACCACAACCCAATAATAACTGTGCTAAAACGAAAAGAAGCACTGGAATTGTAGTTGATGGGGTCCCTTTTATACAATTATCTCCTCGCAAATTGTTGTGTGGTCCTAAATTAGGCGACGATAAGCCCGACGATAATCGTCCTAATCCCATGTCTTGTTCTCTAACCGAAACTACCCGGCACATATTTTCAGCGGTTGCATTAGCATTTGCACCGCTCCCGTGCTCTTCGGAAATAAAGTGCGGTATCGTAAAAATTAGCGAACCGATTCCCATAATCACCGCTCCAACTCCGATCCAAACAGGAATGTGTCTTCGACTGCCCAAATAGCTGACGAAAATCACCGTTATCACATTCCCGATTTCGTAAGACGACGCGATCGAACCGGATAGACTCGAAGGGATGTCGAATCGTTTTTCTATCGTCGTTATCACAGAGTTTATGTAACCCGAACTCAAGGCTTGTTGAAGGGTTACCAGGAACGATAACAGTAAAACAAAACACTGGAAATTTAGAAAAAAATTCATTATATTCAGAAAGGATTTAATTAATACTTTTTTTATACCTTTATACCGGCATATTTTTGTATGAAACTTGGTCGGCACTTGAGTATTCCACATTCTTTTGCATCCTTTATTATCACAGCTGGCGTTTCGATATATAAAGCACTACGTGTCGCTTTATCTCTACAATTTTATATTATATTAATCATAACCAAATATAGGTTACTATACTTTATTTTTTAATTCGGGCGAGTGATTTCAAATTGAAGCGCCAAAAAGAAAGGTTGCTATTGGTCTGTTTTAAGCAAAAATTACACTGGGAAAATTCGAGATGTTTCCGGCCGAATAGAAACATTCGGGTTTAGTATGGCTAAACCCGAATTATGCTAGTTCTAAGTCTTGTGTTAGTTCTAGTGATAGTGTAAAACTAGAACTAACACAAGACCTAGAACTAGAATCATTCGGGTTTAGCTGTCTTGAGAGACGTGAGGCTAAACCCGAATGTTTCTAGTTCTAGGTCTAGTAGATAGTTCTAGTTTTAGTTCAATAAAAACATGCAACTTAATATATATATATATATAACTACAGTTTTGGTATTAAAACTCCTGCCAAAAATTACTGACTTTTCATTTTACTCCTCCAAATTAAAAAATAAAGTATAGACAATATTAAATATTTTACCTGTCAAATCCAGTTGAAGGATTCCTGCTATGACACTTCACGACGGTGTCATGGCAATAATTTGTCGGTGGCAGGGGTGGTTTAGTTGGTTCCGTTTCCGTTTCCGCTGTTGTTTCTTCTTCGGGAACCCCCTCCGAATATAAACCGGTCATTGCATACATTGATTCTTGCCTCCTGTGGCCTCTTCTTGTAACGGAACCATCCCCAGTTGTAGGGTGACCACTCGTCGTACTATTCACAGTCATTTTTATTTATGTTGAAAAATAAGTACGAAGTAGTTTCTTAAAAAAGGGCTGTCCTAGGCCAAAAGTGTCTATCTAAAAAAATAATTTGTGTTGAAATATTTTCACATCATGATAACATCCCACTCAGCTAATAAATATTTATGAATCAAATTAAATAAAATTTTTTTTTAAATGTGCCCGAAATACAAAATTATCAAAATTCATTAGATGGAATACACTTTCTAATAACAGTTTTGCAAACTTAACTTACGCAACTTCAGAACCAAGAGCCGCTTTCTCTGGGGCTCTTTCCCATTGTGTACACCAACGCAAATAGATAACGAGAATGAGTAAAAATTGTTAAAAATTATGTCTAATATAAAAAAAATGTATTTGGCAATTTGTATGAGTCGGTGGATATTCGATAAGTTGTGAAATTTCCATATGTTGCTAGGTAACGAAGCCCTTGACCTAATCGGTGAAAAAGTTGGCAAATACCGATTTTCTAATACCAATAATCATCATTGGTTGATGTAAAAGTGGAAACGAAAAAGAAGACTGTATTGAGTAGGTCTTCTACATAGATTATTTGAATGACCTTGAAGATGTCAATAACACGATCCCGTTTCTCGAAACGATGAACATTACAAACGGTTTAATAAACAGTTTAGTTTGCGGTTGTGACGAAACAAAAGGAAATTCTTAAAACAAAGACTGTTTACCCCGAAGCAGTCCACGATACGTATACACACCGTTGTTACGCGCAATTACGATTTATTTAATAATAAATGACACTCACCTCGAACCGGATTTCCACGAAACTTTCAATAATATCCACTCTGCAACTCTTGCGGTCCTTCAGTTTACAATAAAGCAAACCGTCCGTGCATTGCTCATTGTTATTAGCTGATAAAAAATCGATCGTTAAAGCACCTAAATGGGTCTGTAAATAAGTGCCTCATGTTATTGAACAAATTTGTTTAACGCGCACAAAGAAACCAACATTTCTTCATCGAACGAACGACACGTTTTGGTTGACCACGGCACTGACCGCACACGCCGAGCCCCATATCGAGGCGCAGACCTCTCGGAAGGACCTCCTCTCTGCCAACACAGCCGTGTGCTTTGAACAACTTCGAACGACCTCGCTTCTTTTCCCACTACTTATTTCCGACGAATGCGGAAGAACTCATTTCCGGATGTTTTACCGCACGAAATCACAAAACATTGATTTAAAAAAAAATTATGGCCATCTCGAACATAGGAAAATAACTCTTGTTTATAAAATAGATACAAAAAAAATACAGGGTATAATTGTGTTCTTACATTATACGCAAACTCCGTACGATTTCACCGCCATCCTTTGGCGAAGAGATGTTAACTCTCACATTCAGTAGAAATACAAAACTTTTTGAATCAAAGAATGAAATTTAGGATCAGGACATAAAGGATTCGTTAAATAAAAAAACATTTGTAGGTAATTTTGCAAAGCGATCCATATATTTCGTGTACATTCGTCTACAAAGGGCTACCAGCGGAAAATGTAGAAATACAAACGACGCTATTGCCACAGAGAAACAAACTTACACGAAAACGAAATTGGTGCGACAAAAACGGATCAAAGAAGACGGTTTAAAAATTCTAAATCCAATTTTAAGTACTATTTATACATGAGCATTCTTCGATTTCACAACATAGTACACATCTATAACCCAGACCTACTGGGAATTGAAACAAAACGAAACAATTGATTGCACATTGTACGCCTTATCCCTCTAAAATTTGATTGTATTATGTACAAACTAAAAAATAAAAAGCGACGAACGGGGGCTGCTATCATAAAAATCAAACCAATAAATACAACTGCAACTATTATAAAATACGAAAGACATACCAGTGAGATGCTAAGTGAACTGATCAAATATAGTCGCCACGAATGCTAGAATAAATAATTAATATTGACTTTACGATTAAACGAAATGTACATGAATCACAATGTGCCCGTGATCCACCATTTAAAGCAATTAATAATTTTTTAGGATTTTGAAATTACATAAAATTAACTATCACAATGTACACGTAACAGTATCGAACTGTTCGTTCATTCGTTACGGTGCATCGCCAAAGCACGGCGAATTTTTTTTTTGTTTTCATTTTTTTTAAGATATGCTACAACATGAGTGAGCCCTCGTATTGGGCGAATAAACTTTTATTAGTCTTTGTTTGTGGACGATGGACGGGCATGGCGCACACATCTTATAATTACAATTACATCATTCATGATATTGAATACTTTCACGTGTAAATACATATATGTACATCACGATAACAATTATTAGAACAATTCGATATTTTCTTTTAAATTAAATAATTATTATTGATACAATTTAATATAAAATAAAACAATTCCAAAAACTTGACACAAAATTAACCTAACATAATAAAATATATATTACAAGTGCAATTAAAATCACTTTTTAGTATTTTTAGTATCAGTTTGGGTCTTTAATTTATCCGGTTTTTCCACTTTCTCTACTTGTTTATCACATTTACTCGGTTTCTTTTCTTGGCCGTTAGTTGGGCTATCCTTTTCTTCAGCAATTCGAGGTAACAACTCGCCCGGAGCAGCCAACGATAACGACAATCGATTCTCGTTGTTAGACATGTTATTCGAAGCCTCGATCGATGGAACATTCGTTTCTGGCTCATTATCTTTATCGCGTTCGTGAGTTGAAGCGGGTCGCCATACCGCTCCAGCTCCCCCAATTCTGCCCGGGTGAGTTTTTACCCCAGATACGGCGTTTCCTGATGAACACAAAGGTGAAATATGGGAACATTTGCTTTCCGCGCTTCTCGGATGTAACCGATCTGGAGATAAAGCTCTTCTAAGCAGCGGAGATCCTGGTTCTGTACTTTTAGGACGAACAAAACTTTTCTTTGATTGACCACACGTTGTATTAACCGGAGCTGTACCTGCGCTTGGACTGTATGATTGCGTGGTGTTTGAACTTCCTGGTTGGTGACCTACAGGAAAAGCGAGAGGGCTCGGAGATCTTGTTGGAGATGCAGGGAGGGGGGAAGGAGAAGGAGTTCTAGCTAAAGGCGATAAAGGAATATGTCCCACCGATTTCCTCCGACCGGGGACGTTAGCGGGACAGGAAGGACTCGCCGCATGCAAAGATTTGCTACAAGAACTCGAATGAAGCTTGTGCTTTAACCCGTGCAAGGTGGATGGACGTTGTTGATAGTGTTGTTTCGCATTTCGTCCACTAGTTGCTGGAGTTGGGCTCGGAGATGTCGATGGTGTTTGAGAAGATGAACTGCTTGAGTGTTGATTGAACGAATCCGACGGTGACAAACTTGAACGATTGGAAGAGGTGTTACGAACGGTACTTTGAGGGCCATCTTGCGATCTTGGGAACGACGAAAAACTTCTACTTGGAGTTACAGTTAACGGTGATTGTATACTAGCTGCCATCTATGTCGTCACAACAAAATCAGAATTAAATCAAAACAAAAAAATATATTACCTGTTGCATTTCAACACTAGCCCTTTTACTGCTTATTCTACGAAACAACGACGTTTTTCGCCGTTTCTCGTTATCTCGTTTCTGTTTTCGTTGCCGATTCAAGCTGCGCTTGGCAAGTTTACTTTGGCCAGGTTCCCGTTTACGTCCCCCGGTTTGTATCGAAGTCTGATCAAGCGGGGTTGCTCTCAAACTAACGTGTTCAGCTCCGCCCAACAACAATTGAAGCACTTGAGTATGATAAAGTCCTTGTACCGCTTCTCCATTGACGTGAGTTATCAAATCAGCTGGTCGAAGACCCGCTTCAAAAGCTGGACTACCTTCATCTACAGCCTAAAAAATGCATTAGATCGAAATTGAAACGATAAAATTAAATTTACCATAACCAAATGGTGCATAGTATAAAAATCGGTATCCCCGTAATAAACGCGTATTGTATGAACCGTGAATCCGAATCCTTTAGGGCCTCTCCTAATTATTATCGGGGGTTTCAAGTTTGTAACAAGCGGTGATAATTCGCGACATGGTGAAGTATCTCTTGAACTAGCGGTACTTGATCCACCACCTCCGTTCGGTGAGTGCACTCCGACTGGATGCGTTTGAAAATCATCTGGGGGAGTAATATTTTAGTGATTTCTTTTATTGTAGTGATTTTTTTAATACCCGATGGTATGATGAGCGATAAACCTGAAGCTGAGGCGCTTTTTACAACGGCTCGTGACCGATGTTTGTTGGGTAATGCGATAGGAGCGGACATTTTTGGACATAATTCCCTGATGTTTTCGTTAGATGAACTTGTATCTAGTTTGCTGTGGAAAAAAACATTAATATTCAAAGTAATTTGTTGATAAATTGATAGATCTAAATCAGTGCCGTTTTAAATCTCGAAATAAAACCTCCTTGTATCCTTATACAAGAACGGTTTCCTTACATGCCTTATGGATAAATAGGCACTGATCTAAATGGTAAAAAAGTGCACCTATTCTACAATACCTTTTAAAAGAAGGCCAAAATTGGATAACATTTCTTCTTATATCTTTATTAATTCTAACACCAATTAAAAAATCATTCACAAGTTTTGTCACAAAATAAAATTAAAAAAATCTTACCCGTTATATTCATCTTCGACGGAAATGGAAAACTTTGGTAGAATATCCCTGGCGTGTCCAGTTTTTCTCCTACGTTGTATCTGAGGTGATACATCATCACTATCCGTTTGAGACGATTCAGGCGTACTAACCGTCTTATTAAAGGTCAAAGTAATTTTCCTATGCTCAATCGGAACCAAATCTGAGTAGTCCTTTTCGGGAGTTAACACATTAGGCCTAATTTTAGCTTTAAAATCAGGATTTTCTGGTGTATCTGGAGTTGTAACAACGGAAGTAGTGATTCGAATGGATTCGCTGTTACTTTCCGACTCTGTGGTGGTGGTGGTTGTTGTTTTAGACGTGGACTGCGCTTTGCGATATTGCGGCGAACACGACGAAAACAACCCGAAAACTGGGGAATCGTCCGTATCATCCGTGTCGTCCTCCAAGTCGTGATTATAACGGTCTATTCTACTATCGAAGTAACTAGTGTCTTCATCGTTGTCTAATTGCGGAACAAATTCCGCTTTTTGCCTTAAAAGTGAGTTCCAATCCAGACCACTAAAATAACAGTGTTCTTTTACCTCCTGAGCACCTCCTGTACCTAACCGATCGCGGGGTAAATGTTGCAAAAGGACCGTTATTAAATCTTTAGCCTCTTCTTGAACACTCCAATCGTCATTATCGGGCCATTCAATATCATCTACAAAAAAAATTAAAATAAACTTAAATAAAATTTTTTTATTATTAATCAATACCATTAACGGTATGCGCAAATAATTCTTCTGGAGTTTCTCCAAAAAATGGAACACAACCAATAAGGAATTCATAAAGTATTATTCCCATCGACCACCAATCCACGGGTTTTCCATAACCTTGACGCAAAATTACTTCTGGGGCGATATACTCAGGCGTACCAAATACTTGTTTATCAGAAAACTGTTTTGTTTCGCAATCAATGTACCCCTCATATAAATTTGTAGCAACTAAAAAAAGCAAATAATAAAACGATTTTTTAAAACAGTCATAAAAAATATTTACGTGACATTAAGCCCATTTTGCTTAACCCAAAATCGGTGAGTTTGATATGCCCCAAAGCGGTAATTAAAAGACTAAAAATAAAAAAATTAAATATTCTCATTAAAAAAAAATATTAATTCTTTTTACTTATCAGGCTTAAGATCCCTATGTACAATTCCATAACTATGTAAATATTCAACAGCGAGTACAGTTTCCGCGAAATAAAATCTTGCCATATCAGGCGGAAGAGGGCCGGTATTTCGCAATAAACTGGCGCAATCTCCGCCTTCAACATACTCCATAACCAAACATAAATGTTTTTTTGTTTCAAAGCTACAATACATGCTAACAACGAATGGGTTGTCCGCGAAACTGAGAATATCTCTTTCAGCGAAAACTTGCTCGACTTGATTGCGTAACATAAGGTTGTTTTTATTGATTTTTTTCATTGCGAATCTCTGTCGGGTTTGTTTGTGTTTGACAAGATATACGGCGCCGTAAGCGCCGTTTGAAATAAGTTTGATTACTTCAAAATTCTGTTCGCTAGGTACCGTCGAGCCGAACTTTTTACAATTTGGCGTTGAAGTAAGACAAACTGCCGCGGAACGTGCATCTCCCGACGGCCAATTGCAATCTCGAAGTTCGCGTTGTAATTCGGCAATGGGATCTCGGTTCAACCCCAGCTTTTGAATGATATATTGCGGAATATCAGCTTTAATACCCTGTGTAACCTTGACTTGGCCTTCAGCCGCCTCTAAAAAGTGATAAAATTCTTCCGGGTCGAATTCTAAGCACTCAAGAAGTCGAGCGGGTCTAGAAATAATTAAAAGAAGCTTTTTTATTATTCCTGTAACCTGCGTAGCGGCTTCTTCTGATTTTTCTTTGGTCTCGGTTAGTAAGCGCTCCAAATTTTCGGACATCTCGTAAAAATATCGACTGGTTATTAATTTATTGTGAGATTTATTCAAACAATCTCTAGCCATCTCGAGTACTTGGTGATGAACGAATCTAACGATCGGTAAAAAATCACAGTTTTCTTCCGCGTCGACCAATTTATGTTCCTCTATAAAATTTCCCAACCGCTCTTCCATTTGTTGCGTTGCCTTCGGAAATCGCTCTTTATATAGTACGTTCATCATAGATATTTCATTATCGACAATTGGAGATCTACTCGGACTACTCAGACTTCGAGAACGCGGCCTATGCAAGGGTGACCTGTGCGTAACCGTTTCGTCATAATTAATACCGGGTAATGACGTGTTACTTTCGTTACTGGAGAAATGATGTGTCAATAAGCGCATATCGTCCGATGTCGGAAAATGGGGTAGTTGGTGCAACTTCTCGTGGCTCGAGCATTTTGATGACATGTTCGAGCTCCCAGGAGTTGTACCGTAACCGGACGAAGGCAACGATGCTACTGACCATCGTCTGCCATCGCCCCTATACCCCACGGGTATCCTAAAATAAAACAGATTTTAGTAATTATAATTATTTAACATAAAATGATATTATATATATACCGTTTTATCGGGACGAAAGAAAAGTTTAAATAACTCGAATGAGTACGTGGACTGTCTATTGGGCTCCCACATATTGGTGAATGAGATCTAGGTAATGTAGGTGATGTATTCGCCACAAAACTTAGTCTGTGTACTACCGCTGGTCTACTATTTCTTCTTCCAATCCACACATCCTTCTAAGAAATTTATTAAATAAAAATGAAATAAATTTATTCTTACGTACCATATTTGCGGATAAGGATGGTGCCGATTTTCCAAGGGCAGAATTGTGGAAACGCACTAGATTGGAATGGGGCACGGGTTGTGCGTCTAACAAAACAAAGATCATCTCGTTATAAACTTGTAGAAAATTAAGATTATTAAAAGACAATTTGCGTAGAACCTCCGACTTTGACCATTACACGTCCGCTAAAAGACTGCCGGTTAAAATTAACTCGTTTAAAAATGTGGCAGTCGTGAAGGAAGGTGTATATCGAATATGCGTGCAAATCCATCGCCAATAAATCATCTATTATTGTACGGTATAGTGAATATAAGCTTAAGAATTTCGATTGGAAATTTTGTTATCAAATTTTAATTGAATAATCTTCCGGATATGAAACAATTAATAACATATTTATTAATCACTAAAATAATTTGTAAAATCCAAAATTACGTACATGTACGTGCTCGATATAACCGTAAATTATGTTTTATGGCTACCGTTTTGGCTTCCTTTGTTAAGTCCAATCTTATGTTGGTGTAAATCTTATTTATAGGATCATGAAAACACTTGTTTTACAAATTTTCCTAAACATCTTTCTTTAAAGATTTACAAACAATAAATATATTTGTTTTGTCCAAATATTACTCATCAATTCCAAAAGTCTTTTTTTGATAACATCTATGTTGGGTATTATACAATATTTACACCTAATTAGGATATAAACAACGCGCAGTACCACGATATCTATCTTTAGATTTCGTTGGGAGTTTGCAATACTAAAAAACTACTCTTAATATTATTATGAAATTAGAGTTGACAAAAATATTTACATGGAATACAAGTATAAACAAACATTGTTTTGCGTCTTATAAATAGTATTGTACCTGCGTTGGGCGCCCCCTGGGTATGGGCAGAGCCGTGGTGCCAACATTTGGGTTTTTGCTGTTGGGGCGTAGAGGCCGGCTCGTCGAAGACGAGAACCCTCGCCGAATTTGAACGCGTCCGCTGCTTAGCCCCCTTGTTGTTGTCTTCCATCTATGGCGATTCACATAATCGGCACTCGATCAAAAAGGAGGTGGAGGCGGAGGTGAACCGAGGGACCAGGTGGAGGAGGAGAAGAAGGATAACGACGAAAAATCGTCGACTACCACCGCGTCGTCGACTCACCACCCCGAAGAGGAATACATCGGCGTCGGCCGACGTCCATTTCGACCGCACGTCTCATCCGACATACATACACATGTATATAGATATACGTGTAACGTATATAACGTAGACGACGTCGTCTACGAACAGCTGCGATTGAACAACTGGACGCACGCGCACCGTTCAGGCTGCTGCTGTCTACGAAAGTTAACCCTGACACCGTTCTGTTTACCTTTCCCGTTTGTCCCAACCCATGGCCCTCGACTCTCGGTTACCAACTTCTCTGACCCCGTTCACCCCCGCACCATTCGACGCGGTTAGAGCCACTGCCCGAGATCGCCTTTGTTTTGTGCTATTTTCGACCCTAAAGGACCTTAGAGGGGCCCTAACTAACGCAAGAGGCCGCTTTACGACGGCGGCGGTATCGATCGTTTCTGACAAAAACGAATGGCGATATCCGTTTATCCAACATGCAACAAGTAATACCGATAGACATCAGCTCATTTACGTCAGCTTTATTCTTACAATTCCTAACGTGAATTTTTTTTTTATATTCGCGAACAATTCACGCTAAGCCGTTCGCTAACAAACTGATCTTATCATGTCAAATAGGTATCTTTAGTTGCCTAATCAGCACTACTGTTTTTCAATGTAATCAACAAAATATTTTGTAATAACTCCAATTTATAGAGATTAAGTTTCTATCGTTTCTCAAGAATAACTTTGTTATTGCAAACCAGTTGATAATAATTCAATGTTATCTAAGCATATCGATATGCGATTATCAAATTGCTCAAATTGAATTCGTAATGAATGAAAAGTGACGAAGCAATTTCAATTTAAGATCTTAAGTAATGACGATATGCAACCTAGTTAGCACACAACAAAATTATTACTTTAAAATGGAGCTGGATTTTTGCAAGGATATATATGAATAAATGATTTTTGGTCCAGTGAGATATTTATTCTGGCATCGACATATACACAAAATTGTTGTAGAATATGACGAGGAGGATGAATGCGAAAAATTTTATTATGTAGCAGGAACAGTTAAGTCGTAGTATAAAATAAGATTTCTATTGTTTTCTTAAACTACCTACCTCCAAGAATCTTAAGGATCGATTTTAATTTAAGGTTTTAGGTATTTAAGTGACAAAAGTGTATTAGATCAATAAAACGACAAGAAAAATTTTTACATATTATACATACATATAAATTCGACAACTAAATACATACATCACATCACTGCTAAGACAAAAAAAATGTTAGCGCACGTTAGTCGAGGGAGGGGTTGTTTTTAGGTAGTTTTCTGTTATTAAAAAAAATCAGAACAATGCTTGTCAGAAGAAATGCGTGTTCCGTGCGAAACGTCTGCGAGACATGTTTGTCTTTTTCTATACGAACATGTTTGGCCGCTTACAATATTAAAATAAAGAGATCAAGCTGTCGTTTGTTACAGTCCGAGGCGCCTCCACCTCATTTTCCCTTGGCGGTATTTTTGTTGTATTTTTTACAATAAAATACAAGTCCATTACAACTATGCTAATCACTCACAAACTACAATTAAAAAAAATGTATCTAAAAATTAATCTAGAAATGGGTAACGGTTCGTTTACCCATCGTCGAATCGACGACACACGTGTCAAATCAGCTCGAGAGGAAAAGAAAGACGTAAAAGGAAAACATATTGAATACGGCAGTGAGTTATTATTTTTATTATTCCGTTTCCGCGAGTGTTTTTTGTTTGTTTAAACCTTTGGCTTATTTATGTACAGACCTACGCGCGCGCGTAGCTCTAATCACCCGGCAAACTAAAACACTGGGCTCATAGAGATACTTTCAGACTTTCAGAAACTAATGAGGATGTCCGACGCGGATACGCAAATGCGCGGATATGCGGAATCACGGTTAACGGGGAGGGATGGGTTGGAGATGATAGAAAGCAAGTTGTTTACGAAACTCTTAAAAATCCTTATACATTATTATCGTTATTTACAGCGTATATACTCGTTACACGTGCAACTTAGCAGAATACAACAATATCTATAGGCACTATCTGCACATAGCTAATGTAACACATATCACCAAACTCTCTTCATTCGTGATAACTTTTCCCTATCATAAAAACTGACTTCGATTTATAACCATTACTTTTTTTTGGGGATTATATTTTCGTCATACTACGCCTATCTAGTATTAATTACAAAAAAATTAATTAAACGCCACCGAATCCGGAAATTCAATAGTTTTCACGCAAAACGAATTAGGCAAGAAATACAATGCACTTCTTTGGGTAGGACTAACAAAACTTAAATTAACGTTTTCCTCCTTAAATATTTTATCTTCTTTCTTTCAACCTTCGAACCCATAATTTCAGTACTAACATCTAATCTACGAAGAGGATAATATAAAACCTACAAGAACCGGAGCGTTCGGCCGAAACATGCACAGTTCCCGTAGCGGCAGTAAAACGTTTTAAAATGTAGAAACGTTTTGCCGCCAAACGATCACAGTAAATGTCTGCACAGTGCCGCGTCTGTTCACAGGTAATAATTAATAAACAGGCATATTTTTTTAACAATTGACGCACATTCGTAATTTCGATATTGCCACATAGTTAATTAATCCATTCTAACATAATTACCAAGATGAAATTAAGAGAATATAAAAACGAAACAAAAAAAACAAATAGAAAATTCAAATAAATAACATTAATAAATATTTGAAAAAAAATTCGAAAATGTCTTTTCAAATGAAAATTGAGCCGTCTCCTCCTCCGCGGTTTATCAATTAACGCCGGACGAGAGACAAGACAGATAGTCAATGTGGGTGTGAGGAACGAAGATCTTGTGCTAAAAGACTTAAATAAAACTAAAATTGACCTAACCGCACAATCGGTTGAGCAAAAAAACCTATACAGGTGATTCTGAAAAACTTGTATAAAAAGAATTCCAAGAGAAAATAGGTCGATTCAAATACGAAATTTCAAAGGTTATAAGTTGGGTTAAATCGATCTATTTTAAGTTTAAAAAAGTGTAATATATTTTAAATTTTTCAGAAACATCTGATATATGTCGGAAAAAATGAATTAAGTGATGACCTGATGAAACATTGAAATTTTCGATAAAGCACTAAAGTCACGCGTATATCACATAAACGATACGATCACAAAAAACGATAGATTTTTTGGCAAACGCCGTAAACCAAAAAAAGTTGACCGTTACGTCCACGATACAATTCTATTTACTACACGAGTAGTTTATTCATTATAGGATAGAGTATTACAAAAGTGAGAAATGTGTAATACGTCACAAGTAAATCGTTTGGGATCGCATTTTTTTATTTTGTTTCCTCTTCTCGCTTTGTATTTTTTTCTTTCTTTTTTTTTTGATTTGTTTTACCCCACTTGGAAAATCACAATCTGCAAAATACAAGATATGTGTGTTGAAACACAATTATTAACTAAACGCCTTAGCCTACGATCACATGGTGAAACGGAGATAGATGGGGCTACGTAACCGACGGCAACTTTCCCGAGTGGTTGCTGTGCTGAGAATGCAGCGTAGCGGACCTCTCATCGCTCAATTGTACCCTTACCACTTTGTTGCTATTAATCAAAGTGTTCGTTTTGGGGGTACCTCTTGGTGCTGACGATGTACGACAAGGTTCGATCTTTTCGTTTGGTGGTCGTGGTAAACGCCTACGTAGCCACGCGTGTCTCAATGCATCGTACGGTGTCATCCGTAATTCTGGGTCCCATTCCAGGCACCGTTTTATGAAATCTAAGAATAAAATATCATCGCATCCTTTCAATACTTTTTTTAATTCCTTCGAACCCGGTGGTCCGCGCATTTTACCGCGTCTACTTAGACCACCCGTTATCACGGTAGTACCATCGGAAAGCGTCGAAGCAGTACAATAACGTGGATACCCTTTCGAACTAATGAAATTTTTGGCTCGTTTTGATTGGTCGAGTAAACGTTGAGGCGGCATTCCCAGCAATTCTATAATGCAAGCTAATTGATCTGCTTCGTCTTCGCCAGGAAGTAAAGGAAACCCGGTTAAAAGTTCCGCTAAGATACATCCCAAGGACCACATGTCAATCGGCATACCATATCGAGCTCCGAGTATAACTTCGGGAGCTCGATAAAAACGCGATTGTATGTAAGTATAAATCCTTTGATTTTCATAGCAGGATGACCCAAAATCGATTACTTTGAGACCGCTCCGACCCTGCTGTTTAAGTAGTACATTCTCCGGCTTCATATCACAGTGGATAATTTTGTTACGGTACAACGCCTCCAGGCACTGAAGCAACGAATGGCTGAATTTGCGCACCAGCTGAAGACTGAAACCCTGAAACTTGTTCTTTTTGATCAGCTCGTACAGATTGATCGAAAGTAGCTCAAACGTGATACACATGTGGTTGCGGAAAGTGAACGAATCCAACATGTGAATAATGTTCATCGTGTTATCCTTATCTTGTTTACGAAGATGTTCCAAAATGCGGACTTCTTCTTGCGCTTGCCTATGGAATCGTTTTTCGTTACGTACCATTTTTAGGGCGACGTGCATGTGCGTTTTATGATCGTAGGCTTTTACCACCTGTCCAAACGATCCTTTACCGATTACTTTCAGCACCTCGTAGCGATAAGCGACGTGGTCGTGAGGTATGTGGATGTACGATCCCTGTTCATTGTCGTAATCACAGTTGTTTGGATTTCCTAAAACCATAATTTATTCACATTATACACTGTGTTAATTAATTATCGTACCCGACGTCATCATTTATCGTTGCAAGTATGCAACCAACATCACGGCATTCGTATTGCAATACGCAAATCGCGTTATTGGTTGCATACTTGCAATGATGACGTCTGGTACAATAATTAATTAACATACTGCATATTTAGAATATAGAAGGTATATAAGGCAATGATTCATAAAAATAAAGAATGCATTTTAATAGTAATAAAAGATCGATTTGGAATGTTTATTGAACTAATTGTTTCTGTATAAAGAGTGATGATATCACACAGGAAACTCCATTGAGTTAAGTTTAACAATATCGATTTTGTTTACGAGAAATAAAAAATATCAGATTCGGAAAATTTTAATTAAAAAAAAATAAATTCCGATAAATGAAATTTCCTATTGTGTTGGAGTTGATAAAGATTTAAAATGAAAATGTTTTTATCAAGCAACAAGTGGTATACTAAGAAATCTGATAGATAAATACCTATAATTCCTGGTCGTTTTTTGGCGTTGGCCCCAATAAAATAAATTTGCGGGTAATTAAATATCTCGTAATGTTCGTAAGGGGTGAGCTTGTTCATATAGAGTTTCATAACCTGTTCAGGAGTGGCGACCATAGTCTTAGGTTTCTCAGGTTGTTGAAGCTGCTGTGAAGGGCTTGATGTAGATCCTTTAATTGCGCGACCAATAACACTTGGAGCAATCATAGTACAACCAGATTGAAGGTCAGGAAGGCCAGGTCCGGAGCCTGTAGAAGTTGTTGGAGGGCTCTGATCTTTAAGGACAGCCCCAGAGGTGGGTTTTAGGGGCGGTAGTCCACCCTGTATGCTGTCTTGTATAAACGAGTGCGAGGGTGCGTGTACGCTAAAGGGATGCGTCCGAGACAGGGGCATTTTCGTGCTGTTTACGACGGCTACACTAGACATTTCTCCGCGACTCCGGAATCTCTCGAGTTCCACTCGTCACCATCGTTCTAAAGACATCCAAGACCGTATACGACACGCACCACTAACACTATGAGGACCGAACCTCGAAGCGAGGACTGTTGTTCATGTTTCTGATACAACCAGGACCACGCGCATTGTCCACCGTTACACCGACAGCACGAACGATAGACCGTTTAATTTATAAACATTGCTTTTATAACAAAGAAATGTGATCTTTCGACGGCCATGTTTTATCTAACATTAGTTCAATGTACCGTCACAGTAGCGCCACGCGTCGCCCGGCTACCTGTCAAAAACCTCTAGGAACCGAGGATTTACGAAAATATCCGAATTGAACTGTCTTATTATCATTTTTTTTTATTTTTAAGTAAATAAGGAACTTTACATCTTAAAACTTATTTATTTACACAAAATCAATATTACCGAATCAATTTCAAAAACTTATATCTATTAATTTTTCAAAATAAGTATTGAATTTATTAATTTATAACAAATAATCATAGAACCGAGAATATTTAAGTTTCAAAAGTATTACTATAATGGACATTTTATGCGAGTTTAGAAGACCTACTTGAGTTATCTGGCGGAGTCTCAATGTGCTGCAGTTTTGCAAGAAATTAAATTCTACCTTCCGCCCCTACAGCAATTCTGGTGGTGTAGATAAACAGGGTTCATTGTTTAAAGTACTCCCAGGTTACTACATTATCTGCTTCTTGTCAAAATAAATCCTAAATTTACAATTTAAAACGGCGAAAATTCAAATATTTATACCCCCGCTCCTACGTCAAATTTGATGATGCAAATAAACATTAATTATCTTAAAGACGCTGACAATTTAAATATTTATCTCTCCAAATGTATTGCAAATCTGATGGTGAGAATAGTTCCAGAGAGCCTCCTCGAATTATCTAGAGTGTTACAGTTCCTAGTTCTTAAGAAAATGAATTCTAAGTTTACTACTAGAAACGAAGTATTTTCAAAAATTCACTTCTCTGCTTCTACGTAAGTCGAATATGCACGGAGTGTACTAGAAAACCTATTCGATTGCTCTAGGATAATCCTAGATTACTGCAGTGTTTGATTCTTGAGAAAATAAATTCTGCGTTTTCAATCAAAAACCTCGATACTTATAAAATTAGCCTCGTTGTTGTACCTGGTTTATTGTTCCAGATGTGCGCTACACTCAAGTCTCGCGATCCTTTCTTCCGCTCATCTTCAGAGATCTATTTTGGGATCTTTCATGTATACATCCCAAAGACGTTTACTTATTAAATATTCAATTAATAATTAATAAATACTAATTAATATAGCTACTATAGAAAGTAGAATCGCAAAATAGAACGATTAGATATAATGAAGCTAAAAGGGTTGTTAATGATGGGATCATAAAATAGGTGGGTAATAAATAAAACAAATTTGTAACATTTAAACTTGTATAATCAACAAGTTCCGTAATATGTATGCATAGCAAACAAAAAAAATCTGGTTCTCAGTGAATTGGACGTTTTGAACGCCGGGGCACCATTTTGTACGTTATTTTACATATATAATATATAATTTTATCTCTCTCTTGTATATGTATACGTATTTTGAATATATATATTTATATAAACTCTTGAAAATTTTAACAGTATATCACATGTTTTTACAATCTACTTGAAAAAAATCGGAAGGCGTACTTTGAGTGTTTTTATTAATATCACTATAGAAAGTAGTGGACCTTTTTGCGATAAGGCACGGAGGATCCGGGGTACATCATACGTACCACATTTTAATACTCGTTTTTTTATGACAATCGAAAATGTCACTGTGCGTTATGGTAACAAAACCCCGTCGCGGCATGAGGGAGACGGGGATCCTAAGCGTACGCAGCGGCGAGATTCATAATGTATGCAATATGAGCCCACGGAGTAAGTACTCGAAAAGCCTGTCATAGGGGGAGCCGAATCTCGCCTCAGGATACGCAACTAATCTCTAAAATACTAGATTAAAATACAATTGCTTTCAAACTACGGAGACATTCAATATTTCCTAGAAATAATTCGTACTGCTACACTCCTCGGTTTAGAAAAGAAAAAAATAAGAAAGAAAATCTTGGCCACATTCGATTTCGAATCCCGTCAACGGCATCACGCGATCATATCTATGTCCAGGGTGTCGCCGTCGACGGGATCGATGTGGCTCGTTGGCGTTGGCAGCCTTGGTTCCAGCAGAATCGAGTCGGATACAGCACCTCCACGATCCGGGGAGGACAACAAAGGATCGCAATGCAATGGGTGAGGTGAAGACAACATTGGATCACCATTTACTCCATTTACAGGATGATCATCATCGTCCATTAATTCATCCATTCCAGATAAACCAAGCGTTGCGTCTGTTATTACATCTGGCATCTAAAAAAGAAATCAAAAAAATCGATTTGTTTTTATGCCGATTTAAAATATCTTACCTTTGGGTTAGGCTCAGTTAATAGATGTATAGAAGACATAATAGCCGCGGTTGGATTTTGCACTTTAGAATAGGAACCATTTGTGTAAAGCGACGAACTGGACGTGGATCCGTGCCAGGTGAAGTCCGACACGGGTAAACCATGAGATTTTGCTTGACGTTCTAATTCCTGGAAGAGTAGCTCATGAATAAACGATTAACTCCAAGAACAAATTCAAGGTAAAACCCTCAGAATTATAAATAATTTTTAATTAATTTTAATAATACTGTTAATACATGACCCTTATGTAATCTGCATAAAATTTTTTATTAATGTATTAAAAAAAAGAGTCAAATTCATTCCTTCTCTTAGTCATAATATGATAATTGTAGTATATTTATGTAATCATTATTATTTACGACCAGATATACTGAGAATTACCGAGGAAATTTTGTTTACTTACAATCACAAATAAAAATTTGGGTATCACTTAGTAGATTCTTTATCTGTTTTGTTTGTGAGATGAAATTTCTTTTTTGAAATGTGTTTAGTGTAAATTTACGTTAATGATGATAAAAGACTACGTGCCATTATTTTTTTGTTGTGATAAGTAATCTTGATATACATGAAACAATGACGTACAATTGTTTACTTTATTTTTACGCAATTTTCTTCATCTTGCTTATTTGTATACTTAGTTATTTACGTAAAAAAGGTTATATTATTAAGATAAATATTACTTTGTGTGTCCAAATACGCATCGTTACGTAAACGGTACTTAAGGATCGTTTTCCCGCTTGTTTCTAAATTTCATTTCGCATTAAAGTGTAGTGGTCTTATTTCAAATTAATACTAAACAGATTCAATTAGCACGAATAAACATAACCGTGTATACCGCACAAGGCGTTTACTCATTTATCGGGTTTATGATTAAATTATTATGGTTCTATGAAATCTTACAAGAAATTAAAAAGTAAAAAGAGTTACTTTTGAGGTTACCGTGTTGAATTATTTAATTTTAAAACCAAACCCTGAAACGAAACGAAACGAAATGAATATGACCTGTATTTAAATTACCTGTATTCTTTGTTGCAAACGTCTATTGACAAGCTCGACTTGTTTTTGTCTGGCTTCGTTTTGTCTAAGCCTTTGGATCTCGTTCTTAAGGCACTTGATGTACTCCACGGAAGACTTTAAGATGGTACCCTTGTTCGGTCGGACATCCCGTACGATCTCGAAGTATGGGTCGTTGTTCTTTGGCAAAAGGGTGCCGAGCTCCTTGATACGATCGTTAATGTTGAACCTTCGCCTTCGTTCGACTGAAAACGACAACAGCGGCCGTTTAGAAAGTGTGTGGTTGAAAATCGCGGTCACCGAATCCGCTCGAACTCACTCATGTTATGGTTGTCCTTCTTTTGTCGATCTTTGGCCAGGGCGTGCAGCTCCGCATCGGTGTATATCGCTGGTTCATTTTTGATATTCAACTCGGTGGAAGTCAACGAGTTATCGGACGTTTTGAAACCGTCTGACGCGAGCGAACTAGATTCCAGCGACAGTAGGTCATCCAGTAGGTCCTCGGCCTGCAAAAGAAACAACCAAAAAAAATTCGGGTGAACATTTTTTTATTCAATTATTTATGAAACTTAACATTATGAGCACGTACATTTAATATCTATGAAAATTATATATTAGCACGTCATGGTTCGGTACATGAGTGCTATTTTTGAACTTGTTTGCTTCTTAAAAACGCAAAGACTAAAAAATAATTCACGCAATATTTTTCTAAGTCTATTCTTCAGGACATAATCCAGATATTTTAAGTTAAGAGATTATCAGAGTTTCTTTTCAGCATCAGTGTAAATATTTTTTTCAATATTTGTTTTTGTCCAAGTTAAAATGAAGTGTTTATTAATCTGATGAAAGTATGAAATAATCTTAACTAGATTTAAATCGCGTTATGTAACAAAATAATCCTGACTAGACCCGAAAGATAAGAAGGTATTAAAATATTACATCTATATTTTGTTAAGGATTTTGAAAAATCTCTATAAATCTTGCTCCACGTTCTTCATATCGATATGAGTTTTCGTTTGAAATTTTATTTTCTTAAATAATTAAGATGTTTGATGTACAAGTTTGGAGTGCAGGCGAGAACACCTCAAGTGCGTCACCTGCTATCAGCGTTAGATAAAGACGATTATGAAATTTAAATACAGTAAATCAGAGACTTGATATATTTACGACCGAGTTAGCGTTTAAATAGAGCCTAAAATTTCGTGGCGCTCCGCTTCGGTTTTCGATTGATTTTTTTATCTAGAAACGTGCAGCCTCTTCTCTGAAAACGTGTCTCGCCACGTAAAAAATGTCGATCAATAATTGATAACAAATGTTTATGATTTAAAAAGAAAATCTATAATCTATTACGTTAGGGTCAATTGACTCCCGTCTCATTACCCCAGTCAATACTGTCACTGATTATGTCGCTGGGACGTTGATTTTTATTAATAACGTTTTAGAATGATTTCAAGGCTTTTTTTCTGATGCGATCAAACTTCAATTCAAGGATTTCTCGTTATGGGAGATAACTACAAATAGTATTTTTAAAGTGAAGACGCAATAAATAGAATAAATTCTTTTGTCTTTTCTTTTATATGTAAGATGTGTTTTTTTCAGGGGATTATTGACACATTTGGTTACTTTCGTAATTTTTACTCGCACTCAAGGCCTGAAATAGTACTTTTACTATTAACAAATCATCATGAATTGATTAATCTACACTCAACAAGTAAAATTTTGTGATAGCACAGATTAAAAAATATTTAAAATTTTGAAGTGTCCATTCATGAAAAAAAAATGTTATCTATCAATTAATGTTCCTATAAAAATAATACAAGGAATTTATATGCTAATTCAACACGAATTTAATCGAAATTGATTTAGTGACTAAAGAATGTGGCAATAATTAAATTAAAAATAAAAAAATGTCACAATTAATATATTTCGTACGAAAATGAATCATTTTTTTTGTATTTTGTAAATGAAAAAGTGGCTGAATCCGGTTACATAATTTCAATGCGTACATTATTAAACGAAGAACTCATAGAAAACGCCGCTCATAAAATGTTATTTTTTTGTGTAAATTGTGATTCACTTAGCTCTATTACAACACACTCAAAGTCGAGAAATTAACCGTGCATTTGTGGCAATTGTAACAATAACGCCATAAAGCGTCGTTCATTCAAAAGGTTTTATCTTGGAGATAAAGGTTATTTTTCAAGTTAATTACTGGGTTAGGACGTAGATTCAGTATCGGAGAAATGATTAGGATAAACGACCAAAAAAATAATTGGGAGAGAATTTTTATTTAAAACACTTTTTTTAGTTTATGACATTTAGGTGATTGGGCCAAAACCGGCTCGGGTACAATTCATCGGTTAATTGGCCGAAGTGAAAACTGGGTTATTCCCCGTGTTTTAAATACCTAATGTATTAACATGAATTGATATTGCAAGAGAAAAAAAAGATAGGAAAAGCGTGTTTTAAATTCACCTTGAATTATGAACATTTCTGCTTAAATCGATTCTTATATAACTTGATTTTATTGTTTTTCAAAACCGAATCTGTCGTTAGGTCCTCGAAACGTGCTAACGAGGGCGCCGCTCAATTACGTTTAGTTGTTCTTCTCTGACCGCGAATTACTTGTTCAAACAAAACGGATGAGAGAAATCATCGTAAATTGCAACGGCGTTGGAGTCTGAGTTCTCTAGATACCCTCTTGAATGAAAATCCTCCAAGGCTGAGGTGCGCGCGACGTAACCGGCTAATTGCTTCGACGAGTAACAATAAGGAAGTGTATCGCAATAAATATCGATGTTATAATTTTCGAGTCGACCCGCTCAAGGTTGGAAAAATAACTTAGGAAAAACTGTATAGTAAACTAACTATTATTTACCTTTCGTCTTCTAGTTATTATATTATAAACCGGCATCTTAACAAAAACACTTAAAAAAAACTTATTTAAAATTTATTAAAAAAATTAATCTTCCTCCTCCAACGTTTCTATCCAATTCCTTTCCAAATTAATTAATCAAGTGAACTTTTAATTATTTAGTGAGTTTTTAAAACGCGCACAACGTGGTTTACAGCGAGACGCGTACAGCGCTACTAAAACGGCGTCGTGCTGTTTGCGGGTACAACAAACGGATAAATAGCTGCTCGCCGACAATTAAGTCAATTTTAAACAGGTGGTTCGATATCGCGCGCTCGGGAAACGTCGACTCGACGCGCTCGACCGCGATCGACAACTACCAAAACGTGTCACACGCGACTTGACCCGCTCAGATTTCTACCAACCGACCATCCAGATAATATACCCAACAATAAATCCAACCATTATTACCTTATCTTATTATTACTATACATTTATTTTTTTACTTCGATAACATTTCAGTAGCCTAAACACTAATATAAAAAGCGTGGGAAAATCATTTTAAATAATATTAATCATTTCATATAGATGCTTATCTATTTATATCGAGTGGTGCTTAGAATAATTATAACAATTTTTAAATTACAAGTAATTATTCTACGGTTTTACCGGTTTCGATACTTAATACGCGTCATCTTCAGGAAAAATTAATTATTAAGCTTTAAATTTTATTTCATTCAAAAAAACTAATCAATACATTTACTGAAAAACTGTTCTAACGGATATATATATATATAGAAATATGACTGTAAGATTTACAAGTTGGCAAAAAGCATAGAAATAACACAAGATATAGCCATTATAAGGAGCCAATCCTCTCAGAGTACATCAAGATCCAGAGATTGCAATGGACATGAAGTATATGTGACAATATATATAGAAGAATATATACAAGAAGCGAGATGTAACAATCGGTGGAGCCGAGCAGTGGAAGACAAATCACAGAAAACGCGATTATGGATGGAAGAAAAATGACTTTAGGGTTTCTCAACCCAGAAAAGGTTTTCGATAGGGGATCTAGGAGTAAGTTATTTACAACTGCAAATAATTGCTTAAAATCAACAAAATCTGCAAAAAAATTATTTATAATAACCGAGATTATTTCTTATATTACGAATACAACTTGGGGCGGCCGACGTCTTCGAAGTCGGCCGAGATTATTTGTTCCATAAAGTTGTTAATAGTAAAACCAACCCAACCCAAGTATTATTAGTGATATAAGAAGTAATCTCGGCCGACACCGAAGACGTCGGCCGCACCAAGTAGTGTCATTAACGATACTTTGAGCGGCCGACGTCTTCCAAGACAGCCGAGATTATTTCTTATATCACTAACAATACTTGGGTTGGGTTGGGTTGGTTTCACTACCGCAATAAGTAGTGTCATTAACGATACTTTGAACGGCCGACGTCTTCGAAGGCAGTCGAGATTATTTCTTATATCACGAATACAACTTGGGGCGGCCGACGTCTTCGAAGTCGGCCGAGATTATTTGTTAGATAAAGTTGTTAATAGTAAAACCAACCCAAGTATTGTTAGTGATATAAGAAGTAATCTCGGCCGACTTCGAAGACGTCGGCCGCACCAAGTAGTGTCATTAACGATACTTTGAGCGGCCGACGTCTTCCAAGACAGCCGAGATTATTTCTTATATCACTAACAATACTTGGGTTGGGTTGGGTTGGTTTCACTACCGCAATAAGTAGTGTCACTAACGATACTTTGAACGGCCGACGTCTTCGAAGGCAGTCGAGATTATTTCTTATATCACGAATACAACTTGGGGCGGCCGACGTCTTCGAAGTCGGCCGAGATTATTTGTTAGATAAAGTTGTTAATAGTAAAACCAACCCAACCCAAGTATTGTTAGTGATATAAGAAGTAATCTCGGCCGACTTCGAAGACGTCGGCCGCACCAAGTAGTGTCATTAATGATAGTTTGAGCGGCCGACGTTTTCTAAGTCGGCCAGGATTATTTCTTATATCACGAATACAACTTGGTATGAATATCATTGTTATTCATACCAAGCGATAGAGACGAGATAGACCATAAAGATGGAGATGATCTCGGCAGATCAACATATAGCAGATAAGTAATATACAAGTAGCAGAAATGCAATGCAGAAATCACAACTCTCTTCGAGTCTTAAATATCAATGGCAAAATTGTTCCCCAATATTCATAAATTGTGACGGAAGGTGCACAACATCACCTTATTCATATTTTTGATTTGCCGATTTTAATTTTTTGATTATAATATTCTTATCTTATTATTAATCCATATTTATACCTGTCATTCTCACCACATCAAATAAGCTAGTCATCTCGTTTTGAGTTTATTTTTTTATTCTCAAAAACCATAAATGATAGAATCGTGAAAGTAGTAATACAATAAAGATGAGTTGTTCTTAATATTAGGTTAATTCGTAAGAATTTCTCTCGGAAATTGTTTTTTAATAATTACATAACAAAAAAATTTCATGGTTGAGTTTAGAATTTTTTTTCTCAAAAACTATAAACTTTAAAAAATTCAATCTAGTAGTAAAATAATGATTAATTCCTGTTTTACAACCTCGAGCAATTTCATTGTTTTAGTCCTAATACATTCTGGGAAAAATTTTTTTTTAAAACTTTGAAGTTAAATAATATTAATAATTCGAGAATATTTCTTTTATTCCAAAAATAACTTTAATGTAAAAAATTTTTTTCACACTACCTCATCAAAAAGTTTTAATTATCGGCTGAATTACGTATTTGCTCGATAACTCATAAACGGTTGTTGCATCACGCCTTCTTAAATAAGAAGAAAAAATGAAAAACTTAAAAAAAATGGTCGTTTATGGGTGTAATTAAACTTTTGGATTATAACGCACGTTTTGAGATAGTGTAGATAAAGATTTGATTTGGTTCGCAATAAACTTTGACGATGATGAAAAATTAAAACAATTTTTTTAATACAACCGAAGAGTATTTGTGGTTTGAAATTGAAGTACAAGTTATTAAAACTCAATTACATAACGGTTGGCAATCGTGATTGGTTTGTTTGCGATCGCGACGTCGTTCTCTAGACTCTAGATCTTCACATTATCCAATTGAACCCATGAAGCGGGTTTATCTGACGTCACAAGTTTCGTTGGCTGCACACCTTTAGATGTTAAAAATAAAATAAGATTTTTTTAATATAAAAATGTTTAATATAAATTACAAAGTATTACTAATAATAAACACTTTAATTTCGTCTACAGCAACCGCTGTGGCAATATATTTAGTGGTGTTTGGAAAGTTAAATCAGCTAAATGGACGTTATTACATACTAAACAACGAGAGGGCATTATGCAAGGTTGAGTTTGCTCATCGCTTATTGTCCGTGCCGATATAATCGCGCTTGCAAAAACCGTACATGACTCGATTTTAAATCGTTTTGCGATGCGTTATCGGGAAATTTCTACATAAAGAATGATCGATTTTCAAATTGTCACAGCTCAATCAAAAGATATACACAGCATTTAATAGGCAGAAGAGTGGGGATTAAAAAATAAAAAATTTTAATCGTAACGAAGGCCTTTGAATGAATCGCGTCGACACCATTGTGGCTATAAAAATGTTACGAAACGATTGCAAATGTTTACACGTAAATATATAACTCAAGAAGGCGAGCATACCGATTTATTTATAACGGTTATCTTGTCTGTTCATATTATATCGTCGTACTTATTTGTTACACAAAATATAGGACAAATTAAACTATTTTCATCAAATAAAATATTAGTTTACATATTTTTTTAATTTAATAAAACAAGATATAAAACTTAAATCCTGAGTTATTAACTTAATAAAAAAAATGAATGAAATTGTTTTAAATCTAAGCCCGTTCAAAAATAAATTGAAAATAAATCCTTACAGATCTTTCGTTAATCTAGGGTGTCAAATAGAAATAGAAGGTACTAGTAAAAAGGATTTAATCAATACAGTACCAAAGGATTATGTGATAACTCGGTTAAGATTAGTGTTTATAATCCAGCAAGAGATACGAAAATGTCATAATTTATTTTCCATCGATGGTTTTTTTCGTCGCCACTAACGGCAATGACACCATTATGAAACTGGGCAAGACGTGCGCCGATTGTAATGGTCGTACGGATTTCTTGTGACATTGGCCATCGCAAAAGTTCTCGGCTCGAGCCACAATAGCGAATTAGCATGAAATCACTTCGAATGCGGGGCAAAAAAATGAAATAAAAATAAAAAAGGAACGTGCAACAGTTTATAACCCCCCTAATAAATTATTCAAAAGCACGCTTGAGATAATCAATGAGAGAAATAATAGGCGAGATTAGTTCTTTATCAACCCATAATTGGTCCAATATATACAATTGATGACGGTCAAACACCTGCAATAAATAATCGTTGCGCCGTATCTCGATAAAATACCTAGATTGCCACCCAATCATCGTTGAGAAAATGTTTGAAACGAAATCATTTTTAAACAAAAAAGAAATCGTAAATCTTTAATTTTATCTAAGCATTTTTTAGATAATAAATAATAAAAAAATTGTATAATAACCGATCAATGTCACAAAAATTTATAACACAATTCAATTATTTACAACGATCTAATTTGTTATGTTTCATTCATAATCAATTTTAATACCATTTTAATTCTTCCTCTTAGTTATGATATTAGAAAATTATAAAACAAAAATTTTTTTCGTATCGTAAACGTGTTTTTCACGACCTCTTCATACGTTTGTTACTGTCATAAAATTGTATGCCAGAAATCAACGTTTATACGAAGTACGTCGACAAAACAATGGGCATGTTTTAAATTTATACCTGCATTCGATCGTTTCCGTACGTTAATGACTCTCAAACCGAACACAAAAAGCATAGAAAACAATTTTTATTTTCCCTTGTTTTTTTTTAATATTTTTTTTACTTACCTCCGAGGCACTGGTTGCTCCAGAACTAAGTGCTGGCGACGTAACCGAAAGTCTATCGTTTGGACTAGGAGAAGGGCCATTTCCGGGACAATAAGAGGAATGAGAATGAGTTAAGTTAGGATTCGGACATTGACCGTAAACATTAGCCGAAGATGAAACTGCGGCAGCGGCGATGGTGGCGCCATTCGAGAAGTTTCCGTTCCCCAAACCGGGAGCACTATGAGTTTGAACGTTCGATGGATAGATCTTTTGATGGAGATGAGAAAGAAGGCTACCGTTAGCTGGCTGTTGAAAAGATTCACTTAGATACTGTTTCACTTGACTCTTTTGCTTTTGAATCACGTGGTATCTAGTAGGATTTTCTAACTTTGTTTCAACCTAAGTAACAAAAAAAAGATTAGAAATGATACATCAAAAAACTTAATTAAACCAAACCTGTAAGACTTGTGGAGGAACATCCAAAGCTATACTATGAATAGGCACTTTAACAGCAGGAGCAGGAGGTCGTTGAGCTTCTCTTCGTTGTTGCTCAGCCCGTAAACGTTCTTCTTGCTGCAAAGCTTGTTCTCGCATCAATTGTAATTTCAATTGAGTTCGAGATACTGGAGTTGCCGTCTTTAAATTGGGGGGACTAAAAAGAAATTAATAAATTTAGTATTTCCATTTTTTGTGTATAACCATACACAATCCACATAATAATAAGTAACTTGTTTTAAAAATACTATTGGGTTGAGTTGTATCAATTACCATAACTAATCCTTTCAACGATAATAATTATTAACATTTTAAAGTTAAAAACTTTGCGGGATCATTTAGGAATTATAAAGGTCCTCTTCTACTATACACTTTCCTTTAGAGGATGGATCTCATGGTTAGATATGTCCAAAATATCTAGCTTTCTTCTTTTGATGGTGTTCAATACTTCTAAATTCTTCCCATTCGCTCCATCGCTGTTCTGTTAATTACTTCATTCACTTACGAAATCCTTCTGGTTTTGATATCGATGCTGAGGTTGTGACTTTTGAACAGTTTAGCCATCTAGTAATCTCTAAATTGTACCTCCTTAATCATCATTAATCATGGTCCCCAGGTAGGTGAACTGTGATACTCTCCAACTGTCTCCTTGCTAACTGTCATGAACTTGGTCTTATTAATATTAATCTCTAAGCAGTAAAGTTCTTGTAAGTTTTCTCTGCTCTCCATTCAGAAGGAGTCCTATATTGGTATTCTTTAGGGCTTCCTTCAATATTACTTCTGAGTAGAGGTTGAATAAAAGTTGAGAGAGAATGCTCTCGCAGAATTTTGATTGTGCTTTTCTAAGTATTGTTCATGATACAAGTTATGCTCCTGGTATAAGAAATAATCTCGGCCGATTTCGAAGATGTCGGCCGACCTAAATATTTCGCCGAAATTATTTTTTCCATAAATTTGATCTCTCTTTGAATATGTCACGGTTCATGTTTCTGCAGCGCCTACTTTTTTAACAAACCCACATCTGTGTGTCTGACATTCTCATTGAGGCTGATGGTTCTGTAATCACTACATATCTTGGCTCCCCATTTCTTTTTCAGCAGTATGAACTCAGAGATGCCATTCATTTGGGATGTTTCCAGTATTGTAGATGTTATTAACAATGTTAGTAAAGAATTTAATGAATCTATCGTCAAGAAACTAGAAGAATTCTGAATACACATCATCTTTCCCTTAGAACGGATGGCAATTTTGACTTTATCTGCCAAGGCATTAAGATCTCTTCTATTACAGGAAATTCTTTCTAACTCAATTGGATCAGTGACCATGCGTTGTTTCAGATATCAAAAATTAATCATTGTCTTTAATAAAATATTTCTTATGTAGCTAATATTAATTTGTATATATATTATACAATTTTAATGTTTAATTTTTTTTAAATTAGTCTTAAATAATATATAGTTTTAGCGTTTGACAACTCGATGTTGTTATCAATGTAATTGACATTTAATAAGTTTATCTGACCATACCGATAAGATTGTTTATCGTAAATTGCATTTGGCTACATATTTGTCGGAGACAAATACTCCAATCTTTATCTTACTTCATTGTTTTTCTAGTTTTTTTCCATATTGAAAAAAAATAAAGGATCCATAAAGCTCCGATCCTGCAGGTATTAAATAATAAACAAATTGTCGTGGCGACAACGTGCGGGTAATTGAGAAATCGCGTGAACTCGTCGGAAATTTATGATCGAATAAAATATATATCTTTATTTTTCTCGTTTTTTTATTAATTAAGAAGGTTGTTGATGAGGAATGAATCATTGATTAAGTGCTTTAATCAATAATTGTACCGCAAAAGAATTTAAGTTGAAACAGGTGGCTCATTTAAATTATCTGATTATTTTATTTTAATAAAAAATTAACTTTTTGTAGGTATAGATTAAAACAATTTAAATTTTTATACTTAGTCACAAATAAAACATGTGGACTTCAATCGTACCGTTAAATACAAGCCGTGTCATCAAATTTCCAACAAACTACAATCTGCTGACGCAAAAGAACTTCCTTTAAGCGTAATCATAATACTATATCAACATACAAAAGATTAAAATTCTTGTTTTGTCACCATAACATATTTTTATTAATACATAATTTTATTTAAATATATTATTATTTAAAAAATGACGTTTTATGTGTACACATAATTTAAAGGTTTGCGTAAAAATTAGCATGTAAAGTACTGAAATACAGTGTGAATTGTTTTAACAAAGTGCGCCATCTATGATTAAAAAGCTAAATCTTCGAGTGTTAATATAAAACGTAAACCGGTTTTGTGTACAGAGATTTTTTTATGAAAGTGTAATTGGTTAAGTGAAGAAAAGGTGAATCGGAGAAATTGAGAAAGAAAGAGTATGAGGAAAAAAGTGGGTTAATAAAATATTCGATGATTTTGGTAAACAAAAGAGAAATCAGCCGATAAATGAGCGCACAATAAAGTGAAATTTTCTGGTCCTTTTTTCAATTGCGACGCGTCAGATTTTCGTCATTCGTTTCGAAGGACTTATTCTATTTTTGAATCGGCAACGACGAAGTAATTTCGCCGACGTCCGTCGAGGGAAATTCAAAGTATCTAAATACCATTTGTAATTAGAAATGGTTCCTAATCGATTTCTTCTATAAACTTATTATAACATATATAAGCTAAATAATAAGAATCACGTGATAAATATTTATTTGGAGATTCATTTATTTTTTTTTTTTTTAGTAATCTTACCTTTCGGTAACCGGCATTGTTTTGGATCGAAGCTCGAAGAACTCCTGGTTCTTAGGCGTGCCGAGCAGATCATCAAAATCGATTAGATTTTGCAGATCGAAATCATCTGACATATATGCGGACAGGTCGAAACCAAGATCGATTCCCGATTCGGCCATATCTGGTCTGCACGCGCTACTCTCACCTCTAAAACCTTTATTTCCACCGTTACATAGCATCAACTGACACCACCATTGCACGCACCATCTAATTTCGGACCATTATAAACATGTCGGCGCGTCAAAAATACACATCTATATACATATATACGCGCACATGAACGTCGAAAGAACTGTCAAACGGCACGACCACATACGACCTCACTTTTTTTTCCTACATCAAGCATCTTACAATAGAGGGAGCCACAAATTTCATTCATTCTATCCCATTTTAAACGCTTATTTCAGCATTTCCTCACAAATATTCATCACTTCTTTAAGTACTTTTAAAAATTATCACGAAATCATCATTATTTTTGGTACAAAATAGATTAAATTAAAAAAAAATCAAGTTAAACATCGCTACGATGACATCTATTGATGAGAAGATGTATTATTAAAAGAAAAAAACAACTTTCTTTGATTTAAATGTCACATGATTTCAATTTCTTTAATTTTTGAAAGAATTTGATATTTGGTGGAGGTGACGGGTCTTTACACATTCATTTAACCCATTTGCATCGTGCGCTTGGTTTTATGAGACAGTCGCGGAATATTCCGCGCTTGGTGATGGAGGCTTTTACGGCGTGCGGAATATTCCGCGCTTGGTGATAGAAGACAGTCGCGGTTCGCGGAATATTCCGCGCTTTGATGCAAATGGGTTAAAGCATCAATGTTTGAATAAAAAATGATTTAACTCCTGTATGTATCTAATATTTCATAAACCATCAATTCTATTCAAAAATTTTAGATAAAATTTTCATGAATTGACATCGGAAAGTACTGTCTGGTATAATACAATATTTTAGAAACAAACTTTGCGACTTTCCGGGGCGCCGTCTCTTCTTATTAAGGGTGCCATGTAATATTGTAGATCTGGAATGTTTTGGAAGACCCAACCCAACCCAACCTAACCCAACTCAACCCAACCCAACCCAACCCAACCCGAACCTAGCACTGAAGATGAATGATTTCGCTTAAATAAGCCAAGGTCGCTTACGGGCGAGCCTTTACAATTAATTTTATATCAACATTAACACAAAAATCGTAGAAAGGAAAATGGATGAAATTTGCAGTGTTTAATTTAATGTTACTAAAATAAATAATAAATTAAAAAATATTAATTGCAAAAATTCTCCTTGACTTAAAAAATTTTGCTAACCACTGACATACAACATTTTTGTAATCATAATTTGAATTAATTCGCATTTTTTAGTAATGAAAAATTAAACACAATATTGCAATTCAACAAAAATTCCAATTCTTTTATCAGTAGTTAGCAAAATGCAACAAGGTAACATCGTATTTTTATGCTTGATTTCATTGATATTCTCCTCAAGCCTTCCCGATCAACATTTAGATAATTTATGGAATGATTTTAAGGTAAAGCCCCCCAAACTTTTAATTTTCAATAAAATACCATTTTTTTTTCTGATTATTAAAGAATAAATTTAATAAATCTTATTCGGGAAATCACGATGTCAATAGAAGAAAAGCTTGGGAAAATAATTTAAATTTAATAAAAAGCCATAATCAACAAGCTGAGATGGGGGAGCATAGTTATTTGATACAAGAAAATTATCTCGCCGATTTGGTATAATATTGAATTGTACTTACTTTTTTCTTATTGATTGTATTTTATTATAGTCTCCTCGTGTATACTTACAAAAAATGATTAAGTTAACCCAAAGTTCTCACAGGAAAATAGACGTGGAGATGGTGGGCGATATTTTTGAAAAAATCAATCATTTGCCGGATGAAATTGATTGGAGAAAAGAAGGATTCACTACGCCCGTTTTTAATCAAAAAGATTGTGGATCTTGTTATGCTTTCAGTATAGCTTGCGTGCTTCAAGCGCAAATTTTTAAAAACACCAACAAACTGGTTCCCCTCAGCGAGCAACAGATCGTGGATTGCAGCAAGAATTCGGGGAATTTTGGCTGTAGCGGAGGGTCGTTGAGAAACACCTTGAAATACTTGGACAAGGTTGGTGGGTTAATGGCTTTCGACGACTATCCGTACGTTGCCAAAGAAAATAAATGCAAATACGATTCGAGAAAGACTCTGGTTAACGTCACTTCTTGGTCTATATTACCATCAAGGAATGAAAAAGCTTTACAAAAAGCCCTTGTAAAAATTGGGCCAATTGCTGTATCAATTAATGCAAGACCACGAACATTTCAATTGTATCAGTAAGTATAAAAGAATATTTAAGAAAATCCCTAAGAAAATGTTTTTATAGTAAAGGAATCTACGACGATCAAAGTTGTGAATCAAACACGGTAAACCACGCGATGTTATTGGTGGGATACACCAAAGATGCGTGGATTTTGAAGAATTGGTGGGGAAACAGATGGGGCGAAAATGGTTATATGAGGCTAAAACGCAACAAGAATCGTTGTGGAATCGCAAATTTCGCAGCATACGCATTAGTATAGTTAGATGTTTTTTTTTAAGTTGGTGTAAGAAAATTAAAACTTAAATTGTTTTCAATGTTTATTGCATTCAGTTCACATGAAAAATATAAACGTGCAAAAGATAAAGAGAAAACGTTAACTTTTGTATTTTTGTTACTCTTAATAAACTGATAGTTGCTAGTCGTCGTGTTCGCCTCGAATAGAATGAATTTATTTTTTCGAGAGTGAAATGTAAAAAAATAAAACGGAGCGGACTCGATGGGTACCGACTATATAAAGTAAACGTTAAGTTGACGGGGTCGTTAAGTAACGAGAATACAACATGTGCGAGAATTGTTAATTAAAAAATAGAAAAAAATAAAAATAAAACAGAAGACCAAGTTACCGCGCGCGTCAAATAACGGTTTAAGTACACGTAACTAGAAGAAACGTAAACTGTAGAGCTCTCGGATAAAACGAACATGGCTTCGAAACAGGTTACGTGCGTGGCGCAAAGCGTTGTAACTTGGTAATGACTCGTATCCGCACATAGTCTCACTATTACGTAATATTCGCGATTACATTGCTCTCCCGATGGGGGGAAGTTATATAATTATTTTTTGTAATATGTAAAAAAATCCTCTTCTTTAGTACACTTATCACAGTCATTTTAAACATGGTGTTTATCGGAAAGTCCCCTCTATACACGTATAATTTGCGTTAAACCTCCTCGCGCACCCGCGTACGAATACACAAACGTACCCCAAAAATTGTACGTCTATATATACGTACACGCGCCTATAAATATATAATTAATTATTCATTAAAATAAAATCACATACACGAGAAAACTTGATGGGAATAAAAGTACTTCACAGCAACTTATAATAGATATATATCACTTGACAGCGTACGCGTTTATCGGGTATTTAAGCGTCGTGTTGAGAGAATCGTTATGGATCTCGAGGGAGTTTTGCGCGTAGTGCAGCACCAGCGACTTGAGCGAATCGTATATTATATACGGTTCCGAAAATCCGTAACCCTTCGATGTTTCCAATATTATGCAGTGATTCACGACGCCGTTGCACGCTATCGATAAAGCGTACTGGTGAGTGCTCGACTTTCGCACTAAAAACGTTCCATCCGCTTTTCCCGCCAACAACCGCTCCGCATCACATCGCACGCAGTTCACCAGGAACCATGACTTTTCCTCGTTATGCGGCAACGTTTCCACGTCGCAGTCATCCACCGAATCTATCACAGAACTACTCTCCGGATCTTGCATTAATTGTGATATCCTAGTTTGTTTCATTCCACGTCTGAGCAAAAGTCTACAATAAAAATAATAATAGTAGGAGTATATTAAAACTATAACGACTATAAATAAATAAAATTTAAGATTTCTTACCTATGATATTTGTCCCTTTCTTTAACAAGTTCACGAACTTTCGGCTTTAAATAAACGATCTCTCGTTCAAGAGATCTATTATAGTCTTCGCGTTGCCTGAGATTTTCGTCTAATTGTTCACAACTCTCCTCCATCATTTTCATACGGCAGCTGAGAATGTCGTTGTTCTCATTGAGCTTGGCAACCTCGTGCGGTTGCGCTTCCTTTTTGAATATTTTGTGAGTGACAACTTGTTCGTTAAAAACGGTGACGAGTTCTTTGAGCGCGGTGAGTGCTTGCCGTTTACTGTGCACCTCCTGCAAACTCTTATTAAAATCAGTTTTGTATCGCTCGACTAGACAATTCTTTTCTTTTAATCGACGATTAATATCAACGAAATGTTCTATAAGTCTTTCGATATCCTCATTGTTGTTCATCTCTTCCTCTTGATTGTATTTCGAAACGGGGTACAATAATTTGATATCTAACGATGAATTATATTGCGAGAGTGAGACAGTTTTAAAATGGTTAATTAAATCCACGACCGATAGATATTGATATGGTTCGGAAAAACCATATTTTCCGTTGGAGTGGCAGATCTTAATCAATTTATTGGCACCACCTTTACGTAATGTTAAAGTATATTCTCCGCATTTACTTGACGCGTCTCTTACAAGAAACGTTCCATCCACCTTATCACTAAGCTTTTCGTTCACTTCTTCTCGAGTAATATCACCCCAATACCATTCCGCGTCTTGCAAACTTGTCGAATTTGGATTAGGAGGTGGTTTATCTTTGTTAATGGCTGTAGGGGGACCTATGTGGGATGATTTTCTGGGTGGTATCGCCGGTGCTGACGCAAATTCTGGTAATTTTTCCCCCCAATCGCATCTCATTAAGAGTAATTCCACTATTCTATTATGATGGTGAGTATTGTATACCACCTGGCTAAAAAAACAGCAAAAATGTAAGTTATTAAGGATTACGTAAAGGACTACGTTTTGTGCTTACATGATATGCTCCCAAGGTGGCCGTAATAATATATGGCACATTACTTGGACGAGCACTGTTGGGGGGTTTCGGTTGCCGCGAGCGTATTCCATCCGACACATTCTACATAGATGCGCCATGACAAATTTAAGGGTACTCCTATGATGTTCCGGTATTTGTTGTATTAGTTGGTTTAACATTGACTCACATTGATCATCATTTTTTATTCCTATAAATAATTTATATTTTAATAAAGTTTTGAGTGCACAAATAAACTGAATAATTCATTTGCTTAAATCAGCTGATGAACCAAAGCTAAAGTGGGGAAATGGTGGGGGTAACGTTCTACGTCGCCAGCTAAATGCAAGCGGATAATAACTATATTAATGATTTTTAAAACAATGAATTGGTTTTTTTATCAGTTTAATTTAATTTCGCGGTATAAATTACATGCACACACCTTTTCTACATATTGCATACAAAACGCCCAACCCAAAAAAAAAAGGAAAAAAAGATAAGATATACATTTTTAAAATAAATTGATTACATCTCTGATATAATAATCTTACTATCTAATAATGCAATAAGACTGAAAATTATAAAAGATTAAGATAAAAATGCGAAGCGACTTACTTGCTGCTGCATCCAAGAATAAGTCGTACCATTGAACTGGTATAATAGGGTCGGGAAGTTCTCTAAGAAACTTTTTGAGTATACTAGCGACGCACATAGCGGAGTAATCCTGCATGGAGTGTTCCGCGTTGTAATCGCCAAGGTTTTTGCAAACATCATTGAACTCCGGGGGTGCCGTCGACGCGTAAAGATTGTAAAGCTCCAGACTTCCGTTTTCTTTCGCTTTAGCTTCCAATTCTTGCGTGCAGATCATCACAATGGCCGGAGCTGGAGCTTCGGAAACGTTAAACATAGAACAAAGGCTTCTGCCAAACACTGATGATACGATGGGTACTTTTTCTCCAATGGATACACATCCAGGTAATCCATTTGCCGCACACGTGCGATGAGCTATCAAACCGCAGTCTTGACAAAAGAACCCCTGATGCAGGAGCCCTCGCAGATACTTCTGGCATTTCGTACACTTTTCCAATGTGCTAAAACTATGCTGAGCAAGCCCCAGGTGTTGCGAGACCAGCTCGTCTTCCCCTTTGATCTCCGGCGACGTCGGCGTATTGGACGTTTGTTTCGTTTTTAATTCTTCTATGCAGGACAGAATCGCTTTTTGATGAAACTCGTCTTTGATACCCATATTCTGTAATTGTACTTTTAATTAATTTAAAAACAAGAGCGAATCTTATTGTTCGTTTAATAATACTTTCTGTATCTTTTTAGATACAGACGAACAGATATGAACGTTACTCAAAACCGGTGATCTCTTACAATAAAAAATAATTGATGTCCAATTTAATTTTACGAATAATTGATGCAATCTTAATGAAATAAATTGGAAAATTTAAGGTTAAATTTACATCATTAAAAATAATCTGCAACATCACAAAGTGGATCACGATTTATATCGACAACCGATAAAATACATAATTGATATATAACACACATGATTTAAAAATTAATATTAAAACATTTATAATAAATACTAAACAATATTTACGGATTTATGTTATCCTAGAAAATCATTGATAAAATTCAAAACAAAATAACAAAGGAATAGAATCTGACAAAAGGAAATGTATCGTTTATCGAATGAAATAACAAAAATGCTTGGCCGTTGTGCAAAATTACACGGCTATTTAAGAAGTTATTAACGAGCGAAACCAACATTTTTAGATAGAGATTATAGCCGCTAACAATGCTATTTAAAAACGCCTATCGCATACTTTAGTATCGGTGCGCAAATGGAAAAATGGAATCGGATGTAAAAGGATTTAAAAAAAAATCGTAGACGATAAGATAGATGGGGTTCGTTCGACACCGGAGAACGATTGATACCCGGGGGTGCTAAGGGGCGTCGTGTACTCACCATCAGTTTGTCTTCATCGAGGTGAATTAAATCGATCCCCTTAATATCCTTACACCGAAAGACGTCAGTGTAGGAGTAAAAATTTAACGCGGCCATCCATTCTGCTACGTGCAGTGAGGTCCATTCGGAAATCGGCTGAAACGAGAGCAACAATAAAGAGGTTGACAAGGCCGGGCCGAGAAACGGTCCCCGAGAACGAGGGAGGAAGAAGGTAAAGGTTAGGAGTTCGCGGCGACAAAATAAAAAAAAACTATCGGGGGGTCTCCTCGCCGCCTGCGCTACCGGTTTCTTTTTATTTCATCGTTACAATCGTCATTCTTTTGCACTAGCGGCTTGCTTTCTCTCTACCGGTTTCGTTTAGTGTTCTCTCAGCCGAGGTCTGGTCGACTCTGGCACGGCGTACCCCGTGCGCACGAGCGAGGTACAACATAGTAACGTAGCCTCGTTCCCCATTGGTTAACCGTACACCTATCGCGGCACACTTGGTAATATATAATCGAAGTAGAGAATAGGGACGCGTATTATACGGCATTGCTGTTGCCAAGATGTGGAGAAATTCACTCGGGTTTGGAAAAATTTTCACCTTTCCGCGGATAGAGGAACATCGCAAAACGTTTTAAACGAAATTGCCAACGTCCAAACGCCACCGATTATCGCGCATCACTTTCCGATCAATTCGGTTTTCAACATTTTTATGGAAATATAGTTTCAATTTCTTACGTAATATAATCTTATTCCAAATATTAATTAAAACTTCAAAAAAAAAATAGTACAAGAACTTTTAACCATATATTATTAATGTTTATTGCTTATTTATGTAAAATCAATGTTCTGTACCGATCCGGTATAGTATAAAAAAAAATAGAAGATGGCCCTGAGAACCGAACAGTTTTTGAAGAAAAAAATCGGATTCATTAAACTAGTGTGTCATCTAAAGAATTCTGAACATCTCAATAAGATAAATTTCACGTTATGCAAAGCACATTAACAGATCGATATTTTTTATCGAGTTTCGGAATTCGAAATTAGAGAAACAATCGAAATCGTAAAGAAAGGAATCTGAAAGGCGGAATGAATCGAAAACTTGTTGTGGTTAGTGGTTTTGAACGTTAGAAAAGAGTGCGAAAGGGCGAGATGAAGAAAGAGACCGCGGAAAGGTCTGGAATAGAAGGAAGGAAGGAATAGAGAAGTGGCGGTCGAGCTCACAAGGACGTCGTTGTCGTTGTCGTCGTCGTCGTCGTAGTCGTCGCGCGCTCGGAGCGAAAAGTAAAACCTTATTCAATGCGAACGAGTTAAGGACGTATTAGCATATGCGGTTCACCTTAGAACCGGCGAGACGTCGACGTAAATCTCATTAGGAATTTGAGTTGCTTTCGAGCAGTTCGGAATCTCTTTGGCTACAGCAGGTGTATACAACAGTAAAGAAATTCGGACGACAGCATGAATAGGAGCAACGTTGCCGTTACGGTAGCCGGTGCAATCGGTGCTGCTGCTGCGGAGGCCGTAGCTCGCTCTCCATAATTCGAGTGTAAATTTAACTCAAGGCCGTTACTGTTGTGGACGCGCTCGGCCGATAGGAGCGCGACCAGATTTTCGGCAACAAACCGGCGTTAGTCAATTACGTAAGAGGAGATTAGAAGAGGTTGAAATCGAGAGGTTGAGGGTCTGGCAGAAAGGCATACATATATTATTATAAGGCAGAGGCGTTCGTTTCACTCACCTTCTCAGAGTCCAGCGTCTGCCGGGGGAGGGGGTCGGAGACGTTTTGGCAAGAACGCTCGGAGGAGAACCTCGAGCAGACCTTATGGAAGCAATTGTGGCAATCTGGGGAACACAGAGAACCGCACATGCAACAACAGGAAACACAACAGGTGCAGAGCAACGAGTGAAACGACAGGATCCTGGCACAGTAGCTGGGGGGCACTTCGGCCTCCTCGGGAGCGACGGCGACGCCGGATACCGTCTCCCGGAGGAAGAACGTCGCGGCGGCTGCTGCTGCGGCGGCGTCCGCGTTAAACGATCGCGGCCTTTGCTCCGGCACCGGGCTTATACCCCTCAACATGTAGTTTTCCGAGTCTATGTTGACGACGCCGACGTTGGCTGCGGACATTTTGCCGTCCGGCAGACGAAATTGGCAGTACATCCCGACCCTCGCCTCGTCGGAATCCTCGACACCCGTCGTCAGTCTCTCCTCCGTACTCATCCTACCATCATCTTCGTCGGTTCCTAGTCTATATCTCTCTCACTCTATTCTTCGTTTTACTTCTCTTGTCCTTTCCGACGTCGTCGTTTATTATTTCTTGTCCTCTCGCGTTTTCGCTTCCCTACGCCGGTCGCCGCTCTCGCATTTCTATTTCTATATGGCGGAATAACCACCGACCCCGACCGCGTCCGACATCGACTGGCCCACGTCGGCGCCGTTCGGTCAGTCGACCTGGTGTCGAAGGAACGCGACCGCCACCGAGACTGCGCACCAATTCTCTATGTCGCCCCTTGACCCTCCCCCGCTTACTTCACAGCAGCAACAGCGCGAACTGCGGCCTCGCGCCTCGTGCGTATCGCAAACCGTTCCTTCAAAACTCGACTACGCTGCGTCAATTAACTTTCGCAATCGCCTCCGAATGTGCAACGTAGCGATTTTACTCTCGCGCGTTTACGCCGTTTCGTTTCGTTCCTGCGTTACCAATTGCGATTATCTATATATCTTCAAAACTCTTTACCATCTCATAACCACTTTTATTCGTTTTTTCTTCGGCCTCTTCTTCTTCGCGTAACCGCTATATATAATTGTCGTGTAAACGCGGTTGCCGCGGATTGACGCGACGAGTTATCCAAAAGATATGCGTTGGTCGGTGCTGATTTTGAACTGGGCGGCGCGGTTGCCACATCTCGGTCCCGATTAAAAATCACCGGAGCTTGGCCGTTCTTGTAAATCGAAGCCCGGCTTGGATTTCAATTATTCTCGTGAGCTGTCGGTCGCGTCGTAAACCGGTGATTTATTGCGGTTGTGGTATTAAATATTAATTGTTCATGCCGCAGAGTACCTGTTAAAGCGAGTTAACAAACTCGTTCGTTTCATAACAATGCAAAGTTATTTCAACCTGGCTATTTCATTCTTTTATTAAAACAATTTTGCTTATTGTGTACGGTCATATTAACGATACCATTTTCAACGGCACAATGCGCTATTTGCCTTAAATAACAGTACGATATCAGGGAATAACCAATAAATGCGTTTTATTAACGTGCACTTTTTAAAAATACTTCGTATGCCGTCATCTTTTGTATGTTGATATAAACGTAAAAAACAAAAAAGAACTATATTTATGATTAATTTAAACTTTAGTAACAAAGTCCACAAGCTAACTAGATAAGCCTTTTTGCAATCTCTCATTAATTTCTTATATTGCGGCTATTTCAAATCAATATTCAAAATTAACTTAACTAATCACCGGATTAATATAAAAACAATCCTAATATAACAAAAAGTCAGTTTCAAATAAACGAAAAATATCCTTTCACTTTCGAGCAATTTATGACTTTGTACACACTTTATTTACATAATTTCATACTATAAACATTCTGCAATACAGTAGTTAACGTAAAATTGTTCGTTGATCATTCGAATATTTCAAGCATGCACCTAGGAATATATTTAAATTCCGTATGGATGATTAAAAAAATTGCCAAGTGATAAAGTCCATAACTTACACGATAAGCCATTTTACGACTTTTATTAATTCCGGCCATTAGTTTTATTTAAAAAGACTAAATTATATTCAGATTATAACGCAAATATTTATCTGTTGTGGTGTATGGTACATTAATAAACATTAAACTGTTTACATGTTAAAAAAGAATTTGTTATATAGCTTTGATTAAGCAAGTCAAAATAGATACTGTTGAATTGTGGCTTTCCGCCACAATCGCACACACACCGGGTGAGAATTACGTAATCTTATCAGAATAGTGAAATTTGAAACCACTCTGGTCAACCTGTCCACAAAACAATCTACCAAACATCCTAATCAACGTACTCTGGTGGTATTTTTGGACTCAAGGCTGCGTGTTGCATCTTGCTTTTAAATCATAATAAAATATATTTAAAGCGATTTTTATAACGCTCGAAATATCAACCAGGAAATAACGTGCATTGTCGATTCAAGGACAGCGTAAACGAGAAGAAGATTGTGTTACTGTGCCAGAAGTTTCACTCGTATTGTGCACCAAAGAAATCACTAGATTGAAAAAAGGTACCTAAACTTACCTAAACACTCTTCTCCAACTACTCCTATACCCCATATATAATCATTACCTATAATATTGAATTTAATTATAAAGTAAAGAAGTAAAATAAAAAAGGATTTTTTATAAATACTTACAGTGAGCACATAAAATAGGTGTGGCAGTGTAAAATTCTTTGAGACGATGCACGTCAACACGTTGTGTGTCTTCTATAAAACCAAGACTCATTTAACTTTTATGAAGGAAAAAAACGAAACATGAAACTAGGTTAATAACATACCCTGCATCAATTTTTGTACTTCAGTACCAGCTTCCACTCCTATAGCAGAAGGATGGTGAATGGTGTTGTTTACCTCTGAACCCAACAGTTTAACTATAGCCACTAAAACAAGAAACAAAATTAGATCAACCCCTTGATTTTTTTTTTATTTAAAAATTGTATGAAAAAATATTAATGTCATTTAAGAAATTTCATTCTTAATCTTGGTGTTATGGAAAAAAGTTTTGAATTTTTTAGTGCTTCCAAAAAATACTTCTCTATCAGAAACCAGGTTAAGTACTGAGTAAGGAAAGCCACTTAAAACAAGTAATTAATACATGGAAAGCTTCAAAGAACTTCCAGGACACAGGTTTTATGCCTCATCAAATCGGGCCTAAAGTCGCTCTTCAATATTGGACAAGCAATGCCGAAATTTTTTTAAATTAAGACTTTGGAGCAATACTAAGGTTCATCAAAGTATGGTATTGACAAATAATGCTTCCATCTTAATTTTAAATTATAAATTCGTTCTCTAATTATTAATTAATTAAGCGAATAGCGTTTCAATGACAATGAGACAAAGGTCCTATCAAAAATAAGGCATAAATAAATAACATTAAGATGCAACACACCTCACCCGACTTCTTATGTAACCTTAAAGAACCTTGATAATGAATAAAACATAAAATAAAAAATAAATATAGCATTTTATTTTTATAATTTTCAAAAAAAATGTTCTTGATCCGATTGATTGGTCATCTTTATGTAAAGTAATTTATGAGATTACTTTGTTATGGGGAGTATCTCTTCAAATCTCTCTTAATGGGTGCACTTAAAAATTCAAAACAATTTTTTTCTTGCCCATTTTATTCTCTCCATTCACCAAGAAAAAAAAATGGGTCAAAAAATCGTGGTCTCTCCTTGTAAGTGGGTTTAATGGAAAAGAAAAACATTAATAAATTAAGGTTTTTTTTAAATAATAAGTTGTTATAATACCTGGAACGTATCCTTGTTGGCCCGTACGTCTATTATAAGCATATAATTTAGATCTATTGGGATTTTTAGTTTTGGTAATTGGTGATTGTATTGGAATTTCCAAGACATCATCTCTTAGTACATGGAGGACGTTCTCTTCATTGGCCGGGGCGTAAGTGTGGAGAACCTTGTAGAGCGCATAATCCCCCATAGCAGAAAGGCTTGAGTGCAAGTTCTTTGCCTAGGAGACACCACTTAAGCATTACTTCATAGGGTTGGACGCATCCGGTACACGGTTCCCATTCCGGTTCGATTGAAATGAACATCTCCCTCACTAATCTCTGTTGTCTTTACATGGTCACGTCCATTTCACACGAATTACATGATGAACATCAATCCTGTGGGTCCACATTGATCCTGGGGGGCCCATTACCTACTTTCGACGTACTCCATTTTCAAAACGCTTACCAAGATCGATTTGTATAAAACTTTATTCACCAAAACTTAACAAAAACCCAACGCACACAACTTTTTTTCACTTTAAAACCTACCCGTTCTTTACCTATCAACTATACAACAATGGCGGTTGTATCTAGCGCTAACTATCTGTTATAAACGGAAGTATTTCGATTCATCTTTGCCGAACTAACTCTACGAAAACTAAATTTTTATCTTAAACGTAACACTTTAACGGACCATTTATCTTCGATCGCGATCCTCTACCGTTCCGGATCTTATCATTGTTGAGATTTTTAGTTCTCAAAACGCCCAACGGTTTTCAACTCAACTAATTACTCATATTTCCCATTATTCCCGACAAGGATAGCAACTATTTGAGGCGGTAACAAAACCATGACGTCATCTTTATGAACTAACATTTCAGATTAAACTCAATAGATGGCACCTCCATTTTATTTGTAAATTCTTTTCAATCCTTATTCATACAACATTATTTTCTTCATATTCAATAATATTCATCCGTACACATGCATACACATTGACTTAAACATGAAATTGGGATATTTGATATTCTTTGAAGCAACTCGCATATTCTATGTGAAATTTGTAGTACAACTATTGGCTACTAGATGAATCACTATGATTTAAATGTGTTATAAAGATATATAAAAGACTGCGAGTAGCTTTCCACATCATACTCAGAATCATTCTAAATGTTATTCGAGACTGTACTCTGAAGCACACCACATTTAATTGCTAAACAATGTGAATGTATTCTTTTTTCGAGCAAGTTATGAACTCCGGATGTGATTTGGTTAGGTTGGGTTGCGTTTAGATGAACCTAACTGGGTTATTAATCTTGGGAGATCCTGTTAGGTTGGGTTGGGTTCTTTTAAAACCCAAGGGAATACAAGAATAAGAGTTGAGTTGAGTTGGGTTATTTTGGATTGAGTTGGATTAGGTTGGGTTGCAGCTTTTTTAACCCAACCCAACTCAACCCAACCAGGTAGCCTCTTGGCGAAGGAAGAAGGAAGAGAGTCGGAAGAATCGAGAGTGCAAGAAACCATGAGAATAGCAACCAGTGATATAAGAAGAGAGGAAGGACAACAACGCATGGAAGGGAGTCTCTCCCCTCCTCAGTGTGTATTGAAATAATAGCAGTGCAAAAAGTAATGAATAATCTTTTTACCCCATATTGGCGAGTGATGAAAAAAGGTTGGGTTGCAGAAAACCTTAATACAGGGTGAGGCACGGGAACCAAGTGGTTTTGGAAAAATTATAACATTTTTAGATTTTGCTGTAGACGAAATTTATTTGTAAAAAAATCTTTATAAGTACATAGCATTTCATTATTATTCACTTTCAACTCAACCAATGTCTAGGACTTCCTTGTAAACATGTTCTTTCAGGTATCTCCATAGAAAAAAATCACATATGGACAAGTCGGAGCTCCGAGGAGACCATAACACGTCACCAAATCTCGAAATGACGACAGAAAAACATCCCTTCCAAAACCACTTGATTCCCGTGCCTCACCCTGTATAATATATAGTTTAGAAACCAGGAAGGTAGACAAGATGGAGGACAATTGGAGAAAAAAAATGGAGGAGACGAGAGATACGAGTGGAGAAGTATTACTCAATCCGGAGGCCAAAGAAAAAGCAAACAAGCTCAGATGAAGATTGATCAGATTGGATGTAACATTTGAAAATTAATTAGAGAAGAGACCCGTTAAAGAACAGTATCAAGAAGCATACAGGGAACTTAAAGAAGCGGAAAAAGACGCATGGTGAAGACTGTGCGACGAATTAGAAGAAAATACATGAGGAGACGCCTATGTAATAATGAAAAAAGCTCAAAAATGGGAAAGCTCCTCGACCGGACAACATAACGCCTGAAATTGTGAAAGACACACTCGGTGCAGGAAAAGAAAAGTTAACTACGGTATATAATGACCTCCTAAGAGATAACACATTCCCAGATGTATGAAAAACTGGAAGAATGATCCTAATACAGAAACAACCTGGAGCAAACAAATATGTGTCTTTTGAACTGTTATGGTAAACTTTCATCTTTTAACAACCTACAACTGTCTCTACTACTGTTTGTCGAACGATGCAAAACCCTCGTTCCACGACTTCTTCGTTCTGCTGATGAGAACACTACACCCTGCGTAGAACTGTACATTCACAGAAATACTTTGAATGAATCCCATTTTGTCTTCGACGCAAACTGTTTCGCATTCGTCAAATTTGTGCAAACTTTCCACTTTGGAAAGATTTGGCAAGCAAAGGACATTGTGTCTCAGAAAGAGAGGGATCAGAAAATATCGTTCGACAAATATAATAAATTATATTTCTGTTTCGCTTGTTTCGACTTCGATAGGTCTCTACAGTTAAGGAGTTCGTCAGAAAGGCAACATCGCCTCTGACAACTTTAGGACAAACGTGGTTGTTAAAAGATGAAAGCTTACTTTGAGCAAATTTCGTACCTCCATAAATGTTACGGTAAACTTTACGAACCTATGATTAAGAGCAGATTAGAGGAAAAATTAGATGAGAGAGGAGGAGAACCGTTGATGCCATGGCTATGTAAGCAGAGAATCGGAGGGTACTGATATATTTCGAAGAAAACCCGTGAGGTGTTTCTGGATAAGACGAGGAAAGGAATTTATAGTGGATTTTTAGTTTTCCCCAACCCCACACTATGTGGGCGTCCAAAGTTTCAGGCCAGGTGTCTGTTAGCAGATTTTCACGGACCTCAATAAAAAAAAGTTTGCACTGTAGGTAAAATAATGATTGTTTTTCCTTTTATGTGAAATGATGAAGAGAGGAATACCCAGGAGACAGGAGACGGGAGCAAGGGCCTGGTAGGAGAGTCCAAAGAAAAGCCCAAAGTAAAATGACATCAAGAAGGAGAAGAGAAAAACATGGGTTGGGAATTGGCAACCCTGGACCGGGTGTTTTAATAATTATAATTGAAAATTTTTTTGTATTTCCAAAGTAATGCGAAAGCGGTTCCGGAGAGAACCAATTATCACTTTTAAACAATCAATAATATTTGAATAATAATGTGTCATCTGCTGGATAATAGTTGTCTTACATAGAATACACACGTTGCTGTACCTTCCCCACTACTAAAATAACCTCACAATTAACCAATATTAAATTAACTCATACAAATTCATCTAAAACATTAATACATACGTTTTAATTAAAATTTATATATTAAAATTCATATAAATTTGAATTAAAGGTAAGTTTATGTACCGTTAATACAGGTTGTTTTGAATAGATGGCGCTAAAATCGTCAAAACTACTGTCAAAATTGTGTCAAAGGATCCACGCTATAGGTGACATTTCACTTGATACAGAACAGATTGTATGGTGTGCAAAAATGAGCGGTGATAAAAGTGCTAAAGAAAAAAGTATAACTCAGGGTTACACCGAGTTATACAGATTAGAACAAAACGGGGATTATGATAGAGCTTTAAAAATAGCCAACAAAAGTAAGGAAGCAAACTTAACTTTCTCTTTACAACTACACCATGCAATTTAAAAACATATTTGTGGTTGTCTTAAATCATTAATGTTATTAATTTCATTTATAAGATTTAATTTCATAACAATGTTATTTCAAATTCTAGTCCTTCATGCATCCCCCAATGAAGCAACCGCTTTCCATTGCAAAGTGGTTTGTCTTATCCAATCGTCCAAGTTTGATGAAGCTATTAATTGCATGAAGAAACATCCCAATCTTTCAGAGTAAGAATTCTCTAACACAATTATTACAATTATTATTAAAATAACTATTTTAGGAACTTACAATTTGAAAAAGCTTATTGCTTGTACCGCAGTAATAAATGCACAGAAGCTCTTAAAGTTATTGAAGAGGTTGAAGAGGTCGATTTTTGCTTATCAGAACTCCGTGCCCAAATTTATTACCGTATCGAGATGTTCGATAATGCTGTCGCAGAATATGAAAATATTATTAAGTCGACTGATGATGATTATGTTAATGAAAGAGAAACTAATATGAATGCAGCTTTGGCTTATATGGGAGGAAATTTTGTATGTTAATGTTTCTTTAAATTCTCATTAAATAATTTTGTAATTTTATTAGAATACTTCTGATACCTCAGTTGAAGAAACATATGAATTATGTTACAACAAAGCATGTCGGTTATTACAACAAGGTTATTATTTAGAGGCTGAAAAAAAGCTTAAACACTGCGAAAAATTATGTAGGGAAGCATTAGAGGAAGATGGCGCCACAGAAGATGAAATTCAAATTGAATTGGCTCATGTCAAGTAATTATTAAGTAGCTTCAAAACTCACCCATCCTTTATTTGTTTATTTTTAGAATTCAATTAGCCTTTGTATATCAAAAAGTGGGTAGGATAAAAGAAGCTCAGGGGTTATATGTGCATAGTTTGAAATTAAAATTAGAAGATCCCGCTTTGGCGGCGGTCGCTTGTAATAATGCAGTTGTTATAAATCGCGATCAAAACGTTTTCGATTCAAAAAAAAAGATGAAAGTTGCAACAAACGATCAATTAGCATTTAAATTGTTGTCCTCTCAACGAAAAAATATCGCATTTAATAACGCTTTGTTGTTATATTACACTAACCAATTAGATCAATGTCGAAAAGCTTGTGAAAACATCGAGGCGACTTGGCCTGAATTAAAAGTTAAAACAGCAATCATAAAAACTATCATTGCAGTGAAAAACAATCAATTAGAGAAAGCGATGGCTATATTAGAAAAATGCCAAACAACGAACGATGATGATGCGTTATTTTTAGCATTATGCCGCGCTCAGTTGTGGCTAATGGAAGGTAATCGCCAAAAAGCGTGTGAAATTTTCCTTAAAGATATTGGAACAAATCGGTACAAACCCGGTATTGTTGGCGCTTTAATCACTTTGTATTTGGCGGAAGGCAAAGAAGAAGTCGCCCAAAACATTTATAAAGACACCGTTGAATGGTACAAAATGAATAAAAAACAAGAAAGCGATCTCACAAATTTGTGGAGACAAGCAGCCGAGTTCCATATAAGAAATGGACAAGCAGCGGTTGCCGCTGGAAGCTTAGAAGAATTATTACGTTCCAACCCAAACGATAAAAAAACCATCGCGCAATTAGTCATCGCATACGGCGAATTTGACCCCTTAAAAGCCATCAAATTAGGTTCAAAACTTTATAAATTAGAAGAAATTGTTGAAGGTTTAGACACCGACTCTGTTGAGAGTTCCGCTTGGTTATCAACAAAGAAAAGTGCTGTTTCCAAGTCTGGGGAGAATTCTCCTGGTTCTACACCAAGGTAACAAAATTAATTCAATTAAAACATTAATTAATTAATTTATTTATAGCACACCTTTATTGGATGGTCAAAATGGAGTATCAAAGAAAAAACGTAAAAGTCACAAGAAAAAAGGTAAATTACCTAAAAATTACGATCCAAAAGTACCTCCAAATCCCGAAAGGTGGCTTCCAAAGTATGAAAGGACGGGTTATAGAAAGAAACGTGATCGTAGAGTAAAAGATGTTATTAAAGGTTCTCAAGGAACAGCTTCTGGGCAAGCGGAATTATTGTAAGATATTAAAATTTTAAATCACAATTGCGTAATTAATTTTAAATCAATTTTAGCGATTTTTCGAGTAAATCAGCGGGTGATGTGGAGGTTGATACATCATCTAGCGTGGAACCCTCTCCTGCTACGAGGAATCAACCCAAAAAGAATCAACAAAAAAAGAAAAATCGACGACGTTAAATACAAAAAAAAAAAGTTTTTTTTTAAATAAAAGGTGATTTAATGACTATTTGTGTACATTAACGTTTATAAATGCTATAATAAGAAAATAAATTCTTAAGATGACTCTATTTACATAAAAAAAAATATATTTTGAACCTTACTGAATAATATTGTTTAGATCTTACCAGATTTCTTATCTTTTATTTTTATTGGTACCGTCACATTCGGATTTGCAGCAAATTTAACGTTAATACTAGAAAAAGCACTTTGCACATCTGCATCGTTTTGATATCTTATCGGATAATTAACGGGCGTTCCGTAAGATGTAACAGCTCCCGGATTATTATAACTAGTTGGTCCATATAGATTTCCATTGCTATCTTCATCTTGATCGTAATTCGAGTATCCATCATATTGTTTTTCACCAGAAAAAGGTCCAACATTTGGTGGACCGGTAAACGCTGCGGGTTGCGCTGGTTGCGCATCGCCAAATCGTATTGGTGGTCTTGTATCTTCAAACGAGACATCGCGATACTCTTCAGATGATTGTGACGGTGGTATAAAACCAGTTTGCGGAGAATTAAAGCTAGCAGCCAATTCAGAATATCTTTGGCTATACAATGTCGGTTTTTGTAAAGGAAATAACGGCCGTGGTGGAACCGTTCTTGGATAAATTGAGCGGTATCCGTACGTTGATGTCCCATAACCAGATGATGGAGGCTCGTAATAATACGACCTATAACTAGATAACACCGGAACTTGATCGTAATAAGGCCGATTGAATCCGTACAAAGTTGGTTGTTTATAAATCGGTCTTGAACCACCATAAAACGGTCTTGTCGGAAATTGAGGAAAAGCCTTTGGAATTCCATATTGATTTTGAGGAACTCCATATCGAGTTGGCGGAGGACCATATTGATTTTGTGGAGGCCCATATTGATTTTGAGGAGGTCCGTATTGAGTTTGTGGAGGTCCATATTGATTTTGTGGAGGTCCATATTGATTTTGAGGTGGCCCATATTGATTTTGAGGTGGCCCATATTGATTTTGAGGAGGCCCATATTGATTTTGTGGAGGTCCGTATTGATTTTGGGGAGGTCCATATTGATTTTGAGGAACTCCGTATTGCGGTTTTGGAGGTCCATAAACCGATGGAACTCCGTACTGTGGTTTTGGTGGTCCATATTGAGGTTTTGTTGGTCCGTAATATTGAGGAGGACCATATTGGGGCTTAGCTGGTCCATACATTGGACTTGGGGTACCATAATTTGTATTTGGGACACCATAATTTGTGTTTGGCACTCCGTAAGTTGGATTAGGTGCTCCATAATTGGGAGTTGGTGCTCCATAATTCGGGGTGGGTGCTCCATAATTTTGAGTGGGTGCTCCATAATTTGGGGTGGGCGCTGAATAATTAGGTTTTTGTGGTGGAAAGAACGGTTGGGTTGTGGGTGCATTTAAACTTGGTGGAGCAAATCCCGTTGGTGGTTCTCTTTTAGTTCTATTAAAAGTATTGATTGAGGCACTAAAATTTCCACTTTTATCACCAAAAGCTTTTGATGCTAAGTATAACAAGAAGACCATCTGAAATAAATTTTTATTTGAAAATATATTTTGAAAATTTAATAATAATAAATACACACCTGCCCCAACATGAACATGTTACACGTTTAAAGTACGCACTATATGTGAAAGTTGAAACTCAACTGATTCTTGGACGAGCTTTAAGTTTGAAACATGAGGGAACAATGGAGTGGGTTAAACTTGAGTAGAGTTGGTGCTTTATGCTTGCTTAGTTCCAATTAAGTGTTTACGGTTTTTTCTCCAAAATCGTGATTTTAATATAAAAAAGAAAGTAAATTGTGAGAAGATTTTTTATCTAGATCTTTCCACCTAGATCCAAAGTAGGTGTTTGTAATAAGCAAGAAAAAGAAATGTGTTATTAAAATTAATATACAATATTAAAATACAAAAACATTTTTATTTACAAAATTTCTGTAGGAGTTATAGAAAGTGAAATGTATAATGTAAGAGTGATGTAAAATTTTTATATAACATAGGGGTTTTTATCTTTGAAAAACACGGGTTCGCAACAATATCGCACAACGATTTTCTCGTGTTACTCATTGATTAATGTTCCTATAATTATATTATTTACGGAATATTTTGTTGTTATTAAAATTAAATGAAATAATTAAATGGCCTTATGCAACCCAACCAACTTTTGTTATAAGACTTGGAAATAAAACATATTAAAAGTTATTTATGTATTTCCAACGCCGTTAATAATACATTTTTACAATAAACAGAAAAAAATAAAAATCCTAATTAACATATTTCCGAATTCTTTTTACATAAATCATAACCAAACATAATTAACATGAAGTTAGCTTCAAATGCTGCAAAAACCAAACACCGCACTAAAACCGTATCTATACAATTTGTTGCTATATAATCCAGTGAAATAACAGGCGGAACGAATTCCTTAACACATTCATTTATTAGCTTATCATTTGTGCCAAAAGCATGGAGGAACAGGTTAGTGTTAAAGAAAGCACCATCTCAACAAATACAGAAACTCCTCCTCTCGAAGAAAACGTTAATGTTGTTGAGAATGAATCAAATTTGGTTCAAGAACCAGAAGATCTTAAATCAAAAGAACTAAATATCGAGAAAACTATAATAGGTATAGATAAAAGTGAGGTTGATGCAAAAAAGGTTATATTAGATGTAAAGGATGTTGTGAAAGATGCAGAAGATATTGAATTAGATACTAAAAATGTTGAATCAGATATAGATTTGCATAAATCTGAATTAAATGTAGAAAGAGTTGAATTAGAAGCAATAAAAGATGTTGATACAAAAAAAGCTGAAGAATGTAATTTTGATATAGAAAAGACTGATTTAAAAGCAAAAACTGCTGATTTAGAAACAAAAAACACTGAGGGAGATAAAGATAATGATTTAAATACAAAAATGATTGTTATAAATACAGAAAAGACTGAAATAGATCAGTTAGAAACTAAAAAGATTGAATCTGAACCAGAAAAAGCCGAGTCTAAAACAAAGGAGATTGAAAAGGAAATGAAGATGGTTGAAGCAGAAAATGAAATAGTTGAGGTTGAAACAGAAATATTTGAATCAGAAACAAACAAGGTTGAGTGGAAAACGAAGGAGGTTGAGGAAGAAATTAAGATGGTTGAAGCGGAGAATGAGATAGTTGAGGTAGAACCAGAACAGATTGATGAAGAAACAGAAATGGAAAATGTTAATGAAGAAAAATCTCACCAAGACAAACAGATAGATGAAGAAGATAAATCAGCTGAAAATTCAAGTTTAAAACGGGAAATTTCTGCTTGTAATTCTGATTCGGATACAGAACCACCATGCAAAAAGGTAAAATCTATTTATTATTTAAGCTGTTTCCATTTAATTTCTTATAAGTTACTAAGGAATTAAAGAAAGAACAATTAAAATGAAACAAAACTGTAATATAGTTCCACAAACTCTAACTTTCTTTATAAGAAGGTGTTCTATGCTATTATAAAAGTTATCTTGGTACAAATAAGTAAAAGAGAACAAAGAAAATATGGTATTCTCAAGGGTAATCCTTTCAGCTGAGTAAATTCGAAAATTAATTGTGAATATGCCCAATTTGTGGTTTTAAAGAAAAATGTTTCAAATACAAGTTGCTTTATTAATTGTGGCGCATTTTTTGGCGATATTTGTATAGTTTTTTGCTGTATATGTTTTTTTTTGCATATTTTGATAGAGGATAAATCCCTCTACGTGATGAACATATCAAATTTTATAGTTGTATAAGAAAAAAATCGAGAAAAATGCAAAAACGTAGATCTACAGTATTGGAAAAAAGTAGAGCAACTTTTAATTTTTCTATATTAAATTTTAAATTTATGTTTTTCGTCAGGTTTTAGATTACTATGGCATTGTGTATTATGTAGTCATTGTTCAGCCGAATTTTTACAAATATAGCTTTATTTTTATAGAAATTAAACAGAATTGCAAAAGTTGAGTTGGAAAAAAGTAGAACAATTTAACAATTTATAGGTAAATAACAGTTAAATTGAATAAAAAGCAAAGATTTTTTAGTATTTAATACAATATCCTTTGTTATTAATGACATCGCAACACCTTCGGACATTGAGTGTATTAAATTGTCAATGGTTTCATTCGATATTTTAGACCATTCATTTATATTTATTTCGAATTTTACGTAATTTTATTCCTTTACGACTTTAGACGTGTGTTTCGGATCATTCTCCTGTTGAAATTTATAAGAGATAGGCAGATTTTCGTCGGCGTAATGTTCCATAACATTTCTTAATATATCACGATACAGAAATCTGTCCATTATTCCCATAAGGGTGTATAGGGCCTACACCAAAACCAGAAAAACATCCCCAAACCATCACAAAACCACGTCCATGTTTTAATGTTCGCTGCATGTACTTAGAAATCAGCCTTTTTTCTATTGGACGCCTCACATATTGCACTCCATCACTTTTAAATAAGTTAAGTTGGATTCACCACTAAACAATGCCTTTTTCCATTCAATGTACAGTTGTATGTTTTGCAGCTTTATTTATTTTTTATTGATAGAAGTGGTTTTTTCGCTGGTCTTCAGGCAAATAGTTTATTTGCCGGCGGGTGTCGGCGGGTGTGCCGCAGGGTTCTATATTGGGACCACTTTTGTTTTCGTTATATACATCCAACTTTTCAAATAGTTTGAAACACTGTAGCTGTCATTTTTACGCAGATGACACCCAACTATATCTGAGATTTGCTCCCAGTGATGTGTCTCTGGCTGAAACTATTTTAACACGGGAAATTAGGAACTTAGTGGAAATTTCGTCTGGACATAATTTGAAGGTGAATGGTGCCAAGTCGGCATTGATGCTTTTTGGTAGGCGGGGTTTGCGAGAAGAACATTCTACTCATTTTAGTATAGAAGTTGATGACCAGCGAATTAATGTAGGATGCTGTTTTCGTAATTTGGGATTGTATCAGGATTCAGATATTAGATTTAAAACACATATTACACAGAAAACCAATAAATCATATGCAACGTTGAAATTAATTTATGGCATTAGGCACACAGTATCTAAAGCTACACTGTTAAAACTGTGCGATACCCTTGTACTTAGTAATTTCACCTTTTGTGATAAGGTTTTTGGTACCTGTTTGGCTAGCACTTCAGTAAGTCGTGTACAGCGGGTACAGAATGCTTGCCTCAGGCTTGTATACGGTTTAAAACGGTATGATCATGTGTCTCATAAATTAATAGATGCTGGTTGGTTGAATATGTCCAACAGAAGAAAGTTGCATTTATTATCATTCTACCATAAACTTCTCATGTTGAAGAAGCCCCCGTATCTATACAACAAAATATCATTCAGGACAGATGTTCATAATATCAATATTAGAAATAGAGGTATTATTACACCTCCTAAACACGAGACCTCGTTATTTGAACGATCCTTCACTTATTGCCTTCCTAAATATTATAATCCGCTACCAGGCTCTTTGAAGTCTCTAAATTTGAATGCGTTTAAGAAGAAACTGCGACAAATGTTAATGGATGAACAATCTGGCGTATAGTTGCTGAGTTTCGCATGCATATGTATTGCAATTAATGTATGTTCCTTTGTTTTTTTTAATTTTTGATTTGTTTAATATTGTTAATTTCGTAAACATTGATTTTTTTTTTTGTTTTAATTTTAATTTTTCTTTTGTTCTATTTTATTAATACTTAATTTTTTTTTTTTTTGTTTGTTTGTAGGGTTGAGTGGTAGAGAGGAACTTGATTCCTAACTCCGCCCTACGTATTGCTTTTGCATAATTATTGTCATTATTTTTTTTATTAATAAAGCCAAATTATTATTATTATTATTATTTTCAATTAATCTATTGCGTATTATACATGTTGATACCTCCAAACTCAGCCTTAATTTCGGCTGAAGAATAAAATGGATATTTTTTAGCTGTTCTTACAATTATTCTATCAAGACATCCATAGTTTTTCTTCAAGTCTACAAGTCCCGACTCACGATATTGTTTAATAATTCGCGATACTACACATTTGTGTAAAGAGAATTTGCGAGCGATATCACATTGTTTTTAAAATCATTAATAACCATTTGTTTCACAGTTTTACAAACAGCTACACAACGAGCCATGTTTAAGACTGGTCTTATCGAATGTATCTTATCAAAAACTCGTTCTTATTAACCATATCTTTGTATTTCTTAGTAAAGTTGTTTTAGTTTTTTTAAACCCAAGTTTTATAATTGTATTTTATTTCTAACAAAATAAGGCTATCTTTGTAAAATCTTCACTACATAAATGCTATATAATATACACTACCATACTAATGTAAACCCTAAGGAAAAGCATTAATTTAATTTACAAAAATTAAAAGTTGCTCTACTTTTTTTCAATACTGTATGTGGCCCGTCCTAGGAAGTCACAACGGAAAGACGTAAATCTACGGGGTCCGTCCATTAAGTATTAAAAATGTTTGTGTTTCATTTAGATTCATACGGAAGATTCAAAAGATGTTTCAACAGCCGATGAGGAATCAAAAACTGAAAACCCAACCGATAAACCTGCTTTTATGCATATCGATACCGAAAAGGAACAAGATAAAGGGTGCAATACAACCGAACAGGATGAAGTTGCTGTTGATCCTATCGGTGAATCATCTTCTGATTGGACAGCTGATGATGCGGAATGTATTATTCCAGATACTAATCAAAATCAAGTAATAAATATTTTTATAGGTACTGTATATCAATTAATACATCTTATAATTTAGGAACATAATTACAATCAAGTATCAATTGATGATCAATCCGTTTCTAACATTAATGAAACAACTGATGATACAGAAACAATTGATGCTGTTGAATATCCTGAATGGGATGGAAAATATGTGGTAAATTTATCCAAAGGGGATGAGCAAAAACAGTGTATGATGTGTAATGCGGTAAGATTTGTTGATATTATAAAAAAATCAGTAAATAAAAAATTTTTATACAGGAGAATGTTCCGAAATATACATGCTCAAAAAATAAAAATCAAATGTACATATGTTCTGAAGAATGCCTAAAGCAACTAAAAGAACAAAATGTCGATAACATTATAGTGCGTGATTTGCGCGTTAAAAACTTCTCCACGCCAGTCGTGGAAGTTGAAGAAGATAATTTTCGTTCATGCGGGGAATGTGGGACGAGATTAACAAGTGTAGAAACGTTTATATCATGGGAGTGTTTAGAATTTTGCGAAATGAAATGCTTAAGTATATAAATATTTATTTCCTTTTTTCCTTATTTATTAAATTATTTTTTTAAGGAAGTTATCAAAAAAAAATTGGTTCATTTTGTGCATCATGTAAGAATCAAGTTTCGGACGTTTATCTTGGAAAATATTGCGTACGCTTCGGCTTCGACGTCCGTCAATTTTGTTGCGGAACATGTTTAACTGAATATAAGAAAGGTTTAAAATCATGCTTGTTTTGTCGAGATCAAATGGAAATTCCCGAAACAACCGAAGAAGAAGCAACAAAAAGTAAAGGATCCGATTTTTGCTCGAAAACATGTCGCGATAATTATATCAATTTAAAAGAAGGTATTAAAGAAGATGGTCCTTGTTCTGTTTGTCATAAACAAAAATTGATTGAAATTGAATTTACGGATAAAGTAAAAGAATCTCGATTTTGTAGCGAACCTTGTTTCAAAGCTTTTAAGTATGTCAATAATATTTCCCCAGTTCGGTGTGGAATGTGCACGAAATATTATTACAAACAAGATCTTATATTGTATATGGTTAATTCAAAAGGGAATATTGTAAGGTTTTGTTCGAGAACGTGTCAAAACGTTTATATAAACATTAATCGCAAAATTATTTCTTGCTGTTGGTGTAAGGTAAAAAAGTATAACTTCGATATGATTCAAAAATTTGAAGGCGATCAATGTACAATGTGGTGCTCATTGAACTGTCAAGTGTTATATGACGCAACATCACATCGTAAATTAGAAAAACGAAAATGTAATACATGCTCAAACACGGGTGATATGATATATCACATCACTACTAATAGCGGGTTGAAGAGTTACTGTTCGTATAAATGCATAAAAAATATTCCATGCAACCAAGTTTTACGGGTTGCTGATATTAACGCTGTTCCTAGTTTTATAAAACGCGTTGCGAAAAAAAGTTTACGAAAACAAAGCTTACCAGCACAAACCACAGCTTCTCAACTACCCATTATTACTAGTGTCCGTTCGTTAGCCAACGAACAAAATCGTAATGTACCATCATCACCTCCACCACCACCACCGCAAGAAATATCATCACCAGAAATCGAGAAACCCATCAAATACGTTGTTGTGGTACGTCCACCAGAGCAACCTGAAGTCCGCAACGTTATGACCAGCGCTAAAGCTGAAACAACAAACGCAGAAACCTCCGCGAAAGTTGTCATGGTTGACCAAGAAACCCAAACCGATCTTTTTAACCCAACGGATATTGAAGTTTTACCTGTTCCTGTATACATTCCACAACCTATACACATGTTTAATTTTATCGATTTAAAACCAATACCTTTTCCTTTACCAATTCCAGTACCCATGTTAATACCTATGACAAAAACGGGAACGAGCGGAATCCTTAAAGAATTTAAAACGTCCCAACCCACACCAAGCGACCCATACGAACAAGATTTATTAGTTATGGCTCAATTAGTAGCCGACGCGGATGACAAGGAAGCAGAGGAAGACCAACAACCACCAGAATCCGAAACGGAAGATAACGGAGCAGACGAAACATCTTATAGCCCAGAATCTCAAGAACCACAAAGCACTGCTTTTGGAGACGACGTTCTTCAATTCGCTTTAAACATCAATTTCACCGAACCCGCCGTTGATTTAGAAGGAGCCCTCACCGCTAACACAATTACAGCCAATACTTGTATTTTATTCATTTAATTTCATTATTCTTGTAATAAAACAAACATTTTAGCAACCCAATCCGAAGAAACAAGTCCACCTAAACCGGTAAAAAATACCCGCGGATCTAGACGACGTGGCCGAGGAAGTCGCGGTGGTAGAGGAAGAGGTAGACCAAGTAACGTGCAAGAACCCCCCGTGGAAAAAGATCCCTCCCCTGAACCACCATCGGAACCTGCCGAGAAACCAGATGCAAATATGTGCTTAAAGGTAAAGATTAATATAGTTATAACTAGTGCTGGAACGGATAGTGATTTTGCGAAAAGCTGGATATCCGGCCATTATGGTTATAATTTGTTGCCACATTATTGCGATATTTGAATACAAATGAAATTAATAAGACAGCTGATAAGATATGTCAACTTATTTGGATCCAAGATACAAAATGAACTTTTTTGATGCTGATTTAACTAACGAAGCAACTCTAAAAAGAGGATACTTTAATTAATAATTAGCGATATTTGCACAAAGATCCTTCAAGAAATTAATTTTATAAAAAATTTAATTTTTATTTTTTAATTTTATTAATTAACTCTAATTTATTATTTTTAATTGATAGTATACGTTCGGGGTAAACGCTTGGAAACAATGGGTAACGAATAAAAATCAAGAATTAGAAAAAACATCGCGGAGAGTGAAATTATTTAAAACAGATTTGCTTCAATTAACATCTGACGAATTAAATTTTTCGTTATGTTTGTTTATAAAAGAAGTCAGAAAACCAAACGGATCCGAATACGCCCCGGACACAATTTACTACCTATGTTTAGGAATTCAACAATATCTCTTTGAAAATGGGAGGATCGATAATATTTTTTGCGATCCCTATTATGAATCATTCACCGACTCACTCGATGAAATATGCAAAAAATTCTCCACATTATACAACGACTCGCGTAAGAAGTAATTTTCTTCAAAAATGTCACATTTTAATTCAATTTTTTGTAGAATACATTGTAACGCGCGTTGAAGAGGAACATTTATGGGAAAGTAAACAATTAGGCGCTCATTCACCTCACGTTTTATTGAGCACTTTAATGTTTTTTAATACAAAACATTTCAATTTAACGGTTTGTATAAAAATAATAATTTAAATTAAGCATTTATTTAAATCATTTTAAGAATGTCGAAGAACATATGCAACTTTCATTCTCTCACATTATGAAGCATTGGAAGCGAGTACCAAACACTCCGGGCACATCGAAAAATACAAGCTCAAGAAATATTTTGTTGCGTTTTTATCCGCCTCAAACAGCAGTAGAAGGTAATCGCAAAAAGAAAGTTTACGAGCAACAAGAAAACGAAGAAAACCCAATAAGATGTCCAGTAAAATTATATGAATTCTATTTGTCTAAGTGCCCCGAAAGCGTTAAGACACGTAATGACGTTTTTTATTTGCAACCGGAACGTTCTTGCGTTCCAGACAGCCCCGTTTGGTACTCTACCATGGCACTTGGGAAGGATGGATTAGAGAAAATGTTACATCGTGTTAAAATGGTCAAAGAAATCAATGTTGCACTTTTATCTACTTAATAAGTCATATAGAATTGTATATTAAATAAATATTTTTTTGGCCTTATTTTTTTTATTAAATCACACCAAATATATTTATTAATAATAACAAAAAAAGTAACCGAAAAAGGTGTGCTAATTTCTAGAAATAAAAAGTTTGGTATATAGATGGCGCTATAAATCGTACTTAATGCGCATGCGCAACAAAAAATAATTGGTCGGGGCCCCAACCTCTACGATAATAATTTTTATACAAAAAATACTAAATTAAATAAACTCTATGAAGCTTGTTTAAGGAGTTCTTGTAATTCATATTGTTCCTGTTCTTTCTCCATTTGATCTTGGAGTAAGCGATTAACGTTATCTTGGAATCGCTGTCTAAGCGCGAAATTTTCAATATTCTCAATTTTATATTCTTCTTGTTGTTGTCTTTCTTTGATATCGTTTAGTTCTATTTCGAGTTCTTCTAATCTTTGTTCAATGCCAACTAAAAATATAAAAAAATTTGTTGTTTTTGGGGTAAATTAAGAAAGGTTTCGAAAAAACCTTTGCTGAGATTTTGTGTTGTGTAGTTGATGATGCTGGGGGTTTGTTGGTAATAATCCATTTCTTGCATAATCGACGGGGAATTATTAATAGCTCTAAACATGTCGCTGGAAAATTCAGTTAGCGTTTTCGTGTCGACGCAGGTATTCTAAAAAATAAAATTGTTAACCTTTGCATTTAATTCAAAAAGTTTTAAAAAATAATTGTTGTATTTAATTTTTTGTTAAGGGCAATTAAAAACCTGTCATATCCTTAACATCTTTGTATTAATAGACAAGGGAAAACAACATTGAATTAGTTACTTTTTAGGTATTGAAATAGTTAAGGGCTTAGTTCATACTTTTGTATAAATGTATACTTATCCTTAACTAAATATTATAAATAGTTAAGGTCAATTTTTGTAACATATCCTTAACCTACTTATTATTCTTTTTTATTTTTTTAAATCACAAATTAATTTATGGGTAATTCATATTTTTTGATATATCATAATAGTTAAGGGCTTAGATTGTATTTTTGTTTCCTCAACTAGATAACACAACAAAAAAATAGTTAAGGCCAATTTTGTAACATATCCTTAACTTTTTTTTAAATTTTTTTACCAACTTTTTTATTACATTTTTTTGAGTTAAAGCCACAAATTAGAAAAAAATTTCTTTAACTCCTTTTTCATACTTTTTTAAATTAAATAAATACCTCACATATAATTTGTCTGGGATACTAAATTTTCTGGAATAAATGAAAATAACATATTACCATAACTGAATTAGAATCAGTCAAGTGACTATCATCTGCTGATATTTGACTGTTATCATCAAGCTCATCAATGACATTAACAGTTGCGTCTTCTTCTTCAGAATCACTGACAGCGCTTCCAAATATCTCATGTTCAGCTATGTTTTGGTTGGGTTCGAGTGGTTCCTTTTTAATCACAGTACCCTTGTTAATTTTATCATCATCTTCGTTAATGACTTCCCATTTAACCCCATATGCTTCATTATCACTTCTAAGTAATCGCTTTACTTCTTTTTCTATTTCGGGTGCTTCAACATATTTTTTCTTGAGAGTCTTACGAAATCTGCGTCTTCGAACGTTTTTTGCAGGAGGTGTTATGCCATGTGGCCATAAATATTTCTTTTCAACTTTATTAGGATCTTTTTTCTTTTTTTGTGGGGTGTCTTCATCTGGCTGTATATCATCTTCTTCTCTACATAGCAACATTTGACAAATATCCGCTGTTTTATAAAATCCTTTTGAATCTATTGTTTTTAATGACTCTACAATTGTTGGAAGATCAACAACTTTAGCATGCATGTACCAATGGTCAACACGAACCTCTCCTTGTCTTAAATCATTCTCTATTTTTATTGAAATGCGATCTTTTAATGTGCTATTATTGTGAATGGCATCTCTTAATATTTTTGCTGGTTCTGGAGGTAATCGTAAAATAAATTGTGATTCCAATTCGGTTGTCCCTTCATTGTCATGACTCCTATGGATTTCCCTTCAAAAAATAAATTGTGCAATAATAAGTGTATATATCATATAATCACCAAGTATATTGTATTACTTTATTAAACAATGATGGTGTTATCTATAATTTAAATGGAATCGGATTGGGTTGTTATCAAAAAAACCCAATCTATATCAATTTAATATGTAACCCAATCTAATTCTACTCAACAAAATTTTTTGTATTTCATATTTTTTTTATGTGATTCTTTGATTTATCTCGACGCATTCAAAGTTTAAAAGGTAACTTACTTTTGTTTGTGCGACATCGAATTACTCCAATATTACGCGAAATTAATAAATTCTTGCGTATCACTAAATACACAAAATTGAGAACAAGTAAGTTATGATATAAAGAATAAAAATTGTGTAGGTAAGAAACTATATTGATGAGTTCGCTTGATAACTGCCATGTTGGACATGCGCGGAATGAGTCACGCATTTGCGCAAAATCAACATCTTTTAATTTTCAATACTTTTTCAATAAATATATGAGATATATATCATGTTTGTTGTAATCGATCAAAATATGTTTGCTAACGATCGAAGTATATGTGAATGTGATTTTTGTGTTTAATGTTTGAATTTGTTATGAACAAAGTTATAATAATTAAATAAAATTTGAGAATTATCATTTGTAGGGCCTCGCCCGCAAGCGACCTCGGCAATATTAGATAATATCGCTCATTTGATGCCTTGGAAAGCAAACTATGCGCATAACGCTTCAATTTATTCTCATTTCGCCGAGGTCGCTTGCGGGCGAGGCGCTGGTTATGTAACTATATCAACGTAGAACTTGTATAAATTGTCATTTGTAGGGCCTCGCCCGCAAACGACCTCGGCAGTTGTAGATGATATCGTTTATTTGATACCTTGGAAAGCAAACTCTGCGCATAACACTTTAATTTATTCTTATTTCGCCGAGGTCGCTTGCGGGCGAGGCGCAGGTTATGTAACTATATCAACGTAGAACTTGTATAAATTATCTTGTAGGGCCTCGCCCGCAATCGACCTCGGCAATATTAAATGATATCGTTCATTTGATGCCTTGGAAAGCAAATTCTGCGTATAACACTTTAATTTATTCTTATTTCGCCGAGGTCGCTTGCGGGCGAGGCGCTGGTTATGTAACTATATCAACGTAGAACTTGTATAAGTTATCTTGTAGGGCCTCGCCCGCAAGCGACCTCGGCAATATTAGATGATATCGTTCATTTGATGCCTTGGAAAGCAAACTCTGCGCATCACACTTTAATTTAGTCTCATTTCGCCGAGGTCGCTTGCGGGCGAGGCGCTGGTTATGTAACTATATCAACGTAGAACTTGTATAAATTATCTTGTAGGGCCTCGCCCGCAAGCGACCTCGGCAATATTAGATAATATCGCTCATTTGATGCATTGGAAAGCAAACTCTGCGCATAACACTTTCATTTATTCTCATTTCGTTGAGGTCGCTTGCGGGCGAGGCGCTGGGTATGTAACTATATCAACGTAGAACTTGTATAAATTATCTTGTGGGGCCTCGCCCGCAAGCGACTTCGGCAATATTAGATGATATCGTTCATTTGATGCCTTGGAAAGCAAATTCTGCGCATAACACTTTAATTTATTCTTATTTCGCCGAGGTCGCTTGCGGGCGAGGCGCTGGTTATGTAACTATATCAACCTAAACCTTGTATAAATTATCATTTGTAATGCGATACTATTGTATCAACAGAAATTTATTTATTTAAAGTATCGATTACTATACCATAACTTGACACGAAATGTGAGTGTTAATGTTAAATGATCAAAGAGATAAAATAAAAAGCAATTATTATCAAATATATTTTATTAATAAAACGTTTTTTTTTTATTTAGACACTTAGAAATAATAATTTTCTTTTCTTACAAACATTAATGTTTTACATACATACGCGGTTTAGTGTTATTTAACTTACAGGTGCAGAGACAATGAGAAATATATTACATTAAAGATGGAGGGGAAAGTAAAGAGGGACATTTTACGTTCTATAAAAAAAAATAAACGGTACAATGGAAAATTTACAATTCGTCTTTTTCGTCAAGATCGACGTCAGACAAGTCAATATCCTCTTCAGGTGGAAGCTCGCCATCTTTGCCATCCCAAGCGTCAGTCTTAGCGATTTTCGGAAGCTCGGCCCCTTTAACGGGGGCGGTATTTCCTCTGCCGTAGGAGAGGTCTCTAAGGAACTCGTTGATGCCATCCTTGGAGAATGATCCTCGTAGGATGGAGTACTTCATTTTTTTCGCGTTGACGACGGCCATCGCTGGATAACCGAAACCGCCGATGTCCAAAGCACTTTCTAATTCAAATTGAGCGCCAGCTTCCGCCCACAACCAACTCCACATTTTCTTTTTGTACTTTTCGCCCATTTCTGTTAAGAGATCAATGTAGTTATTGCGACATTGCGATTGACAATCTAATATGTGTGGTAAAATAGCGATGACGCATAAAGGTTTTTCTTCACAAGCTGTTTTAAAGGTGACGTCATTAACTATTTGAATTAATTCTGGTGCAGGTACGTTTTCAGAGAGTTTTTCCAATGCCCAATTGACAATATCTCCAGCTGTTCTTCCGCCGTTATAATCCGATACGGAGTCTGAATCCTTTTTACCAGGTGAAAAGAACTTGATTGTTGGATAACCTTGGATTCCATATTGAGAAGCTATGCTGCTGTGAACTGTGGCATCTAAAGCTCCTAATTTAACTTTTCCTTTAAGTTGAGTTGCAGCATCCGCCCAATGAGGGGCTAAATTTTTGCAATGTCCACACCAAGGTGCAAAGAATTCTACTAACCACATATCCTCAGATTGCATCACCAACTTTTCGAAGTTACTATCTGTTAATTCAATAACATCTTTATCTGAACCACCTGAAGATTTTGATCCAGAACTGGATTTGCCACCAAGTTGAGCATTTACCTTAGCTTTAGCTGCTGAGATTGCCCCATCAACTAAGCCTTGGGCTGATCTTGCCCCATTGTAATCCTCAGGCGATTTTTTATTGGCACCAAATATTTTAATAGTGGGGAATCCACGTACACCATATTTGCCACCTAATTCTTTGTGCTCATCAGCGTTAACAGCCCCTACTTTAACAACTCCTTTAAGAGCCCCCGCTGCTTTTTGATACTCTGGTACCAATTGCTGGCAATGTCCACACCAAGGGGCATAAAACTCTACCACCCAAACTTCATCACTGTTAATAACCAACCTATCGAAATTCGAAGGCGTTAGGTCGATGACGCTCGAAGACGTTGGATACAATCCTAGGGATTGCTCGAAAAAAATTGCCAAAACTAAAACAATTTTAAACCCAAATTAGAGTTCGATAAAAAATTTTAATAGTTTAAGTTATCACTTACCCAGGTACAGCAACATTTTTCTTTGTATCGGTCTCCGATTCGAAACTGCTAACGTGTTCTTAAATGTAAATGAACCGGTGCCTAATCGTCAACGAAAGTTTCGTGGTGAATTCTTATTGGCTCGTTGTACGATAATGTTTATAGTAGAATGTCATGTACAGTGGCGCCACGTACATTCAATTTAAAATGTCAAAATATTTGCTTTTTTAATATTTACTTTTTTTTATTACTTTTTAAGATAAAAACTAATTATTAAACTAATTATTTTTAAAGAAACAATTATTAAAATTCTAAAAAGTTACCTGCAAGAAGCGACATCTTTTAAAGATTTGAAGTAATCGTTATTGAGGTGCCATCTATTATAATATCGATGAACTATAAGCTATGACGTAGAACAATTTTAAATTGAGTACCGTGCGGTGATAATTACTGTTTTGTATGGCAAAATTGGCCGAAGATGATGGTTATTAGGGTTTTTTCGTAGAGAAAAAATTGCGGTTTTTAATTTTTTGTCTAGTTTTTCGCGTGGAACGGTGCTGTATTGATGATCAAACGAGTGTTGGGTCATTAAAAGGCAATAACGAGAAGGAAGGATCCGCTTTGGGACGCTATCATTATCGTTTCGACCTTTTAACCCGTGACACGATTACACAGTGTAACAGACAATGGTGTACGTTGGTTGTTCTTGTCGATTTGAAAACGTTTATTGTTTATCGAAGTTAATTAGGGAGCATCATCATCCGTCGCACGGCCGGCCCTTCCCATCTAATTATTTACTCTATTTGAATTGTCGCTGTAATACACAATAAAGAGTTAGGTAAGAATCCGGCGACAATTCATTTTTAACCGTTTTAACGACGCATCTGTTCGTAAATAAACTACAATTAACTCTTGATTGACTTAACTGACGAAGACGTCCCCTTAAAAAAGAAGTAATGCACTTCACAGCATCCTTTAACTTCACATACTCGTGATTTAGGTAAACAAAGAGTGTAAGTATTTTTTTTATTTTGCTTTATTCCACGATAACAATGTTTATCTTTTTCGTTTTATTGTTAGTGTTAACTTTTTGTAATACAATTGCAACATCTAGTTTACACCAGACTTAAGTTGAAGAAATTAAACGAATAATTGGATTAATTTAAGATCTCCAATGCGGGCTTACTCATGACTTTTATTAATTATAAAATGCGAGATACTCCAGATAACTAAAGTTGCGCAAAACAAAAAAAAATTGTTATCGTTAAAATCGTCAAAAAATAATCAGATTACTCAGATAGTCGGAATCATTACTATTGTTTATGTGATTTTCAACGCGAAATGATCGCGATTTACCTCTGGATTTTACTTTTCGTTTTCGTCGGAGCCGATCAACCCATTTCTTGTCAAAAATGTAGAAATCAAAGAGTTCATAATATGAAAGGCGCGGATTGTTACGATTTGGGTTTAAGGGAGATTCCGCAATGTTTAAATCCAAATATTGAGGTAAGAAACTTTTTTTATAATTAAATTAAGTACCTTGATTACTTAATATCTCATCTTGTTGATTTCCATCACTTTCTTATAATTAAATAATGTGTTTTAGGTATTGGACTTATCATATAATCGCATAAGAAAAGTCAAAGAAACTGATATTGAACGTTATTCTAGTCTAAAATATTTATATTTAACCGATAATACAATCACTGAAATAGAAGAAAAAGCATTATCAAAATTAACATCGTTGGAACTTTTGCATTTAAGTTATAATCCGTTATTGGCGATTCCAAAAACGATTTTTCAATTGCCATCTTTAAAGAAATTGTATATAAGTGAACATCAAGATGTTGATGTTGCGTATGATATTGAGAAAGGGAAGCCGATATTAAGTCCGTTGATGATGTTAGAAATTGCGTTTAACGATATGAGAGAGTTGCCTAATTTGGGGGAACTCCCGACGTTGATTTTTTATAACATATCGGGAAATAAAGACGTTTTGATGAAAACGTCCCATTTTGCTGGGCTGTGCATGCTAAAACAAATCGATATGACGAAGTTTAGCGGAAGATTTGTTTCTGATTGTGATTGTATTAATATTCAAAGATGGCTTCAAGCCCGGAAAGTTGAGATTATCGGGGAATTTATTTGTCAAATTAATGGTATGTATTTTAATAAGTAATACTTAAATTGATTTTTTTAATTGTAGATTGCGCATATGAAATCCCTGAAAGTGACTTAGAAATGTTTGCAATTTGTTTAGAGAGCAATAAAGTGAAGAGTTTGCATAGCACATTGTTATATATTGTCCTTCCCGCGTGCCTTATCGCTACTATTATTTTGTGTATACTTCTCTTTATGTGCTGGCGAAAAACAAACAGTAGATATCATCGAACATCTGTCCAAATCCATGCTAACCGTCCATTATTTAAATGAAAGATGTAGAAATGTAAATAGTTTAGGTTTATAAATATATTTTTATAAAAAAAATATTTATAATATATAGTAAAACTTTAATATAACGGATTAATACGGGGATACAAATTCGAACTGCTATCCACACCGCTACGTTCTATATTAGGTAGTTCATTAAAAATAGATAATAATCTAGTACTGAATAACAACTAAAACTAGAACTAACACAAGACCTAGAACTAGAAACATTCGGGTTTAGCCATATATCTTTTAAGACGGCTAAATCCGTCAAAAAGTTCAGAGACAAAAAGTTCTTAGTATCTTGTATCTAAAAAGCTTTTGTCCGTTACATCAAGGTTTTACTGTATAAAATTATTATTTATTTTGAAGCTTATATTTTTGTATGTATAACATATAGAACCAAACGTGCGGTGGTGTAAAATGGGTTGCCTACTGAACGAGGAGATAATGATTTCCTGATAAATTAGAGGCCAATAATTCCGTGATGTCATGAAATGGGATGTTAACGACACTATAATTGTGAGGTATTTTATTTTTCTGGACGCGGTCACGTGATGGTTCGCGCAACCAATGGCGAAATGATATATAAATCGCTAATAAGCGTGAATTCTGGCAGTTGCATTCGCGATTCGTTCCGCGTTGGTTCGCACCCGTACAAATATAGTTCGTATTAGAGAATACTAGATCGCGCCACGATCGTGTTGTCACAGAAAGAGTACACCATCATCCATAGTTCCATTTTTCATCAAATTTCTATAGTATCACCAATGGACACTGGATAAACGCGAGTGGAAAGGATTTGTTGCGATTGAACGTAAGTGATTTCAAGTGAAATTTTGGCGCCCAGTTAACGTGAATTACATAACCTGCAATTTTTTCACGCGAATCCGGAAACGTTTTCCTTTAGGTGGTGTTCATAAGTTTCCGGTACAAGATGATCGAATTCTAAAGGGACAATATTTATTCATTAACAACGGCTGACGCAACGGACACAATGAAGAAGAACTCGGGCACACACAAATATAACGCACTATCTTTTCTCAGTAGCGTTAAATATGAGCACTTATTAGCTGGGATTTCTGGTGGTGCTATTTCAACGCTTATCCTGCATCCTTTAGATCTGATGAAAATTAGGTTTGCTGGTGAGTCATTATATTTTATTATATTTGCTTATTTAGAATTTTTTAGTCCTTGAAGTGTTATTATAAGTTTTAAATATTGCTTATTGTTACTTAATTGGCTCTTCATGGAAATTTTAAATTGGTTCCATAAAAAATTCCTAAAAGTTTCTAATATTTCCCAATTTATTTCCTAAAAAAAACTTTCACTACTTTTACGCTAGCATAAAATTTTTGTTGTTAATAAACGCGTTTTTATGGTCACCATAAAATTTTGTAATGTATTCTAGATCGTTTAATCAACACCTTCACATTTTACATATTCGATCAATAATGACTCATAATTCTGAGAAAATGGACTTTCTTTGTCGCGATATTGATTTGTTGCGGTAAAAAAGGTCACTTTCTCTAAACATTTATTATTTTTGTGTTGTTTCATTCATATTATATCCCTACTTAGCCTGCGTTGGATTTATATTATAAGTCTATTATTGATATGCGAATCTAAAAAAATTAGAAGATTTTGAAGAGGATTAATATCGCCACTTTATCTTTTTAATAATAATTTTCAAATTTTATTGAATAGGAACACTCGGAGAAATGGAATGGATTTATTCGCCAAGGTAATCTCCAATAAAATTATTATTAAAGAATGAAAAGAATTGTTTTATTTACCACTGCAATTGTTTCGGATTCTCGGAAAGCTGGCCAAGGTGGCAATTTTAACAGGAAAAAATATTTCTAGAATTCGCTAGAAATTTTTTATTGACATCTGCAGAAAAGAACCCAACCTAACTAGTTGGAGCAGCATATCATTTTAAGAAGCTGGAATATGTTGAATATTGTATCAGGCGAAGCGGTAACAAAAGCAATAAAATTAGAAGTGAAACAAGAGTTAAAACTAATCTAAAGTGCGACTTCCTGTTGTTCACTCATATACGTGCCAACAATAATAAGCCCATCACGCTGATTTACATCACCACAACACCACGAATAAGAATAAAACAATATAATAACTATTAAGTTAACAAACCGTGTAATTACAACCCAAAATTGGAAAATTCTCGTGGCTTCAAAAAGAGATATAAAAATGTTTCACATAGAGATATTCCAAATGATTTCCTGGATCTCCCGGAGGTGTGATGGATTGATCAAGTCAAAATTATAATAAAGCTAAAAGATGTTCTCGTGATAAGATTTTTTTGACAGAAAATCGCCAAATGCAGAAATCCCAAAAAAGTGATCAACCTGAATATGAATAAATAATCTAACAAAAAAACCATAAAGAAATAGTGGTAAGCTTGAATTGACACAAAATTGTCAATAAAGATCGATTGGTTTGAAAAACTTGTTGGCTCCTGAAGCTGCGAAGGATTTAATCAAAAATTAAAGAAAAGAAGGCACCCTAAAAATGGTTAATTAAGAAAAATGAAAAAATAGTATTGTGTTAAAATCATTTTTTAAAACTTTATATACAAACGCTGGTAATTGTGTAACGTTTTCTTTTAAGAAAATGAAAATTTGAAGTTGCTAAATTATATTTAAATCTATAATAACCTCAAGGAATTAATATTAGGACGATATAGGATAAAATAAAATAATAAAATTAAAATGTTATATCTTTAATTTTCAGTAAGCGACGGCCGAACAACAATACCACAATATAGTAGTTTAACAAATGCTTTCTACACAATAGTTAAACAGGAAGGTGTAAAAGGTTTATATAGAGGTGTTGCTCCGAACGTATGGGGTTCCGGCAGTGCATGGGGTTGTTATTTCCTGTTGTAAGATTTGGCTTGGTTTTGTTTAGAATTTTTTTTATTTTGAAACTTTTTAGCTACAACACAATAAAAACATGGATACAAGCGGGTGATAGCGCGCAACCGTTGGGGCCATCGTTGCATATGATAGCGGCAGCGGAAGCTGGGGTTCTTACATTACTTGTAACCAATCCAATTTGGGTGGTAAAAACTCGACTGTGCTTGCAATACGGCTCGGATATGCCTGTTGCAAGTAGTAAGTGTTACCGAGGGATGACGGACGCTTTAGTTAAGATTTACCGGACAGAGGGAGTGCGGGGGCTTTATCGGGTTAGTGTCAATTTTTTTTATTTGAATTTTCCTTTTTTGTTGGATTGACTATTAGTGTGCGCGCGATTTAGGAAAAAGGGTTTTTTCTTATAGCTACTTTGCAGGGTTTCGTTCCTGGGATGTTTGGAGTGACCCACGGCGCCCTCCAGTTTATGACGTACGAAGAAATGAAGGCGTTTTACAACCGTTATAGGACATTGCCGTACGATAGCAAGTTGGTGAGTAATTTTCAGCGGAAAACGGGTTTATTACGTTTTAACTTTAACCATTTTCATGGGGTACTTTGTATTCATGGAATTTTCAAGGTGACCGTGAATGTTGGGTTGGGCGCAATTTTTTTTTTATATCATATGATGGGTGATTGAATAAATTGCAAAAGACTCCTTTTGGCAGCGGTTTCGTAAGAAATTGCTTAGATAACGTATTAATTGGACTCTATGCTTTCTTATCGTAAGGGTCATTGTTATATGTTTCGGTTCATTAAGGCTTAATACTAAAAATTTTTTTTTTTTCAATTTATTGGGAAAACTTCGTGTAATTAATATATAAATAAATTTTGTTTCTAACTCGACTGATTATTGTGACTTATTTTAGTAACTTCCTTAAATTTTTACTTTTCGCTTATAATTAATTTATCAAACAATTTTATCAGATAAGGAAATCATCAAAAAAACGTGACATTCAAGTTCATCAGCGATAAGATATTTTATGTTCTAAATCATCGTGATATTCTTTCAAGGGGTACTTAACATATATAAAATATATATTTATATGTATAAATCATTTTTATTGAGATATTAATTTAATTGATAAATTTAATAAATCAAAGTGATTTAAAAATAAAGTTATGTTAAGATTAATTCGACCAATGAGGGGAACAACAAAATGTCACGCCTTCAATTTCACTGTGTGTCATAAGTAGCGATAAGTTAACAAGTGAAAAGGTTATCTTCGTCGAAAGATGAAACGTTATTTGTTTTTGTGATGTAAATCTCGTGAATTTCTCGTCATAATTTGCGTGGGCAATTAAGATCATGCTAGAATAATACCAAAATAAAACAGAAATAATATTAGAATAGTAAGGAAATGAGATAATACGTTTTTAGATTTAGTTTAGTAGATTCTGGTTAAGTTACGTCAATTCGCGGTGTTTGTTTGTCATGAATTTAATTTGGGTAAAAGTTGAGACGCGTTAAATCGGAAAGTGCGCCTTTAAAATATTTTCGAGGAGGCGAGAGCTCCGAGGTGTGCATTTAAAGTTTATCGGACAAACACGAGCGGCGAATGCGACATGTGACTCTTAAAAATAGACGGACTGTTTGAAATAGAATTTATACGAAACACGGGCATTGTTCGGTAAACAAAAAACCGAGTGGACTTATTATCGTTTTATTATCAAATAAATAACTTCCTTTTTCTTTTCTTATTTATTATTATAAATATTATAAATAAGTAAATGTGGTGTATTTTATATTTTATTTTATTTTTTTTAGACTACCGGAGAGTATTTATTCTTTGCGGCCGTTTCAAAATTGATAGCGGCCGCTGCTACGTATCCTTATCAGGTGATAAGAGCTAGATTGCAAGATCAACATCACACGTATGAGGGTACTTGGGATTGCGTCAAGAGGACATGGAAATACGAGAGGATGAGAGGTTTTTATAAAGGGCTCGCTCCGTACCTGCTACATGTGACCCCTAATATTTGTCTAGTCATGTTAATTTACGAGAAATTCACCAATAATTAAAAATTAATTAAAATTAATTACAAAAATCTGACCTTTGATTATTTTAGCGCAACACCATGGTCGGTTTCGAAACTAAAGTTAATAAATAAAAAATCTAAAATTTATGAACCGGCTGTTTTACTCTAATCGTTAAGTTATTTTATCTCCTAGGGTTAGTTAGGAAAAATTATTTATGATTCTATTTAATTCGTTTATTTAAATTTTAGTTATTAATTATAAAATTTTTAAAAAAATAATATTAAACTCTTGTTTCTATCGATATTGACCGGACGTAGGATATTTGATAGTTGAATTTTGATCATGCTGTACATAGTCTGAGACGGATATTTATCATTCAAGCAAGGTTGTGAACACTATTTTTTTAAGAGAGTTTCTTTCTTATTTTGTAATTCTTATCTAATTAAAAAAAACGATCTTCAGTTTGAACTCGTTTTATTTTTCCTAAAAAACTTCCATTAATAAACAATTGTTACGCAATTATTTACCCTTTCAATATCCACCAAGAAAACATCCATTAGAAATCATTAGAATATTCAAAATCATGTTAATTATTTTGTTTTTTTAACTCTTGAATACCAGTTTCTAAAAAAAATATCGTACACGTGTTCTTGAGTATCGATTTACAACGAAGTGGTTCACGTGCGTGATCGAAATGGGTGACATTTCTAATGAAATTAAAGGGAGGAAATTACCGGAATTATTGAATTTTAAACTTCCCAAGAGCGCGGTTCGATCAATAATTGTTAAATCGTTACCGGAATCGGTGCATTTAAGCGAGGATCTCGTAAACTCGGTTAGTTGGGCCGCATCCATGTTTATTTTCTACGTTACCACGTTAAGTCGAGATGCTGATCATCAAAAAGAAACGATCAACGCCGAAAGAGTTTTTGATGCTTTAGAAACGGCTGGGTATCAAGAGTTTATCGAGGAGTTAAAATCAAATTTAGATGCGTATAAAAACGGGAAATGTGAACTAAATGAAGATGAAGTATCAGAAGAATAATGTAATTATTTTTTGAATATATACAAATGTATTAATTAATTTTTTTTTGATATTTTTAATCCTCAATAATGTAACGTTATCTTTTGGGAAATTGTCGAAACTATTTTGGTTGGACTTTTGCGGTGGTGATGGCGCAATGTTTTAAAAGATCGATTATCTGCTTACTTTTAATGATTAACACATGTTCGGGCTTATATGGGAAATAAAATAAATATGATAAAAAAACAATTTGCGCCATCGCCAGTTCATTTATTTCGCGTATAACATTTTTTGCCCAAACAAAAACGAAATGTAAATTAATGTTATTACCGATACGAAAAAATGTTGTTTTGATTCATAAATATTCAAAAAACTTGAAATTAAAAAGTAGATTGAACACGGATTTTCATAGAAATTCAAATGAAGTATCGAATTTCTATTCAGAATATGTATAAAATACAGACAGACAGAGTTCGGAATCGATTCCCCCAGAGGGGGGCTAGAAAGAATAACAAAAATTTGCGTATACCGGGGGGGTTTCATTTCGAAAACTGTCAGTGGTTGAGGGTAGCGCGTTTCCAGGAGGGCGGAGACGGACGTTTTCTCGTTGCGCGGAATCGCTACCGCGCTAGTATTTTAGTTTTAGTCCACGATCGTCCGCGAGCGAAACCTCACCGGATCGCCGGATTCGTGAACCGATTTTTTTTTCGTGTGACGAGATGTGCTCCTACCATGCTGACCAAAACGACCGGCGAAAGACAACCGAACATTTGACCCTTCTGTACGGGCGATGACCGGAAGAACTTAGCCTTTAAAAACACAACCCCCCGTTGGGAATTTGAAAAAAAGGTAGATTAATTCCTCCTCCCTTTTTTTTAGAGGGAACCTTTTAAATGCCAATTAAAGTTCAACCTAAAAACTTTTCCGGTGTAATCTACAAATTTATGACAACATTTTTTTTGAACTATAATCTTTACTTCGTACACTAAACAGATGAAGTAAACAATATCCACGTGGTCTTCATCTTCTCCTTTAATTCATCTTCCTCTTGAACAATTTATTCTATCTTTTGAAGAGCCAAAGACTAAATCGGAATGTTTTTAGTTCTAGATCTAGTGTTGGTTTTGGTGCTAGAACTAAAACTAGACCTAGAACTAGAATCATTCGGCTTTAGCCGTCTTAAGAGACGTACGGCTAAACCCGAATGATTCTAGTTCTAGGTCTAGTGTTAGTTCTAATGCTAGTGTTAGCTGTAATTTTAGTTTTAGTTTTAGTTCTAGCACCAAAACTAGACCTAGAACTAGAATCATTCGAGTTTAGCCGTCTTAAGAGACGTACGGCTAAACCCGAATGATTCTAGTACTAGGTCTAGTGTTAGTTCTAGCACCAAAACTAACACTACACCTAGAACTAGAATCATTCGGGTTTAGCCGTCTTAAGAGACGTACGGCTAAACCCGAATGATTCTAGTACTAGGTTTAGTGTTAGTTCTAGCACCAAAACTAACACTAGACCTAGAACTAGAATCATTCGGGTTTAGCCGTCTTAAGAGACGTACGGGTAAACCCGAATGATTCTAGTTCTAGGTCTAGTGTTAGTTCTAGTTTTATTTCTAGCACCAAAACTAGCACGTATAATTTTCAAAGTTCAAGTTTAAGTTGAGAATGAATTGTAAATTTTATAAAAATAAATAATTTAGATGATAAAAGTAAAAATGAGTAAAATTTGTTTTTACGGCGTAAATGTCAATCAAAAACGATCTTAAAATGTAAATTTCTGAGCGTGTCAAAAATGATTACATTTAGAAAGCATCCGCATGATCGATCAGGGTTAAGAAATTTCTCGAGCAATTTGTAACCTTTGACCTTAAAATAGGAAAGGGTTTAAAAACGGTGGATTTAATCCATAATTTAAATCGATTCAATCTGGTCCTTTAATCTGAAAAGTGTACGGAGAACTCTCGGGTTCTGTTTTCAACTTTTCAACGAATCCAACGAATACGACAAGTTTATAATCGGGATTTTTGAAAAGAAAAAAAATAGGGATGAAAAATTGTAATTCAATGGTTTACTGGGGGGTTTACAGTCGTAATTTGTGCGATAATTCAGATTGAATCTATCCACTCGGAAACGATTTGACCTAATGAAGATTAATCTTCGCTTAAATCCACCTCGATCCGAATGAAAAATAGGATTTAATCATCTGGTATTTTAGTTTTCGGATCCTGGAATAATGTTAATGTTGCAACCGATATAATGTTGTTACTTCGAATTTCAATTTCTGTTTCTGTTTCCTTTAATTCAATGTTCGAACCAGTTTTTTGAATCTTTATAATTTAAGTTAATTTGGAAGTATTAAGTTTCATTTTATTAGTGCTATTCCTATCGATGAGTTATTTGAGTCACAAAGCAAAACAAAACAAATCGATTGTCGGCTAATTATAAAGTGGTTTGAAAATTGAATTTGGTGACGATATCGCGTTAAGCGCGAGTTTTCTCGCGATTCGACTCGAATTAGATCAAAGCGATGATTACCGATGTATGTTAAAAGGTGGATTTACACAAGTTATGCCCGGTACTATATTTAAACCTTGTAGCGAATTAGAACAAATTTACATTGTGGTTTTGTTCGATCTCGGCCGAAGAAAGCTTATAGTTGATTTCTAAATTTAAACCGCGCCGCCGGTGCAAAGACAATAATATTATAGCCGGGGCACGCAAAAATAGTGCGTTGTTTTCCGTCCAGGGAGGATGCTGCCCTAACCACCACCACCTCGATGTGACTGGACGATGACATCTGGGACGTCCTCGCCGACGCCCACCGACTCACCATCCCTCTCGCAGCGTCCCTTGCTAACCGCCGCGGCGCCTGCCACCGTCAAAAAAACCGTCGAGTTCGATGTTATGCCTACCAGAAATGGTTCTGAAGATATAACCAATAAAACCGACAACAGAGACCCAGAGAGGTAAGATTATATATATCTATTTAATCAAACTTTTTTTTTCTACGTTGTTTATAGAATTACAAATTTTATTCCTTTAAAAAAAGTTCCCACGGTTAATTCATTGAACTAAAAGTACAGTGTGTCATCATTGCAAGTATGCAACCAATATCACAGTATTGGTATTGCAATACGCGATTTGCGTATGATGCGTATTGCACTGTGATATTGGTTGCATACTTGCAATGATGACGTCGAGTATAGTTTCCGATATTTCTGGTGGTTTTTATGATTTAATTGCAGTCATATAACGAACAAAGATGGGGTTGTATACAGGTAGTTTACGAACCCCAAACTCTGGCGTGAGTTGCTCAGGTCTACATTAACGAAAATTTCAATAACATAATATTTAAAAACTTAAATATCATTACTTTGTGTGAAAATACAACAATTTATTTAAATCTATCTAAAAAGTACATTTGGTTAAATAATTTATGATTATTATTATAAAATTTATTATCTTTTCACACTAATTCTAAGATAATTATAAAAAATATGTTTTAATTTTTATATTATAAATTAATACTTGCTTTTTTTTGTAAAATCATTTAAGTATAAGTAAATTTATATTCTTTACTACATTTCTGTTTTATTTTGTTGAATTTAAAATAAAATAAAAAAGAAGTGCGTCGCTGGACCTAGTTCCCTAGGAGGACCTATCATAAATCATGTCCAGGTACTTTTTCCGGGTGATAATTACTGCCACTACTGTTTCTGAGGGTCATAAAAACCACCAGAAATATCGGAGACTATACTATAATTAATTAGAACTAGAAACATTCGGATTTAGCCGTCTTTTGAGACGTTCGGCTAAATCCGAATGATTCTAGTTCTAGGTCGAGTGTTAATTCTAGTGATAGTGTTAGTATTGTTATTGAACTAAAAGTACTAGTTGGTAATGGCAGAACTCAGGATTTTGACATATTACAGAAAAACTTTTACGTTAGTAAATTTTATACTAAATAATATTGTTTTCTTTCACTTTTGCTGTCAGAGACAACCATCATATATCAGATGATATAGCAAGTATATAAAAAACTTTATGATTGAAATAGTTGAAATGTTCTTTGATAAGTATAGAAAAGTGATTTAAGTTGAATTGGGTATTTCGAAGTTGTCACTTTACGAAAACTATTTCTATAAAGAACGTAGAAAAAAGGAGTAAAGTCTTTATCTTAATAGAGTTAAGTAACGAACTTAGTTATTCCTCTTCTTTTCTACCTGTTTAGAATCACCAAAAAGTTTTGAATCAACTATTTTTAAACTTTACCCATCCATCTCACAAAGTTTAAATTGTCAGAGCTGACATGTTTCATTCCCCAATCTGTTGTTAAATAAATAGATGAGTTTTTTTAGCTTATTTTTGTTATTTATTTATTTTTTGTTTACGGGTAGAAGTTGTTTACGATCGTGAAAATATCGGGTAGCGCATGTCTGTCGGTTTCTGGTTCGGAAGGAGTCGTGCGGCGGAGAATCGTTCGTGGTGGTGCAGAACGCAATCAACCTCTCACCTGTGTTGCACACAGACTGCGTGTTTTAAACTTCCGGTGAACCGAAAGAGTTCGTTTTAGGTTCGAAACACCCCCCTGACTACGAGTTACGGTTCGTGTCAAAAAAGGCCGCCGCATGGCAACTGGTGATGAAAAATCGCGAAAAAACATTTACGATCGCCGCGTAGCTGGAGGATTTGGTAAATATACTGGCCCAGCTTTCTTATACCACGCGACATGTGTTCCTAATAAAAATAAACGTTATCGAGTGAAATAGGTTCTTATAGGATAATGTTTTTTTTTAATTAATTCAAAAGTTATAACCTGGAAATAGAATTTTAAATTTAAAGAAGGCTTTAATAGACCGCTTCACTTTTGTCACCGCAACATCAACTAAATATTTATTACTGTATTAACGTTCCACCTCCGGTTCCCTCTTTTTCGTGGTAGGATCAGCGTTTTGGGTTCCCTTCAATTTCCCCAACTGCCGTGCGTCAGCTAATTACTATTGTTATTCTATCACTGCTGCGGGTTATAATTAACTATAATTATTAATTACGCATCTCTTGGATAATATAAATCTTCTTACTAACTACAGTGTTAATTAATTATCGTCATCATTGCAAGTATGCAACCAATATCACTGTATTGGTATTGCAATACGCGATTTGCGTATTCAGATATATTTAGTGTGATATTGGTTGCATACTTCAATAATAACGTCGGGTACGATAATTAATTAACACAACTCATCTCAAATTTATTAAAAACTAAAACAATTTAATATCACAAAAATAAATTCGCAAACTAATCTTGTTTACATTCAGCGAGGGACTCGTTTTGATTCCCATCCAGCTTTTCCAGATATGAATTTTTAGTTTAAAACCGGTGCCGCCAAAATTTTTATTTGCTATTAATGTGAGGTCAAAAGAGAAAATATTTGATGAATACTTCAACCGTATAATTTTTCCGGCGGGCAAAACGGTTCGGTAAGAAATAAAGACAGAAAAAATTAACTTCAACCCGGTGCTCAACGAAGCGTTTTCATTGGCTAGAATAACACGATGTAATGTTTAACAGGTGCGGCGGATTAAAAAAGCAGAGTTGCGTGTAAGTTGCCCCATTGCCGTTTTGGTGTGAGTGTTGTCTTTTTATTTCGAAATTATACGGTCGTCTCGGTTCGAAACGTGTCTGTGTTTTATTTGAATTGTCTTTTCCTTTTTAGCCACAGTGCAATCCTCCGAAGAAGCATGTGTTGCATGCGATGAGCACGATTGTCGCCTGCGTATTAAATATTTAGTTTATCAAGAATTATTTCGATGAATTATTACTTAACGTATACATCGGTTGTCCTCCCACTTAAACCCGTATATAATTTAAAGAAGTTTAACTGTCGTCCGCGGCTATAAACTTGAGAAGGGGAAAAGTTAAAAGATCTATTAATAAAATCTGTTATAAACGACTCAGTTCAAAACAAACGCGAATTTTAAAAAGATTATCCCTATAAGATGCATGACACATTTTTTATTTTAGTTATGATTGTTCATAATCACAAGTATTTTGTATAAATATGGAAAGTAAAAAAATTCGGTCAAAAATACAAACTTAGCTTTGTATGTTGTAGAACCTCGGCCTCAAACGACCTTGAATTATCTAGATGGGTTTTTTTACTTTCCTTTCCCTGTATATTTACGTAATACAATGATGTGTTTGAGTTTTGTGTAAGTGGTAGATTTGTTTGTAGTTTGACTGTTCGTCAAAAACACGGTCGACTGACGCAGCCCCGAATGAGTCTGCTTGGGAAGCCACTGAATTACAGAGCGTCGCGACGGGATGCCCGATATCGACGACTGCAGAGCCGCGTTTACAACTTCCTGGAGCGTCCCCGAGGGACCGAGGCCATTTTCTACCACATGGTGGTGTAAGTCCAAGCCTCCACTTCCTCCTCCCACCCCAAGGGCCGTTAATCAATCCCCGTCGTTATCGACGTTGCAGGTTTTGGATGGTATTCATGTGCCTGACGCTGAGCGTTTTCTCCACCATCGAAGGTTTCGAAGACATCGCCGGCCAAATACTCTTCTACATGGAGACGGTTGTCGTTATTTGGTTTACCATCGAATTCAGCTTCAGGCTTTGGTCATCCGGGTGTAGGTCCAGATATCAAGGCTATGTTGGTAGACTGAAATTTCTCAGAAGGCCTTTTTGTATTATAGGTTTGTTATAGTCTGTTAATTAATTATCGTATCCGACAAAGTATGCAACCAATATCACAGATTGGTTATGTTGATTTGTTTATTGACGAAACAATGATAGTTCTAAAAAGAACTGTTTAGAAAAATATAACGGTTAAAGAACAAACAATAATGTACGATCATCTGTCAACCATTACATATTGAGATATGCAACCAATATTACACAGCTCACGTGGGTTATGATAATTAATTAACACAGTGTATTTTTATTAATTAATCACTTGTATCTAGGAAATAATCTTTCATACGCGTTGACCTACTTTATGAGTCTTAATCAGATTTATTTTAATAAATAACCCTTAGATTGTAAATCGTAGGGATATTTCTCTAATCCAAACTATTAATCTTAAAAAAACAAAGCGTAGGTAATTAATATTGAAGGAAGAATAAGCAATTGCGAGTTGAGAACAGGCTGCTGTTAATTGGAAACAAACACAAGGCAAATAAAATAAACAACGTGAAACAAGAAATAAATTTATAAATTATTTCGATGATTGCTTTTTTTTTCACTTTTACTATGTCGTTTGTATGAGTTTCGTAAAGCGACATATCTACTAAACTTTGATGGTCCATAACTGGAGCACGAAAAGCGATATATCGGAACTGTCTTCTACCTAACAAACGATCCAACCTTGTTTATTCGCGATGAGATATTTGCTACGATTTGAAATTTACTTTGTCAGATTCGAATCTTTTTAAAACTGGACTTTTCATTAATTTTGAATCCAACACTGCACTTTGAAATAACGAATTAATTAGTAAAATTAATATATATTTATTGAGGTGGCTGTTTAATATAGTGATTTTTTAATAAAATATTTTTATTAAAATAAAATAACGTTGACTATGCATTGTTGAAATTCATTTCATTCTCGAACAATGAATTTCAAATTAACTTCGGTGACCTGGTAATTCATACCAGAATGCAACCTATTTAATCTGTCTATTCAACGATAAACTACATAATAGTGTCGTTTATGCGTTGTTTTATACACGTAACAATTGTATTTTTTTTGTTTGGGTTATTCTTTAAATATATGCATTTAATATCTCTTCCAAGTAATAAAACGCTTGGTGTTATTTTATGAGCAATAAGTCTTTTATTTTATCTAGAATTTATGTATTGCCGCATAAATTTCAACACCCCGAGTGTTTGTTTTGACGATCAACTGAGTGGAAAGGAAAACAACATCAATTTATTTTGTATCATATTTTTTAAAACTCTTTCCAACTGGTTGGTTTTTGCAGATGTGATAACAATAGTAGCTTCCGTCGTGGTGATAACAATGGAGGGGAAGTTATTAGCAGCGAGCGCTTTACGCGGTTTAAGATTCTTCCAGATTTTGAGGATGGTTCGAATGGATCGAAGAGGCGGTACATGGAAACTCTTGGGTTCTGTTGTTTATGCCCATCGACAAGAACTGATAACGACCCTTTACATCGGGTTCTTGGGCCTGATTTTTGCATCGTTCTTGGTTTTTTTAGCCGAGAAAGATGTTAATAAAAAGTTTTCCAACTTTGCCCAAGCTTTATGGTGGGGAGTAGTAAGTTTTGGCGCGCAACATAAACTCCACGACATTTTTGTTGTGTATTTTTAGATAACGCTTTGCACCGTCGGTTATGGTGATATGGTTCCAGAAACGTGGCAAGGGAAAATTATTGCTTCGTTTTGTGCTCTACTAGGAATTTCATTTTTTGCACTGCCAGCTGTAAGAGGAAAATTGGAATTAAAGAATACAAGTTTATATTTTTTTGTTGTTGAAGGGTATTTTAGGATCAGGATTTGCGTTAAAGGTACAACAACAACAAAGACAAAAGCATATGATAAGGCGAAGGCAGCCAGCTGCTATGTTAATACAATCTTTATGGAGGTGTTATGCTGCTGATGAACATTCGTTATCTGTGGCGACGTGGAAAATTCATCAGGTTCCTTTGCCGAGTCCGCCCACGTAAGTCATTTTTTGGTCTTAAAATATTTTTTTAATTTAGTTGGGGAAGTGTTATCCGTTATCTTTCGGCCCGGGGTCGATTCTCTGCAAGTGACATTTGTTTACGGGATTTTGCCTCAGGGTCCGGAACAAAATAGGACGGGAAGATAAACAACGCTTTAAATGGGCCGGAACGCGCGGGAGGATTTGACGCAAAATTGCCGGTATTGATTCAGTATTCGGGCGCGACGAGGAGAGATCTCAAAGACGTGCCGCAAGTAAACTCCGCGAAATCGATGCCGACCGGCCCCCGGAAATAATTAATGTAAACCCGTGTTTACGGTTCTATTTAAACACTAAATTCCCAACAACATCATTTTTTCTTTTTTGCCAAAACCGATTCAATTTTCGAATAATTCCCTCTCGGATATTGAACGTCGAAAAATAATCACCAAATCGATTTCGCTTCAGTCCGACCAGATTTTTGCGAACATATTGCCGATGAAGTATCCCAAAATTGCAATAAAAAGACTACTTTAAATTTCAGTTTGACGACATCGATTGCTTCATAAACTATCCCATTTTGTACTTTATTTAGTTTTTTTTTAACAAGTTAACCAAAAACTTCATTAAAATTTTTTAACTACAATTAAACCTCGATATAACGGACTAATACTAGAATTTATTGTATTTTCAATAATATGCGTTAACCGTTTGAAATATTAAAAAAAGTTTCAAATAAAAGTTGTTTAAAAATGGAAAATATATACTTTTTCTGTGAGATATTTGATTAATTATTGTTAATTACCGAGATTATTAAGAAGCATTTTTAAAAGGGCTTGGTAGAGGTGTAAATAATTATTAAACGAACACTTTTTCTAAATAAAATTTTTTGATATTTCATCAAATGAAGGAGGAAATTATTACAATATTTCGGCGTGGGAATTTCTAATTTTTGTATTCAACGCACGATCTCGCTCAGTGTTGTTAAATACCCGGGTATTTATTTTCAAAGGAAAATTCCCTGGATATATACCCGGGGGTATTTACCCAAGATGGGTATTTAGTTAGTTTTATTTGATTTAAATTGAGTTGGTGGCAGTTTTGGAAGTACTTCAAGAATGCAGAGTCCATTATCGATACACCAAACATATTTATAACATTTACAAGAATGCTACAATGACGGTAAAATTGCATGAAAGTACTGACCGAATACACATTGGGGGTGAGATAAGAGAAGGCGATATAATGTTGAACCCAAATTGTTCATCACAGTCCTGGAGAGTGCATTTAAACAACTGAATTGAACCCAAAAAGGTATAGACATTGATGGCAATATTAAATAATTAACAATTAATTTCGGATAGCCTTGGAGAGATGAAACTGATGCTGAACGTATACAGGATGCGTGTGCAAGAGTCGGGCTAAATATCAACAAAATTTAGGACAAATCTTGTTCCAAGCTTTAACATCAATATTGGTGATAATACTTCTATCTTGAATACTTTCGCNTTAATATTTGAAATCTCTATTTTAAAATGATGCATTTAAATCGATGTTAATATTGATGAAATATCTGAAATTGATTAAAATCAAATATTTGTGGAATTTATTAAAAATTTAAAAAATCGCCCTGATTTTATTTGTGAAGGTAAAGAAATGAGTTATGACTCAAATTAATATTTGAAATCTCTATTTTAAAATGATACATTTAAATCGATATGTTAATCTTGATGAAATATCTGAAATTTTTTAAAATCGAATATTCTAATATTTGGGAAATTTATTAAAAATTTAAAAAATCGCCGTGTTCTTATTTGTGAAGATAAAAAAATGAGTTATATCTCAAATTAATATTTGAAATCTCTATTTTAAAATGACACATTTAAATCGATATGTTAATCTTGATGAAATATCTGAAATTGTTTAAAATCAAATATTTGTGGAATTTATTAAAAATTTAAAAAATCGCCCTGATTTTATTTGAGAAGATTAAGAAATAAATTATGACTCAAATTAATATTTGAAACCGTTAATGTTGTTAATCTTGATGAAATATCTGAAATTTTTTAAAATCGAATATACTAATATTTGGAGAATTTATTAAAAATTTAAAAATTCGCCCTAATCTTATTTGTGAAAATAAATAAATGAGTTATGACTCAAATTAATATTTGAAATCTTTATTTTAAAATGATGCATCTAAATCGATATGTTAATCTTGATGAAATATCTGAAATTGTTTAAAATCAAATATTTGTGGAATTTATTAAAAATTTAAAAAATCGCCGTGATCTTATTTGTGAAGATAAAGAAATGAGTTATATCTCAAATTAATATTTGAAATCTCTATTTTAAAATGATGCATTAAAATCGATATGTTAATCTTGATGAAATATCTGAAATTGTTTAAAATCGAATATTCTAATATTTGGGAAATTTATTAAAAATTTAAAAAAATTAAAAAATTTGTGAAGATAAAGACATGAGTTATATCTCAAATTAATATTTGAAATTTCTATTTTAAAATGATGCATTTAGATCGATGTGTATGAAATATCTGAAATTGTTTAAAATCGAATATTCTAATATTTGGGGAATTTGTTAAAAATTTAAAAAATCGCCATGATCTTATTTGTGAAGATAAAGAAATGAGTTATATCTTAAATTAATATTTGAAATCTCTATTTTAAAATGACACATTTAAATCGATATGTTAATCTTGATGAAATATCTGAAATTGTTTAAAATCAAATATTCTAATATTTGGGAAATTTATTAAAAATTTAAAAAATCGCCCTGATCTTATTTGTGAAGATAAAGNTGCACTTATTGGTTTTACGATATTTTCAATTTTGGCCTCTAGGGGAAAAACAAAAGACGATAGCGCTATGAGGTTTTCGGCATTAGCAGTTTCTCGAAAAACGAGATCATGACATGTAAGCTACTTTTTTTCTAACTCTTATAGTTTCCGAGTTAGCCTATTCGGATATCGAATTTGAACCACCCTGTACATATATTTCGGGAAAGTTTATATTTTCACTACCGACCATTGTCGTTTACGTAATACTCTTCGAAAATATTTAACGATTTCTTTAATGCTCGAAAAACAACTTTCAATGTCCTGAATTGAGTATAAGTCTAATATTAATGACTAAATTCAGTTTTCGTGCTCCATTAATTCTTGTTGTTTGATTCTTTTCTAGTCATATTGCACTTCCATCAAATCCAAGATTCCAAGATCCATGAGATTGTTGATTTCAGAGATTGAGTTTAAGATCTTATTATTCTTCTTCTTTTATTCAGGTTGTAACCTGTTTTTTACGCATGATTAATGGTGTTTCATTAGAGTTGGAAATCCAACTTCCTGGTCTCCCGACATCTCTTTCTAGCTAATCTTTGGTCTCTTGCTGTCTTAATCAGCCAGGTTTCTTCCATTCTTTGGAAGTATTCATTAAATTTTTTTATTTTTCTCCTAGCAACTCTCATGACATCTCCGAAACCACAAAATTCTCTTACAATTTTGTTCCTAACTCTATCTCTTCGATTTCTTGTCTTTTCCACTTTTGTTCTTAAAGTACTCATCTCAGTTGGTTCGCATCGCAGCCATATATCTTGGCCGTGAGGTTCGTGTATCGAGAGATAATAATCAAACAAGCGAACTAAACAGAAGGATGATACTCGCATGGGCAGCCTACAGAAAACTTAGAGATATCTTCATGAGCAGATGTCCCTATTTCAATCAATGCGTGCTTCCTCCTTTGGTTATGACATAGGGTTCCGAAACTTTAACATTAACGGTGGCCATTATTAGGAGGCTCAAAGTAACGCAAAGAAAGATGGAGAGGTCGATACTGGGGGACCACATACGAAATGAAGACCTACGAAGAAGAACTGGCGTAAATGATGCGATCAACATTTCTTCTACATTTTTGACCGAGCTGTTATATTTTTACTTGTATCACTTTTATATGTACTGGACCGGGGTAAATACCCAGATAAATACCCATTTTATAAATACCTACCCGCCGGGTATTTACCCAGCGCCCATCACTGATCTCGCTAAAACTGGTTCGCAACACCACCAATCCTTTGAGGGCGAGGCTAATACAAAACTTAGAAAATTATTACAATATTCAGCGTGGGAATTTTTAATTTTTCTCCTTCATTTTATGAAATATCAAAAAATTTTATTTACAAAAAGTGTTCGTTTAATAATTATCTATACTTCTTCTAACCCCTTTTAAAAATCTTAATAATCTCGGTAATTAACAATAATTAATCAAATATTTCACATAAAAAATATATATTTTCCATTTTTAAACAACTTTTGTTTGAAAAATTTTTTGATATTTCAAACGGTTAACGCGTATTATTGAAAATACGTTTGTCGTAGCGGTCGAACAGCGGTAGAACTAAAACTAACACTAGAAATAGAACTAGAATTATTCGGGGTTAGCCGTCTTAAGAGACGTATGGCTAAACCCGAATGTTTCTAGTGTTAGTTATAGTTTTAGTTGTGGCAAATTGAATTTATACCGTTATATGGAGTTTTAACTGTAATTAGAATAACAACTTAATTTTTATGTTGTTTTAATATAAAATAAGGCGATTTAATAAGAGTTGCGTGACGGGGCATATCAGATTAATAAATGTAAAATGTCACGATATTATGGAATTAAAAGGTTTTGGTGTATTAATTTTTTTTTTAACTTGGCTTTAGCGGAATACCTCTCTCGTAAAGTAAAACTTTTTTTTGTTCTTACTTCTGGGATTTAAAAATCTCCCTGGGTTGGAGATGTAACAATCATGTATAGGTTTCTGTTTGAAACCTTTTCTAAATATTTAGACGGACCCATCGAGGTTTTTTGGTATTTATGCGCATATTTAATTTCGATCGTCTAAAATTAATCTGAAAGTGTTATGAATGGTGAGAGATGACGGGTTCTCCGTGCGGGTTCTGCGAGCCGTCAGGTATCGCGGAGTTAATAAAAATCCCCGATTTATTTGTGCAGGTGAGCCGCGCATAAACAATTCCGATATTTGCGCCTACTCCTGTTTACCGGGTCTGGTGAACACTGAATGCAATAAAATAAATGATAAATCACGTTCATCCTGACGCTCCGGCACCATTATTTCGAACATCACTCTCGCAAAAAACTTCCATTTACCCGAGTGGTCTACACTCTACAGGAACACTACAACATACCACAATAAATTCACTCACGAACACGTTTTCCAAAAGAAAATTCTTCATCTACGCCTTTAAAAAAATCCCATTTTCTTCACATATAAATATTATTTATATAAATCTTTATTAAAAAATAAATTCATATTTTAATTTACAAAAGTGGTAAAGCTCAGGAAGCGGATAAAGTAGTGGAGAAAATTCAAACGATATCGTCGGTGATGTAAGTGATTTTAAGTAATGCATGCACGTATCCAGGTAGTTTAGGTTTTGGATATACGTTGTTGGAGTGGATAAGTTCAAAATGCATGCAGGGATTATCCGCTTAAGCGCTTATACGGGCCGCGTTCGGTTATTATTCGCTGAACGCGGTTCGGCCGATTTCCGAAAACCATTTTCGGAACGGATTTCGCGAATTCCGTCTATTATAGAGTACATCACGCCTCGGGCCGCGTTATTTCCGGCCAAGCAGTCGCGGGAACCCAAGAAGGCCAGAACTTCAACAATTTAATTATAACCGGTCGAAAGTTGGCCGTAATTACATCCGGATCGTAAATTATAAAACGAACCGACGTCCATCATAAAATTTCATATTCAATCTAATCAATTTTTGATAATATAATAAAATTTTTCGAAATTACTGCATGAGATTGTAGTAAATAACAAAAAAATTTTTGTGAGGTAAATATTTTCTTAAAACTTTTTTAGGAGGGTTTCAAGTAGTTTCAAGCACAACGCTTCCTTCGTGAGCCGTTTACCCACGATCCGAAGGCACAAGAGTACATCCTTACATTCCCCTTCCATGCACAAAGGGTCTCCAAGGGCCGCATGCAGGACGTTCGCGGATGTGAACGCGTCGTCGGAAAACTTGGGTACGTGAAGTAGGATGTCCTCGAGTTAATTAGGCTTAGCGCATTCTTTTGCAGGTTCCAGTACCGGAAACGGGAATCGTAACCTCAACGCAAGCCACAGCGAGGATTCTGTTGCAGAAACGGCAACGTTGTGTAAAAGGAACTCCGACGGTAGGTAGTATTCAAATTAACATCCCACTCAAAAAAACACTGCAAAATATAAGTACTTGTCTCTTTTCTTTCTTTGTTATTATTGTTGTTTTTGTAGATGAAGATGAAGAACCGCGCTTTGTTCAATTGACAAACCAACATAAAGGCGCTATCAGGGCTATTAGAAAGGTAAGCCCATAATTAATTAAAATTTTTTTTTTATTTTATTAATACCAAGAAAAGATATAGAAAAAAAGTTAAAATGAAAAAAATTACAAAATGATTGACTCGGTTGTTTCATTGTCATTTAGATAAAGTATTTTGTAGCAAGGCGTAAGTTTAAGGAAGCTTTGAAACCTTATGACGTGAAAGATGTCATTGAACAGTATTCGGCCGGACATGTAGATTTGCTTGGCAGAGTGAAAATCGTGCAAGCTAGGTACACTTTGGAAAAAAAATTGACCATCGGTTTGCGTCTTCTGCCGTCCTTATTTTATCGCCCCCCTATCGTATTTTGTATTTTTTATTTTTTCGTCTTCAAATTTTTAGCACCGCATAAGGCGTCAAACCGAATTTCAATCACTTTTTCACCTTCTAATATCAACTAACAAAGTGTCCATTAAAAATGCATCATTTTTACTGATGATAAACATCAAAAATATATCATACTAACTAATAATAATAACTTTTTAAAACAATAATTCTATTTATTAAAAAATTAAAAATTCAAAAAATCATTCATTTGAATCTTCCATTTTAAATCGATATGTTAATTATGATAAAATATTGTTTAAAATCAAATATTATAATATTTGGGGAATTTATTAAAAATTTAAGAAATCGCCCTGATCTTATTGGAGAAGATTAAGAAATAAGTTATGACTCAAATTAATATTTGAAATCTCTATTTTAAAATGATGCATTTAGATCGATGTTAATATTGATGAAATATCTGAAATTGTTTAAAATCAAATATTCTAATATTTGGGGAATTTATTAAAAATTTAACAAAATTTAAAAATTTGTGAAGATAAAGAAATGAGTTATATCTCAAATTAATATTTGAAATCTTTATTTTAAAATGATGCATCTAAATCGATATGTTAATCTTGATGAAATATCTGAAATTGTTTAAAATCAAATATTCTAATATTTGGGGAATTTATTAAAAATTTAAAAAAATTTAAAAATTTGTGAAGATAAAGAAATGAGTTATATCTCAAATTAATATTTGAAATCTCTATTTTAAAATGATGCATTTAAATCGATATGTTAATCTTGATGAAATACCTGAAATTGTTTAAAATCAAATATTTGTGGAATTTATTAAAAATTTAAAAAATCGCCCTGATCTTATTTGTGAAGATAAAGAAATGAGTTATATCTCAAATTAATATTTGAAATCTCTATTTTGAAATGATGCATTTCTATCGATATGTTAATCTTGATGAAATATCTAAAATTGTTTAAAATCAAATATTCTAATATTTGGATTTATTAAAAACTTAAAAAAATCAAAAAATCGCCCTGATTTTATTTGTATAAAAAGTATCATATATTTGTGATGTTTTATATCAACATATGTCAGTCAGTTTTACCCAAAGAACCTAGTGTTTGTAAAAACTTTATATAAATATTTTTTAATGAACACTTAATAATGTTAAAATTTCTTGCTATGAATTGATGTTGAATTGTGATTAACTGTAACTAATCCTAAAAGTGTGGCATTTTACTTGTAAAGAAAAATAAAAAAGGCGTTGACGGAATAAAGTTGGATGTAAATTTTCATGGAATATCCTTCAGCGCCTCGACAGTTCCGTCTGTTCCAAAACATTCGAGCGGAAATCTTGGAACAGAGGGGACGCTTTTGTATATACGTGCCGTTTTTGCCTCGTTCGAAGTTTGCGGAAGTGGTGAAAACGGCGTACCTGAGTCCCATTATTGCGTTTTGGACCGGGCATAACTTTGAAAACTCGTTAGCTCTCATCCCGCTAGACTAGTTATGGCGCGACTCTAACCCCTCTCTTTCTACCGCCCTCTGTGTGTGTAGCTCAAGTATTTTGTGGCACGAAAGAAGTTTAGAGAAGCGTTGAAACCTTACGATGTTAAAGACGTTATAGAGCAATACTCTTCTGGACATGCCGACCTTTTGAATAGAGTGAAAAATTTGCAGTTCAGGTAAGCGGCCTGACCATTCAAACTAATTTTTCAAAAAACCAGTTTCAAATCATTTCATGTCCCGCACAAAACTTTGTTTTTTGTACATATTACATTTCGTTTTTTTTGGTAAATGTTCCCCGTAGTTCTCGTGCATGGTTTAACTTAACTCTCCACCCAAACAAAAAAAACCCATCCAAATCCTCGCGCCATCGAATATTGTTGAACTTTTCATTACCCTCGGCGTTTCAGGTTAGATCAAATACTTGGTAAACAAGGGTCCAAAGCCAAAGATGTGTACGCTTCCAAAATTAGTTTAGCATCCCGCGTTGTCAAAGTCGAGCGACAGGCAAGTTTTTTTTATTAAAACATAAAATTTTGTTGTTATAATTATTTTTTTAATTAGGTTGACGACATCGAAATGAAACTCGACCAACTCATGGAGCTCTATATGGAAGACCGAAAACGTCTTCTTGGTTTACCCGGCGTTCCCGTATCGCCGGATCCATCGGAACGACCACCGGGAAACCCTCCCAATTTAGCACTTAAACCGAAACCTATTCTAGTTGATAAGCTAACATCAGAACCCAGTTCACCTATCACGAAAAATTTTAAGGAACCACCTACGGTGTCGGTTACAAGGAGACCTATGCATCGGGGATATTCAGATTTAGGAAATAGGATTAAGAAAAAAGTTACTTTAAGGTTAGGATTATAAAGGAAGTTTTAAATCCCGAATACAAAACAATTTAAATTTGAAATTTATTTTTTAAGTTCGCCATACGATGGTGAAGTGGTGATAGTGGTACCATCTTTAGACATACAGGCGGAACAGGGTCAGGATCGCCAGCAGTACCAGTACTCGTCCGTCCATGGCCACGGGATTGGTTTGGGAGGTCCTGAAACCCAAGTAACAACAACGATGGCTGAAATGTCGGATCGAGAACCTGCCAGCCCTAAAACAACCACCGAAAGTTCGGGTGAGTGGCCGTCGAGAGCGCTGCGGGCGCCTTCAAAAACCTGTATTGATTTTGCAGCCTCGTACGATGGTTACTCATCGTCTACGTCGTTGTAGGGTTTTTTTCAGTGAGTTTTGCACATTCGCAACGTGATCTGTGTCACCTAGATTATTACTATATATATTTTTTCTTTCTATCTGGTGCGTACCCGACGTCAAAGAAACTTATAGTAAGACTTTAAAAAGTATTTTGAGTCTACTTTAGATTTCTTTGTAATTGATTGGGGACGCGGATTGTGGAATGTGCATGAATTCCTCATGTTTCCGAATCGAAACGTAATGCGACTACTTAGTATATAATCGGCGGTTTCGGTGTAGCATGTAGCTCGTTGCCGTAGAGGGTGCATATTCATGAATTGTTTGTTGCCATAGAGGCCGCAGAGGAGGACCCACAATCCGAAGAGGACAAAGAGGAACAAGACTGCTCCGAAACGGCTCTGTTAAACACTCCCAGTCAGGTCGCTATTACACCATTAGCAATTCATCGGGTGCCCGACGCAGCGGAAGAAGAACCACCGACGTAACCAATACTCACAATCACATACGAAGCACTAGGTCTCATGTTCGAAGTAGTTTTTTAAATTAAAACTAATTTAGTAGTGTTTTTAAATTAAAAAATTAAAGTAAATGAAACGGATAAACGGAAAACTAGGGCACAAGACCAACGCTTAACTTAGAAGATGACGTTGCCGAAATGGGAGGCCCGTCGTTTATATTCAAGTTATATATTAATATACACTTACACTGACGCTTAATAATAATAATAATAATAATAATTCGTCGCAGATTTATTGTAATACAAATGCTTGGGAACAGCGCATTAATCGATATACGCTTGCAAAAAACCTTCAAATTTTAAATCCCGACCAAGTGGGCGCCACTAAATTTAATCTGACCAATTCACAGCTACACTGTGTTAATTAATTATCGCACCCGATGTCATCATTGCAAATATGCAACCAAATACGCATACCAATACTGTGATATTGGTTGCATACATGACAACGTCGGGTACGATAATTAATTAACACACTGTATTCAAAAATTATTTTCAAAATTTATTTTCAAAATTTATCAAAACAACGAAATTGAAAAGAAAAAAGAATATGGTTAGCGGCGCCCCCTGATTAAAAATGATGTCAAGGCGACTCATTTAGATGCTTTAAAATTGCCCTTGGTTTACAAATGCTGTGATCAACGATGTTTTTTCGAATTGTTTAATGTAATTAAAAAAAAATGATAAGCGTGGTTTTAGGATCTAGGGATTTGAAATATGTATAATCACCCAAAGTGCTCTATATATATATCTTAAGCCGTGCGTCGTCGACGTTCCCCGAAAAAGTGTCTCTCGTTAAATTCCAATCGGACACGCATTTTTTTATGACCCCTAAGAAAAAGTAAGGGTAATTTCGAGGTCGAGTAGATCTTCCGGTTTTATTCATGTACGTTTTTAAATAGAAGTCGTGGGCACTCGAACGGTTTTAACCCGGTTTCGTTCGCGTAGATTTCGACAATAAAGGAGAGCGCCGACGACGAGGCGACGCGTACACATCTGGACCAAATCAAAAGAGACAAAGAAAAAAGTAACCCGTACCCTTGCTCGGAGGATGAATGCGTTTTGCGTGTTTTAAGGTTGAATTTTAAAGAAGCGTGTTTTCGCTCTGTCGCTTTAATTCAACGAACCGATACCACCGGGAGTGTCAAATATTTTCGTTTTTTTTTTTCATTATTTTTTGATATTCCCAATTTAATCAGATCAAGCAGATCTCCACAAAGTTAATTAAATTAAAATAAAGATGAATAAAGGAAAAAAAAATAAAATAATTCTAGAACAATGTACTGACATATTTTATATACCCCCTATATACCGGATAACTTAAATAAAAATATAAAAACGTCGGCGTATACAGTGTAAAACGATGTAAATATTGTCATGATTGTTAAAAAGATTTACCGAAGAGGACACAACGAATACTCACTTATCAACTCTATATGCTAGAGCTTAGTTTCCATGATTTTCTCTCGACACGAAAACAAAGTGCGTAGGCAAGTTATTTCTAGTTTTAAGTAATGTATTATAGTAATTATTTTAAATTTTGAAAAAAAATATATATAAATACGAATTTTACCGGTTCATTTTCGTTTCATTTTAACCCAAGACTAAATTAAATAATTACTATATTAAAGAATTTTCAAAAATTTCTAATGTGTATCAAGCAGAATTAGGGATTTTTACAAATATTTAGGCATTATTACAGATTTTCAATCTATTTTAATAAATTCAGAAGATTTCTAATATAGACATATATAAGATTTATATTCCCAGGGATATCTAACACTTATTAAGCATAATTAGGGATTTCCATGGATATCTAAGAGTTCATAAACACTTCGATGATATTTTCAACGATTTTAAATAGATTTCTAAAAGATGTATACAAATTATTAAAGCTTTCCAAAATTTTCTAAGGATTTCTAGGAATTTTATAAGATGTTTAGGGATATCAACTAATCTAGCCTCTCTCAAGTTGTTCTAAAGATACTCAGGATCCATTTTATGAATTTTCAAAACATCTTGTTACGATTTCAAAGAATTTTCAAAAATATCTAATGTGTATCAAGCAGAATTAGGGATTTTTACCAACATTTAGGCATTACTACAGATTTCCAATCTATTTTAATGATTTCAAAAGATTCCTAGAATATGTATAAGCATTTCTAATATAGGCATATATAAGATTTATCTTCCAAGGAATATCTAAGACTTATTAAGTATAATTAGGGATTTCCATGGATATCTAAGAGTTCATAAACACTTCGATGATATTTTCAACGATTTTAAATAGATTTCTAGAAGATGTATAAAAATTATTAAAGGCTTCCAAAATTTTCTAACGATTTCTAGGAATTTTAAAAGATGTTTAGGGATATCAAGTAATCTAGCCTCTCTCAAGTTGTTCTAAAGTTACTCAGGATGCATTTTATGAATTTTCAAAACATCTTGTTAGGATTTCAAAGAATTTTCAAAAATATCTAATGTGTATCAAGCAGAATTAGGGATTTTTACCAACATTTAGACATTATTACAGATTTCCAATCTATTTTAATGATTTTAAAAGATTCCTAGAATATGTATAAGCATTTCTAATATAAGCATATATAAGATTTATCTTCCCAGGGATATCTAAGACTTATTAAGCATAATTAGGGATTTCCATGGATATTTTCTAATGATTTCTAGGAATTTTAAAATATGTTTAGGGATATCAACTAATCTAGCCTCTCTCAAGTTGTTCTAAAGATACTCAGGATCCATTTTATAAATTTTCAAAACATCTTGTTACGATTTCAAAGAATTTTCAAAAATATCTAATGTGCATCAACCAGAATTAGGGATTTTTTCCAACATTTAGGCATTATTACAGATTTCCAATCTATTTTAATGATTTCAAAAGATTCCTAGAATATGTATAAGCATTTCTAATATAAGCATATATAAGATTTATCTTCCCAGGGATATCTAAGACTTATTAAGCATAATTAGGGATTTCCATGGATATTTTCTAACGATTTCTAGGAATTTTAAAAGATGTTTAGGGATATCAAGTAATCTAGCCTCTCTCAAGTTGTTCTAAAGTTACTCAGGAGCCATTTTATGAATTTTCAAAACATTTTGTTAGGATTTCAAAGAATTTTCAAGAATATCTAATGTGTATCAAGCAGAATTAGGGATTTTTACCAACATCTAGGCATTATTACAGATTTTCAATCCATTTTAATGATTTCAAAAGATTCCTAGAATATGTATAAGCATTTTTAATATAGACATATATAAGATTTATCTTCCAAGGAATATCTAAGACTTATTAAGTATAATTAGGGATTTCCATGGATATCTAAGAGTTCATAAACACATCGATGATACTTTCAACGATTTTAAATAGATTTCTAGAAGATGTATAAAAATTATTAAAGCTTTCCAAAATTTTCTAACGATTTCTAGGAATTTTAAAAGATGTTTAGGGATATCAAGTAATCTAGCCTCTCTCAAGTTGTTCTAAAGTTACTCAGGATGCATTTTATGAATTTTCAAAACATCTTGTTAGGATTTCAAAGAATTTTCAAAAAGATCTAATGTGTATCAAGCAGAATTAGGGATTTTTACCAACATCTAGGCATTATTACAGGTTTCCAATCTATTTTAATGATTTCAAAAGATTCCTAGAAGATGTATAAGCATTTCTAATATAAGCATATATAAGATTTATCTTCCCAGGGATATCTAAGATTTATTAAGCATAATTAGGGATTTCCATGGATCTCTAAGAGTTCATAAACACTTCGATGATATTTTCAACGATTTTATATAGATTTCTAGAAGATGTATAAAAATTTTTAAACATCTCCAATTCTTTTTAACAATTTCTAGGAATTTTAAAGATCTTTAGGGATATCAACTAATCTAACCTCTCTCAAGTTGTTCTAAAGATACTCAGGATGCATTTTATGAATTTTCAAAACATCTTGTTAGGATTTCAAAGAATTTTCAAAAAGATCTAATGTGTATCAAGCAGAATTAGGGATTTTTACCAACATCTAGGCATTATTATAGGTTTCTAATCTATTTTAATGATTTCAAAAGATTCCTAGAATATGTATAAGCATTTCTAATATATCTATGATAAGATATCTAAGATTTATCAAGTATAAATAGGATTCCCATTGCTATCTAGGGATTTAGAGAGATTTTTAATGATTCTAAAAGATTCCTCTAAAAAATGTTCTAATTATTTTCTGGAATTTGAAAACATGTTTAGGAATGTCAGTTGATCTGTATCATTTTTCAGGAATTTCTAGATATATCAACCTGCAAGACTGTTCAAGACAATCAAGGTTGTCAAGATTTATAACAGATTTCTAGCGATTTCAAACGAATCTTAGACGATTTATAAGAATGATGAGTCATAATTTTATAACGATATCCAGGTATTTTAAAAAATGTTTAGACATATCAATTAATCAGTAGCAATTTCCAGGAATTTAGAAAGATAATCAAGATACACTATACATAGATACACAATATTAACAGATTCTCAATGATTTCAAAAGACTGCTTTCTGGCAAGTTTTAGGGATTTATAAAGATACCCAACAAACACAAACCAGAGGACCAGTTTTTTTAACCTTATTTAACTCTGAAGATGGCGAATTAAATGTCGAAATCGGTCTATATCCAAAAAGATTTCAAACAAATTTTTTTTTTTTAAATTTGATGACCGGAAAAGCCCTAAAATCTTATAATGACTTTAAAATACTTACATTATACTTAAAATAGCTGACCCGTGTTGTAATTTAAACTTATTCTTTTTAATTCTGATATTATCGCTGGAGTTATAAATATGTATGCAACCATCTTCAGTTCCTAACCACATTGTTGATTGTTGGGTATCTGCATCATCGTTTTCTAGATTTATAGTATCAGTATTTGTTCCAGTGGGAACTCTGCTTTCATCTTGTTCATCGCAATCGCTTCTGTCTTCTTCGCTAGAAGAACTACTATCGAATTGTATTGTATTTTGGTCTTCTTTAGTTACGTTGATGTTTAGGCCTTTGTTATTAACAGTACTAGAAATAAAATGACAATAAAATTTATAAAAAAAATTAATTAATTACCTATTGCTGACTCCAGGTACTGAGGTAATGCAAAGTATTTTGGCGTTACACACGCCGTTGCAAGAAGTAACCGTGGGTTCTGGTTCTAAACTAAGAATACAAACTTGGCCCACATAACCGTCACTGTTACACACCCACACATCTTTGCCTTTGTCCCCAATTGTTGGAGCAGCGCAGGTAAATTGAAGGCCAGCTCTGGTTTTTCTAATGGGAACGGCAGTGACTAATTCGGGACACGCTCGTTTATCTCCTGAGATAGCTAATTTATGTTTAGCTTCGTTGAATGATTCCTCCCATGATGCCCTCTTTTCCGGCTTCAAAAACATTATAGAAATGTTCTGAAGACCATTGCTATATTAAAATGATTGCAAAATTATTGAAAATAATAAAAGTATAGGAACATTTTACCTTGTATTTAAAGCTAAATCTAAACAAGAAAGTTGTGAATCGCTATTTTGCTGTTCCGTTAATTGCTTATTAAGGTTTCCCAACATTTCCTTGATAACATCATCGAGTTGTTTATGAGAACAGTGCAAAGACCATGAAAGATCATTCATTTGGTTTAGTAACGCTATATCTTCCGTTAAATTTTCGATTTCTACCATCATCTGTCGCAAATTCTCATCTTTAGCTCTCAGTATTTCAAGTTCTTGCAAAGGAATCTTCATGAGTAGTTTGTACTTATTGGCTTCAAGGCTACTTGCAACTGTTCCTTGCCCCACCGGAATCGGTCGTTTTATCGTACCACTTCTTCGTTTAATGCTAGTCACTAGAAGTAGATCAGAAAACAAAAACAACGCTCTTTCTTTTCTCGCACCTCCCCCAGCCGTCATATTAACCAAATCATGTCTCAAATACTGCCTGTCGTTTGATACTAATTCTATTAACCCTTCAATTAATCCTTCGATTTCCCTGAGCTGTTCTAATTCAAGCGTTTCACGTTCCGTACAATTTATTTTTAAAAGTTGTTCATGAATTACTCTTTCCGCGCTTAAGAGGAGGGCATGATCCGGATGTGATGGATCAGTATGTTTTAGCAGTCGTTGCAACAACAATTCGTATTTTGGAAACTTTTGAACTGGTTTTATTAATAATGAATCTAAGGCCAATTTTCCTTTGTGTTCTCTGGTCATTGCCTAAAATGATTTATTTATGTAATTAATATATAATATATGAGTTTCGTGAGGAATGGTACATACGATAATATGTTATAGATTTGTTCATTTTAAGTAGAAAAGTTAATGCATAAATTGATTTATTGGAATGTGTACATAAAATATCGAAATTCTTCGCCTAACTCGATGCACTTGGCTGATCTCTTGAAGATCAGGTCTCTCTGGTAGTCAAAGAAATATCTTCTAACAGTATTGGAAAGTCATTGCGCAATAACTCTAAATATCTGTCCGTTGTTAGACACTCGGGTGGTACGAAAAGACCAATTAAGTTATTGCTAATCATTCCACACCATACATTCACAAAGAATTTTACAGGAACCAAGCGGCGGTTAGTTATCCACAAAATTCCAATCTTCTGGCAAAGTCTGTTGGTTCAAGGTGTTGTACTGATTGAACATGGAATAGATACAAACCATGAGTACGCAATGTTCTCAAGAGGAACACCAAGACGAGCAGAAAGTCTTGGTTGAAATTTGTTCAACTTCATTCAGAGTTTGCACACCTGCCATATTTGGAACAGAATTGGTTTCATGTAATCTGTTGAATGTTCGAGTAAATGCTAGAATCTGCTAATTCTGGTAACATTCGGTTAGGAAACATTTGGATTACAGAAACCGTAACAAAACAGCATATTTTGCACGAGTCAATATAATAATAATAATAGAGTCAATATGCATTATCTGGTTGTATCTCAGTTACCTTAGGAACTTTTCTGCTTAAAATGAACAAATCTATAACATATTAAAAAGATGTTTATTTACCTCTAAAAATCTTGCAAAGGCTGGTTTCGATTGTTGAGCATTTTTAATAATTTCTCTTGCCCTCTTTGAATTGTTTATGTAATTGGCGTAGGCATCAACTACTTCAGGTTTAGAAAACTGAATAAAGATAGAATATAAGTAATTTGAGTTATAAATGAATAAAATTGAGTTATACCATGTCAAGAAAGACATCTCCGAGTTTTTGCTTTTTATCCCAATGGTCATGTCGTTTCTTAAGTTCGTCCAAAAAGAGTTGATGATGGGCCAAAATGGCAGGTACCTACAGGAAAGCTTTCGGGATATCCAAATGAATAACGAAGGTTGTAAAATTACCTGGAAGAAAATTTCGTCGACGAGAGAGGCATCGAGAAGGCCGGAGTTCTCTGGATTTTTGAGCGGTTCCAAGTATTTCTGTAACGTAAATATTGACGCGAGTGCGCGTCAATTTAATTCCTAATAGAAAAAGGATGATTTTAATGAAACACTCACCGTTACGAGAATCTGCAGCGACTCGACGTACGTCCTTTCGTTGTCATAAAGCTCGACAACCACGTGTGTCCTCGTATCCTGCAAAATAAACGATATTGGTTTTTGTGTTTTTCATTTCACGTCGCGATGACGACGGTGTCATTGTTGTTCACCAGGGGGTTCGTTCGGATGGTGGACACATAGTGGGCGTCATCTTCACTATCATCTACGGTCGTTGTACAGTTTTCAAGTTTTAGGCGCAAAGCGCGCCTTGCGCTAGACCCGCTCATTTAAACATAGCGAGTCACTCAGCTGCCACACCTTACAATCATGTCGCAGGATCGAAACGCTAAACAACCGACGCCTTGCGTCGACGCATTGCGTCCCGACGCCGAGGGACGTCGACGAACGGGGGCGCCGATTCGTTGCTACGCAACGCGAACTTTAAGAATTTCGAATGCTTTCCTTACGTTCCAATGCTACCAGAAATACCTTTCCTCATTCACTTCTCCAACAAATTTTTAAGATACAATTCATAAACGTTTCTTTTCTTTTTCATTTTAATACAAAAATTTATTTGATAAAATTAATTTTTTAAATAGATTTTTATTAATTTTAGTTCTACCGGTTTCGATTCATTTAGAATCATCCTCAGGAATACGTCATTTTGAATAAAGTATCGTTTAACCGTTAGTTTTATGTTTTTTCGAACATGTTGGTGGAATGAAAATATTTAGTTTAATTCAAAATGGCGTGTTCCTGAAGATGATTCTAAATGAATCGAAACCGGTAGAATTAAATTAAAATTTTGTTGATTTTAACTTTATAAATTGTTTTATGGTGTCNATTACAGATTTCCAATCTATTTTAATGATTTCAAAAGATTCCTAGAATATGTATAAGCATTTCTAATATAAGCATATATAAGATTTATCTTCCCAGGGATATCTAAGACTTATTAAGCATAATTAGGGATTTCCATGGATATCTAAGAGTTCATAAACGCTTCGATGATATTTTAAATAGATTTCTAGAAGATGTATAAAAATTATTAAAGGTTTCCAAAATTTTCTAACGATTTCTAGGAATTTTAAAAGATGTTTAGGGATATCAAGTAATCTAGCCTCTCTCAACTTCTTCTAAAGTTACTCAGGATGCATTTTATGAATTTTCAAAACATCTTGTTACGATTTCAAAGAATATTCAAAAATATCTAATGTGTATCAAGCAGAATTAGGGATTTTTACCAACATCTAGGCATTATTACAGATTTCCAATCTATTTTAATGATTTCAAAAGATTCCTAGAATATGTATAAGCATTTCTAATATGGACATATATAAGATGCGGTTGATTTTCGTTTCATTTCAACCCAAAACTAAATTAAATAAATAAAACGAATTTGTTTAATAATTTTTATTAAATTTGGGGTTTGCCTTTATACATATTAAAAATGAAATATTGAAAATAATAAGTTGACACTTTAATTGCCCACTTATCTTACGTTTACCTAAATATATATATTTATATATATATATGTATATACCCAGAGCTTCTCTAACGCGTTTTGTGCAAGTCTAAAAACTGGTCGATATCCGTGTCCATGGATAAAAGGAAAAAAAAATAAATCATTCGTATCATACACATAGGAACGTACTAAATAGAAATAATACACCTAATACTACTATCACACGTTTTACAAAGAAAATGCATTGATCACTCAAAAAATAAGTGCCGCGTCGGGCAAAGAGAAATTTAAACGGCTCTCGCAACACATCTAACAATTCTTAAGAACGTAAGAAACTGAAAAAAAATGCCAATTTTCATATATTCCAAAGTTCGTGTATTCCTAATTCATATATTCCAGAGTAAGAGGTGATTTGTAGAATCCTCCCGGCCGGCAATCTCCGATAAGTTTGTGTTCCGGAAGTCCTCATAACCATCGCCACCAGAAATAATGAGCAATTTCGAACTGTTCCTTTGTTCCGGTTTGCCTTTGTATTGATGCCTTTGCGACTCCGCGTTCGGACTGTGCCATTCTATGTTCGTTAAGAATCTCACATGGCCTGTATGACCATGAGGAACTCCTACAATGGTCGGGACGCATGATAGTTTTGTCATGGATGGTCCTATATGGGGAAGAGGCACCGTTAAGATTACTCCAGCGGATGTTCCCGCCCATAATAAATCTTTACAAGCCAACAACGATGTCACTCGAAGACAAGCTGCTTTGTGCTGTCGAATAATATCATCACAACCTAAAAAAAAATATAATTAAATAACACTTCACCAATAAAATTTAACATTTAGTACTTGTTAACATTTTGGTGACTGCTGGAGCAAGATTGATTTCGCAAAGGAACTCAAACGATATGGCATGATAACATTTAACAACTGAAGAATTTTGTAAAGACAACCAAACCCCGTTTCCGCATATTACTATGCAAGTGACCGATTTGTTGGAATCGTTGTTGATAGTAAACGTGTTTTCTACAGTTAACGTTCGTATGTTAACCACTTTCATTGTATTACCACAACCGCACCATAATTTTCCGGCGTTTGGGATCATTTTTGATATTGGCATCCCTATCGAACCAACCGCTACATTAATTGGTGAATTTGTATTCCATCCTCCCTCTAAAATAAAAATTAATAAATTTATTTATTGAAGAAAAAATTTTTTTTTATATTCTTACGATTATCTCTGTCGTAAATAACTATATCACCATTTGATAAAGCTACAAACACCCTATTGTCCAAATATCTTTAATAAAATATTAAATTAATATTAAAAAGTTTTTTTTAGAAATGGGCTTATCCGGTTTTTACAAATAAATAATACTTTAGTAATTAATGTTTATATTGAAATGATGTAGACCGAGTGTCGAAATCATAATTTCGAAAATTTTCTAACGATTTCTAGGAATTTTAAAAGATGTTTAGGGATTTTCTCTTAAGTTGTTCTAAAGTTACTTAGGATGCATTTTATGATTTTTCAAAACATCTTGTTGGGATTTTAAAGAATGTTCAAAAAGATCTAGTGTGTATTAAGCAGAATTAGGAATTTTTACAACATTTAGGCATCATTACGGATTTCCAATTTATTTTAATGATTTCAAAAGATTCCTAGAAGACGTATAAGCATTTCTTATATAAGCATATACAGGATGTCCCGCAACGATTGTACAAGACTGCATCAGCGTATTCTCTGATCGAAAATAGACAAAAAAAGTTTAACAAACACAGGTCTGAAAATGGACCATTTCGAGATATTCAAAGTTTTAGTTTCATAAGTTGACCTATTGTTAACATCATTAATTGTAACGATTTAGATGCAGTAATTATATGATTACCATGTTTACGATGGTTAAGATAAAATTTNATTTTAAAAGATGTTTAGGGATATCAACTAATCTAACCTCTCTCAAGTTGTTCTAAAGATACTCAGGATGCATTTTATGAATTTTCAAAACATCTTGTTAGGATTTCAAAGAATTTTCAAAAAGATCTAATGTGTATCAAGCAGAATTAGGGATTTTTACCAACATCTAGGCATTATTATAGGTTTCTAATCTATTTTAATGATTTCAAAAGATTCCTAGAATATGTATAAGCATTTCTAATATATCTATGATAAGATATCTAAGATTTATCAAGTATAAATAGGATTCCCATTGCTATCTAGGGATTTAGAGAGATTTTTAATGATTCTAAAAGATTCCTCTAAAAAATGTTCTAATTATTTTCTGGAATTTGAAAACATGTTTAGGAATGTCAGTTGATCTGTATCATTTTTCAGGAATTTCTAGATATATCAACCTGCAAGACTGTTCAAGACAATCAAGGTTGTCAAGATTTATAACAGATTTCTAGCGATTTCAAACGAATCTTAGACGATTTATAAGAATGATGAGTCATAATTTTATAACGATATCCAGGTATTTTAAAAAATGTTTAGACATATCAATTAATCAGTAGCAATTTCCAGGAATTTAGAAAGATAATCAAGATACACTATACATAGATACACAATATTAACAGATTCTCAATGATTTCAAAAGACTGCTTTCTGGCAAGTTTTAGGGATTTATAAAGATACCCAACAAACACAAACCAGAGGACCAGTTTTTTTAACCTTATTTAACTCTGAAGATGGCGAATTAAATGTCGAAATCGGTCTATATCCAAAAAGATTTCAAACAAATTTTTTTTTTTTAAATTTGATGACCGGAAAAGCCCTAAAATCTTATAATGACTTTAAAATACTTACATTATACTTAAAATAGCTGACCCGTGTTGTAATTTAAACTTATTCTTTTTAATTCTGATATTATCGCTGGAGTTATAAATATGTATGCAACCATCTTCAGTTCCTAACCACATTGTTGATTGTTGGGTATCTGCATCATCGTTTTCTAGATTTATAGTATCAGTATTTGTTCCAGTGGGAACTCTGCTTTCATCTTGTTCATCGCAATCGCTTCTGTCTTCTTCGCTAGAAGAACTACTATCGAATTGTATTGTATTTTGGTCTTCTTTAGTTACGTTGATGTTTAGGCCTTTGTTATTAACAGTACTAGAAATAAAATGACAATAAAATTTATAAAAAAAATTAATTAATTACCTATTGCTGACTCCAGGTACTGAGGTAATGCAAAGTATTTTGGCGTTACACACGCCGTTGCAAGAAGTAACCGTGGGTTCTGGTTCTAAACTAAGAATACAAACTTGGCCCACATAACCGTCACTGTTACACACCCACACATCTTTGCCTTTGTCCCCAATTGTTGGAGCAGCGCAGGTAAATTGAAGGCCAGCTCTGGTTTTTCTAATGGGAACGGCAGTGACTAATTCGGGACACGCTCGTTTATCTCCTGAGATAGCTAATTTATGTTTAGCTTCGTTGAATGATTCCTCCCATGATGCCCTCTTTTCCGGCTTCAAAAACATTATAGAAATGTTCTGAAGACCATTGCTATATTAAAATGATTGCAAAATTATTGAAAATAATAAAAGTATAGGAACATTTTACCTTGTATTTAAAGCTAAATCTAAACAAGAAAGTTGTGAATCGCTATTTTGCTGTTCCGTTAATTGCTTATTAAGGTTTCCCAACATTTCCTTGATAACATCATCGAGTTGTTTATGAGAACAGTGCAAAGACCATGAAAGATCATTCATTTGGTTTAGTAACGCTATATCTTCCGTTAAATTTTCGATTTCTACCATCATCTGTCGCAAATTCTCATCTTTAGCTCTCAGTATTTCAAGTTCTTGCAAAGGAATCTTCATGAGTAGTTTGTACTTATTGGCTTCAAGGCTACTTGCAACTGTTCCTTGCCCCACCGGAATCGGTCGTTTTATCGTACCACTTCTTCGTTTAATGCTAGTCACTAGAAGTAGATCAGAAAACAAAAACAACGCTCTTTCTTTTCTCGCACCTCCCCCAGCCGTCATATTAACCAAATCATGTCTCAAATACTGCCTGTCGTTTGATACTAATTCTATTAACCCTTCAATTAATCCTTCGATTTCCCTGAGCTGTTCTAATTCAAGCGTTTCACGTTCCGTACAATTTATTTTTAAAAGTTGTTCATGAATTACTCTTTCCGCGCTTAAGAGGAGGGCATGATCCGGATGTGATGGATCAGTATGTTTTAGCAGTCGTTGCAACAACAATTCGTATTTTGGAAACTTTTGAACTGGTTTTATTAATAATGAATCTAAGGCCAATTTTCCTTTGTGTTCTCTGGTCATTGCCTAAAATGATTTATTTATGTAATTAATATATAATATATGAGTTTCGTGAGGAATGGTACATACGATAATATGTTATAGATTTGTTCATTTTAAGTAGAAAAGTTAATGCATAAATTGATTTATTGGAATGTGTACATAAAATATCGAAATTCTTCGCCTAACTCGATGCACTTGGCTGATCTCTTGAAGATCAGGTCTCTCTGGTAGTCAAAGAAATATCTTCTAACAGTATTGGAAAGTCATTGCGCAATAACTCTAAATATCTGTCCGTTGTTAGACACTCGGGTGGTACGAAAAGACCAATTAAGTTATTGCTAATCATTCCACACCATACATTCACAAAGAATTTTACAGGAACCAAGCGGCGGTTAGTTATCCACAAAATTCCAATCTTCTGGCAAAGTCTGTTGGTTCAAGGTGTTGTACTGATTGAACATGGAATAGATACAAACCATGAGTACGCAATGTTCTCAAGAGGAACACCAAGACGAGCAGAAAGTCTTGGTTGAAATTTGTTCAACTTCATTCAGAGTTTGCACACCTGCCATATTTGGAACAGAATTGGTTTCATGTAATCTGTTGAATGTTCGAGTAAATGCTAGAATCTGCTAATTCTGGTAACATTCGGTTAGGAAACATTTGGATTACAGAAACCGTAACAAAACAGCATATTTTGCACGAGTCAATATAATAATAATAATAGAGTCAATATGCATTATCTGGTTGTATCTCAGTTACCTTAGGAACTTTTCTGCTTAAAATGAACAAATCTATAACATATTAAAAAGATGTTTATTTACCTCTAAAAATCTTGCAAAGGCTGGTTTCGATTGTTGAGCATTTTTAATAATTTCTCTTGCCCTCTTTGAATTGTTTATGTAATTGGCGTAGGCATCAACTACTTCAGGTTTAGAAAACTGAATAAAGATAGAATATAAGTAATTTGAGTTATAAATGAATAAAATTGAGTTATACCATGTCAAGAAAGACATCTCCGAGTTTTTGCTTTTTATCCCAATGGTCATGTCGTTTCTTAAGTTCGTCCAAAAAGAGTTGATGATGGGCCAAAATGGCAGGTACCTACAGGAAAGCTTTCGGGATATCCAAATGAATAACGAAGGTTGTAAAATTACCTGGAAGAAAATTTCGTCGACGAGAGAGGCATCGAGAAGGCCGGAGTTCTCTGGATTTTTGAGCGGTTCCAAGTATTTCTGTAACGTAAATATTGACGCGAGTGCGCGTCAATTTAATTCCTAATAGAAAAAGGATGATTTTAATGAAACACTCACCGTTACGAGAATCTGCAGCGACTCGACGTACGTCCTTTCGTTGTCATAAAGCTCGACAACCACGTGTGTCCTCGTATCCTGCAAAATAAACGATATTGGTTTTTGTGTTTTTCATTTCACGTCGCGATGACGACGGTGTCATTGTTGTTCACCAGGGGGTTCGTTCGGATGGTGGACACATAGTGGGCGTCATCTTCACTATCATCTACGGTCGTTGTACAGTTTTCAAGTTTTAGGCGCAAAGCGCGCCTTGCGCTAGACCCGCTCATTTAAACATAGCGAGTCACTCAGCTGCCACACCTTACAATCATGTCGCAGGATCGAAACGCTAAACAACCGACGCCTTGCGTCGACGCATTGCGTCCCGACGCCGAGGGACGTCGACGAACGGGGGCGCCGATTCGTTGCTACGCAACGCGAACTTTAAGAATTTCGAATGCTTTCCTTACGTTCCAATGCTACCAGAAATACCTTTCCTCATTCACTTCTCCAACAAATTTTTAAGATACAATTCATAAACGTTTCTTTTCTTTTTCATTTTAATACAAAAATTTATTTGATAAAATTAATTTTTTAAATAGATTTTTATTAATTTTAGTTCTACCGGTTTCGATTCATTTTAAAATCATCATCAGGAACACGTCATTTTGAATAAAGTATCGTTTATTATAAAAACCGTTAGTTTTGTTTTTTCGAACAAGTTGGTGGAATAAAAATATTTAGTTTAATTCAAAATGGCGTGTTCCTGAAGATGATTCTAAATGAATCGAAACCGGTAGAATTAAATTAAAATTTTTTTAATTTTAACCTTATAAATTGTTTTATGGTGTCTATAATATTGTTAATTGTGCGGTAAAACAAGAATTCGAGACAAAGGAAGTTGTCCGAGCTCTTAGAACCATTCGGCTGGCGCCGAAGTTTCTTAAATATTTGCTTTAATCATTACCACTTTCTCTGTATAATTACAGTGAAAACCAGTTTTATACTAAGAAACTGCTGTTGGGCGGGTTCTTGTTATGGAGTGTTTTGAATTAGCTCTGGGGCTAACGACCAGTTGATTATTGAAAATTGGGTTAAAACATTTTTTAAATTGAATTGAAATTTGTTTGTGTTATCATTTACTTACGTGATTGATTGCATTTTCATTGCGTTTACGCTAAAGTGACCTTGGTCTATAATAAGTTTTCTTGATTACTAACGCATAGTTAGAATTCTAATACACTTACTCTGAACTAAAACTGGGTTTTTATTGACACACTTTATCGATTATTAAAGAATTGGTAAAAAAAAATTACTTACATTATGCTTTTGTAATCCACTTTCCGATATTAATTGTTCAGAACTTCCTCTAAGAAGGCGATCAATTTCGTTGGTATTCTGGTCCGCGGATACAAGTCCTTCCAATTTGGAAGGACTTGATGTAGTCCTCTGGTGACTAATCACTAACTTTTGGTCTAATTCACTAAGTAAACTGGCATGGGTAGTTCCGGAATCTGCACTAACTTTTCTTTTTGAAACGACGGGTTTTCCAGGATGAGGTTGAGCAGACCTGGCACGTGTCGCACCCGGAGAAAGCTCCTCCAAAAATTTAAGATCGCTGTATTGATTTTTCCTCACTTCCGGCTTTTTCATCTCAGCTTCGAGCATCTGCCCATAAGGACCCCTTAAAGGTCGCTTGTAATATCGCCTAGGAACGTGCGGATCTAACCTGCTTTCCGAATCCGATACATCGGAAACGTTGAATTTATCCGATTTTCGATCGCTGGTTTGATCCGGTTCCGATTCCGAAAAAGAATCAACTCGAAGTAGGGTTTTTTTGGTGATTTTGAGTCGGTGAGGGTCGGGCCAATCGAGGGTTTGGCCATCATCTGGGCTGATGGGTTCGATGGATGTATCGTCGGGTATGGAGTCGTTGTTAATTTGCAGTTTGGGTATGTCGGATTCTTCTTGGAAAACCGCTTGGGGGATGGCGGATTCTTCTTCGTTGGGCCATTGGGAAATGTACATCCCTTTGCGGCGTTTGGATTTGTCTCGTTTTTTCTTCTTCTCGAATTCGTTTTCGGGTGGGATGGAGAGCGGTTGGGTTGGGTTGGGTTGGACGTCGAGGGTGGTTTGGCGATGTTTTGGTCTTGGGAGGGTGTATTCTGCGTGAGTTACGCAATCGGGATTGTTTTGGGTGCGTCTTCTTACGTATTTTTTGTCGTCGGCTGAGTAGTCGACTTGGGAGAAAGAAGCGCTTCGGATGGGGAGGGTGCAGGTTGGGATGAAGGTTGAGGATGTGGAGGAGGGTGAAGATTGTGTAGGGGAATTAGGGGTGTCGGAGGTATTTGGTGTGTCTGATGGGATTTGGGGCTCCGGGGGGGATTTGTTCGGTTGGGGGTGGTGTCTGGTGCGTGGCGGAGGGACGGGTACTCGCTTGAGGCGATCGGAGAGCTCGCGGAGGCGTTGCTCATTGTTGTTGTCCTTCTTGTCTCGCACTTTGCCGGCGTTGGTACCTCGGTTGCCGCCGAAGCGGAATCTCGGGAGCCGATCCAGGTTGGCAGGGTCCACAGTCTGAAGGTACCCGCACTCGCAAACGCGGGCATAAGCCGGAGGCCGGAAGCCGCGTCTCTTCAGCTGGTTCTTGATGAGGGCCTTAGTGGAGCATAACACTTGGTCGCACACTATCGCCCGCTCGGACAGCTCTGACGTAGCATCCTCGGCCATCCTCACTCTATTTACGCACCTAAATATATCGTTGCTATTAATAGGCGCGGCGTCCGCGGCAGTGTGCCAACAGCATCGGGAACGGTATCTCGGGCCCGCTCCCGGCGGAGGCGGCGACACGGCTCCCAGACGGATCCCGTAGCGCACGGATCCGACCGTCACGTACCTAAGCGCCATTCGAAAGAATTACTACTCTCTCGCGCGTTAAAACGGAGGACGTTTACTTACTTTTTCGTGGCGGCGCGCGTCGTTTCTTCCGACGACGTCCACGCACCGTCGCCGGTTTCGGACTCTGGGTCGTCGGACATTTGGACGGTTGAAGCCGCTTCGAGTGACGCCGAGGATCATCTCGGGTCTTGGGCCTCCGCTTCTGCCACCGTTTCCACCGCGGACATATTGGGGCCACGCGGCGCGGTACCACCGCTACAGCGCGTCGTGAAAACGTCGCGTACGTCTTCTTCGTCGTCCGTCGTAAGGCCGCGAACGGTCGGCCGCGCCCGAGGTTACAACGACCTATGCGGTTACCGTCTCACCACCGCGCCGCGCGCGGCGAACGGTGAGAGCCCCCGAAGAAATCGCGATCGTCCAAGGTGGGGGTAACCTCCTCCGCTTGTCCGCTAGTCAGCTTCTTCTTCACTCCTCCACTTCTTCTGACTTCTCCACGCTTCTCCGTTCACCGGTACCCGATACGCACCCGGTACACCCGATCTCTTGGTTCATCTTGGGTTTTATGGTGAATGGTGTGCACTATTTGAAATATCAGACGGACTCGTATGAGTACTACTCGTTTCGTTTTAAGGATTTTATTTGAGGATTTATCAAAAAAATTTATTTAATTAAATCATTTTTATTGACTTCCGAACTGATGACAATATAAATAATTAGACTTTTTTATAAATATTTAGCGAATAATTTGTGTCGTAACAATTTTGCTTAGTAACAATATCTCGAGGTTCTAGTACTTTGTCCATTTGTTAAATCCTATGTACAGTGACTTACTGCAGTGTTGTGTCGCCCTTGGATTTGGATCCTCTTTTTTTTTTAATCTGCATTGGTACATCAACATTGAAATATAATTATGTACATTTTACGTGTAACACTTAGCGAATACGAAAGTAAGTCGAACGCAAGTAGGAAGGTGAACGGAACCGATAAAGCTGAAGTTGTACTTTTTATTGATTAGAATTGGCTTGCGGCTATCGGCGAAGCCATTTCTAAGCGTGAGTTATACTTTTATTTTCGGACGGGTGACGTATTTACGTTCAATCACATCGAATGTGTAAAGTACAAAATGAAGGTTATCGCACGCGGTTTTTATCACGTACAAAAATGACAAATAACACGTGTCCTTGCTTCTACTCCCGCTCTTTGTCGCTACTGATGCTGTTGTCAAAGGTATGCATGTACAGGGTGGTTCATTTTACGTTATCTCGAACATTTTTTGACCTTGACCTTATTTTCAAGGTTATATGAAGGTCACGACCAATTTTTTAAATAATACTTTATATATTTTATTCTAAAATCTGAATCTGTGTATAAAAGTAAAATAATTAAAAAAAAAAAATTAAAAAATTAACTAACGTTTATAATCTAACAAAAACAAATAAGATTTATTTCCTACCCGCTTCGATACATTGTCTTTAATTCTTAGAATAATATTTAAGAATGCTCAACAAAAAAAATCCAGAAGAGTTTCAACGATCTTGGTCGGTTAATGTTTGGTGTGGCATAATTGGTGATAAATTGATCGGTGCATACTTTATTGATGGCTAATTGTAGATTTGAGCAGGGAACAAAAACAAAATATGTGGCTGCAAAATGACCACATTTTTCACATAGATCGAGATTATGCTTGATTTAACCTGATTTAACACTTCTTAATTTTGTTCCGCCAGAAAACATGAAAGAGCGTGTAAGAAATGCATGCAGAAATAGTAACCAAGAAAACCTTTTAAGATGTAAAGAAAGTTTTAGTAGAAGGATTAATAAATGTATTGAAGTGGTTGGGGAAATATTTGAACATTTATTATAAATTTTATACTTGTTGATTAATAGTATAGTTTAATAAATGATATTTAAAACTATTTGAATAAAAAAATTATTTAGATTTTGTCTACTTGTAATTTTTTTTAAATTATTTTACTTTTATCCATTTAAAAAAAATTGGTCGTGACCTTCAAATAACCTTGAAAATAAGTTTCTCCTTTCGCACTTTCATTTGGTTAATTTTTATGGACCACCTGTATACGCTTCAAACAGTTAAGATACCGTTCCCGAAAGGAAATGAGGAACGCAGCACGATATCGACCGTTCGAAATGATTCGTTGTTATGTTCTATAATGCAGTATTATTGTCAATAGGTGACACACACTTTTATGGAGAATGATCTTTCATATTTTCATTAATTTAAATTTTTTTAATAACTCATCAACGGATAACGTGATTAAGTAATAAGTCGATATCGCCAGCGAAGTAATGTAGATTTAATTTTCAAACATTTACCGACATAGGTTCGTTCTCTCAACAATGTAAATAAACTGTAACAAGTCATAAATTGTATCGTATATTTATAGACTATATATACTATATAAAAGCATCGTCAAGCACTTTGAATTGTGTTTAATAGAAAGCATTATAAACTTAAGCTATCGTATTAATAAATTGTATTTATATTCCCATTTATCCTTTTAACGTGACGGTGTAACGCCCTTTCCGTTTCAGAAGGAAGGAAAACGTTCGTTTTTTTATGTATGTATATAAAAAATACCCGAAGCGGAGTTCAGAAACGAAATTTTTCGAAAAATGATGGCGTGGCGTTACCTTGTAAATTCTCTGGGTTCCGTCTTTTGTACAACATACACGCGCTCCTATCACTTATAGTTTTAATATTCAGAGAACTCTGCATCTAATTATCACAATTATATCGCAAAAAAACCGTTTTACATCGAGCTCGCTTGTTCCGGCGACAGCTCTGAAGTGTTAGAAAATTTAAAATCCATAGGATTTGTAAACGCTCTTGTACAGTCCAATGCATTAGGAAACGGCCCGGCAAATTTGCACACGTACTGAGGTTTTTGGTACGAATCTGAACCGTATTGTGCCCTATTCAAAGGTTGTCGAAGCGCTACATCGTTGAGCAGTCTATTAAGATATATATTTACATCTAATGCATCACTTTGGTTGTCGTCCAGGACTGTATTTTTTTTTTGTTCTAAAATATTGGTATAGTACTACGTTTTTATCCTATTAGAATTTTTTTCTTGTGCGATTCTGATTCTCACGAACGAAAACTAAACGAGAGATGACGCGCCTTTATTATTATTTAAACTCTTTATCCACGTTGGCTGGTGACGAGAGAAAGTTTACATCGGTGCAAGTACAAGCAAATATTATTAGTATTTATTATTATAGTTTCATTAGTGTTCCCCGAAATTTTTGAATCATAATAGTGACTATTAAAGGTATTTCTTTTTTCTCAAGTTTTTACGTTACCAAGCGACGATTTTATATGTAGTTATTTCTGTTTCAAAAAATAAGGCGTTGCATTGTATTAGATGTCAGCGATGGGACCCGCATTTATTGAAATACTCGTCGTTATGGTTCTCTCAATATTTCTGTAACAAAAAATTTCATTTTTTTAATAAACTAATTAAATATTAAGATATATATGTATATTAAGGCAACCTCAAAAATATTTATTTTATACCAGTGTATAGCGCCACCTAGTTTTTTGGTTTGAAATGTCTTAAATTGCTACCATACTATTCAGAGGGAAATTAAAATTGTGTTATTTCAAAAAATGTTATTAATAAAAGTTGTGCGTAATTTAATTCTAAACAAATATTGTAAATAAAAAAATTGGGTATCATAAATAATTATTAAGATAACCTCAAAAATATTCATTTTTATACCAGTATATAGCACCACCTGGTGGAGATATCACGAAATTTTATTAAAATATTCGATTTGAAATCTCATTATAAACAAATATTATATGAAACACTTTTCGATAAATATAATAATTTGGTTTGCAATATTTTTCACAGGGAAATAAAAATTGTGTTATTTCAAAAAATGTTATTAATAAAAGTTGTGCGTAATTTAATTTTAAACAAATATTGTAAATAAAAAAATTTGGTATCATAAATAATTATTAAGATAACCTCAAAAATATTGTGAAGGATATAAATATTCCTTCCACCAATAGACTCGACACGGAAAGAGAAATAAACTTTTTCTGTAAATTGTTTCCGTGCAAAATCGCTTCAGAATAATGTATCCTTCAACCGTATAATGCTCTGATCGAGAAGAAAGTTTTATTTATTAAAAATTTGTTTATATACGACGTACCCTTGTATGGAGATTGAATTGACAACTCCGTCCGCCAAACTTTCCCTGCTGATTTCATCAGCCATAGCGACGACAAAATTGTGACCAAATCCAGCAATGTCTTCGCGAAAAGCTTCACTGGCAGGAGTAAGTACGCCACTAGCAGGTTGGAGAACGGTTTCCTGCACACTTTCGCCTTCGACGTCCATCTCTTCTGCGTTGTTTTTAAGCGGCGTTTTCTCGTCGTCGTCATTGTAGATCTTGAAGTACGCGAAGGTCAGGTAGATGACGGACAATATAAAGGACGGGATCGGAATTGCCATCGCGTACACTAGGTTCATGTACACTTGCCACATGTCCAGGTCGGTGATTACCAGGCCCGGATCGACCCTGCTGTAGTAGCAGGAAAAGTTCGTACCCAAGTCTTGGTACCGCTGGTAAAAGATGCTACAATTTAGCATCGGTGGGTATCCGCAGCCTTTTACATTTGGAAAAAGCTTGGCTCCCGTGTAATACCATTCGGAGCTGTCACCCATCAATCCCGTAGGCTCCACCTCATTAGGGTAGTCTTCTTCATCCTCTTTCCTATTAAATAATAAAAAAATTGTAAATATTCGTTAAAACAAAAAAGAGTTGTTTACAGATTTTCGTTAGAGGTCAATGGTGACCTATTGATTGCAATGAATTTTATATGCAGAGAAATTTTTGTGGACAAAGAAAACTATAAATTTTTTGTTTGGAAACAAAACGGAAATAGAATTCAAGGAAACCTTTAATAGTTTTAACCTTACCAAACGACATTATTTCCTAAATTAATAATTAATAAATGTACTAAATGTGTGATATTTTCGCAAAGTGTGTCAACAAGTAAATGAATTCAAAATGAAGTTGTTATTGTCGAAATGAACGATCTTTATGAAATGACTTAATGAGGTCGGAAGGGCATCTGCAGTAGAGGTATTTTCCTGCGGAATGTTGATAACGAGCGGTGACCTGATTTCAGAAATAACTGGCACACTCGTGAAAGCAAAGAAACGTATCCGTAAATGGATCATCAAAGTTTGTAAAGAGTAAATTTACATGTAATCGTAGTCATCCCTGAGGAGGGATCTTTCTTCCCTGGCTGAGGTAAATTCCGTGGTGGACGTCACGCCGGTTGAGTTCTCGGTGACGTTTCTTTTGTAGTTAACACGGAGTTGGCTGCAGGTGTAAATCTCCTTGGTGCAGCCTTCCCTGCACGAGGTCCAGGTGCAGTTGGAGGCACCCTGTCGTTTCTCGTTATCAACTGTCACGCACAGTGCCGGCGTTTCGTCGAACTCCATGAAGATAGTGGTAAACGCGGGATCGATGACGAAAGGCACGAGGAATAAGAAAGAGAACAAACTGAACGTCCCGAGCAGTACGAAGAAGGCGGTGATGTAGAAGAGGAGCTTTTGCTTCCAAGTTTGCTTGTTAGCTTGCTCACCCATCGTTGCGGCGCGAGCGGTCCCTTAATCTTGCACCCCACCATCTGATAGCGTGAACACCTTTACATAGTCAGAAGCGTCCTCGCGCACCGTCTTTCGAAAATAGGTTCACCCGAGTCAACCGACTGTCGCTTGACATACTATTCAGGGATACTGCAGTCAGAGACTGGTGGGTTAGAGGTTATCGATTTTGACGAAGGCTTACGCCAGATGTCTCCCGCTGACCGCGCTTTACGTCAAACGGCGGCGCCTGGCAATTATCAAACCTTCTGTAACGACTATCACAATCAGAGGTAAGTACTCGCGGAGCGATGAAATCGCATCGATGACGGTTTGTGGTGGCGTTTCGCGAATTTTTTAATCACGATTTTCTACACTTTGTTAAACGTTGGAACGCGCAATATTGATTTCGAAACCGCAGTGTTATTGATTACCCCGGCGGAGTAACGACGAGGGTCGTTGGCGGCGGTGGCGGTGGTGGTTGTGACGTATGCAGCGACACCGTCGCATATTTTCGCTAGTCCTCCTGGTCGCGCTACTCCTCCAGCTTTCGCGAAATGCCCAAAAAGAAACCAATTCCAGTGGAGGACCTCATAATACCACCTCAAGACGGTAGGATATGCGGTACGATATGCCTGTGTCAGATGACGCTCGTTTTAAGTAGCGTGGCGATCGTTTATCTGACCGTGGCCATCTACGTACCCTCATCTCGTGCCCTACAATCGGGAATTACCGAAGATCCCGTCATGTGCACGACCACGAGAGCCGTCATCGTCGAAAACTGCGACTGGGGATCCTGTGGTGAGTGGTGTTTGAGCAAAACGTCCGGTTCCTGCATGCAGATATATGTCAATCTGCGCCACAACGGTTCCTCTTTGTTGTTGGCTAATTGCACGAATACCGCGAATAAAACTTGCTACGGAATCGACCAGGAGAACGCGAAAAGAAGTCGTTGCATAGCGGATGAGTGCAAGAACCTCACCGGAACATTCAATTGCACCACGGGAACGTGCATCAACATAACAGATGCTTTCGAGTGCATTTTTACAGAAACCGATCCGGCGCTTAAATGTTCCGGCAGAAGAGGTAAGATAACTTGCATAGATCTCGACGGTTTATACAATTGTAAAAGAGGAACTTGCGAAAGAATCAGAATACCCTACAATTGCGATAGACGATGCGTAGACATCCCAACGAGAAATAAAAACGTTATACTCTTAAGCGGGGATAAGGTTTATTTATCTCAATGTCAGAGAGCGCTAGAATTAGAAACGGAAGAAGAAATATGGAACCAATCACAAGACAACATCATGATGACGTCATGTTACAGCATCATGAATACCACCAAGGGTGTTGTCGCTGTAGACTGCGTAAATGGTTCTCTTTTAGCAAACAACGTCCTAAGCGATCTTACCAACTTTACGTATCTCAGCTATTTGAGCGTTTTTAGCACGATACCACTCGACGAAAAAAGAAAAATCGCTCCTCCCGAACCGGATTTGCTCATCGCCAACGAAAGTCGTTTACTCATTAACCTCGAGGGTTGCGTTAATACCCTTCGAGATGAATGTAAGGAGTTCCTGCGGGTTTATGGGAAGGATGGGACCGACCATAACGCTCGCGCCCGCTTCCCATGCTTCTATTCAGCTGAAAACACTGATATCGTCGTCGCACGTTTCGATCTCGCCACCACAACCAAACAATTCTTGGTCGCTTTCGTACTGCCATCCGTTCTGTTCGTTGTCTCGTGCCTTACGCTTATTTTATGTCAACGCACCGTAGTTGTTGGTGATGATGCCAAAATGCGGTTTCAGGGATGCACTGATGCTCAAATTGAATTCGAAAAAAGTACTTCGGCCAATAATATGGCAGATAGAGGAGAAAACTCAATAATGGCATTGTAAAAAAAAGTAAGCTTTTATTGTTTTTGTTCTTCTTTGTGTTTGTGTTGACTTAGATTTAAATTTTTATATTGTTTCAGATTTTAAAAAAATAATTCTTTTTACATTGTCAAGTTCTGAAGCTTCTAATTAAGAACCAAAAAAATGGATAAAAACGTACCTAAATTGATATCGATCGTCGAGACTGCAAAGTTCTACGCATCACTATGCCTTGGAACTGTGGCCTTCGTTTCCGTCTTCGCCTTCCTGTTCCTAATTCCATTTGTCGTTGACCCCGCCATCTCCAGTTTGATGGCGAATTACGAAACCGAGGCCGTTACATGCGTCGCGACGCACCATATTTATGCCGAAGGACTCAGGAATTGTTCTTGGGCTTCTTGTAGAGAAGGCTGCACCAGCCAAGTCACCAAGTGCCACCAAATTTTGGTGAATTACTCACGGTTACCGTTCCGCGAATACAAATCCAAAGCTATCTTAGATTGGGACGTTGCCCATACTAGACTTTTAGTAAACGCCGAAGGTTGTGGATATCCACCGAGTGTAAATTGTACCGAATTTGCTCAGCAATATGGATATGAAAGTGCTGGGACTCCCTTTCCTTGTTATTACAGCAAAGTTTATCCAGATACAGTAGTGGCTAGATATTCGTGGGATGACACCTTGAGACAGCTCATTCTTTCTATAGCAATACCTAATTTACTTTTTGCAACATCAATAGCAATTTTAAGTTACTGGTACTGTCCGGGATGTGGACGTACTTGTAACAAATACATGCATCATTTTCCACATGTGTGAGTAATCTTAATTCTTTTTTAACTAAAATCGGAAAGATAACTTAAATTAATTATTATTAATTCGTTTTAGAGATGAAGAAGACGACGACGAGGTCTACTGACGGTTACAGAACTTTCTGAAAACTTAGCGCTACACCAAGCTTCGGCGATACGACGCGGACTTCCAGTTAGAGACTTAGTGGTGCAAAGATCTTCGCAAACTAAAACGGTTTCCTCGCACAATTCTAGTTCGCTACTCGCAAAAAATTTAAAATAAACAAATTCGCCATTCGTTACTTTTCCAAAACGTTTTCGACGATCGAGGACTAAACGCGTAGTGAATCGGAAAAGTAATACGAGAAACGTTGTACAAATTTAATCTTTATCATAGTTCTAGTCGATTATGTTAGTTTATAGTTATAATCAATAATTAATTAATAATTATACTCGACTTTAATCTTCAAATGTTGTTACGAATGACACTGCAATAAAAAGTTCTTTCTTTTTATCGAAATTATTTGTTTTATTTCTTTTTTTATTCCTAAACTAAATTATATAAAATTTATATATAAATATATTATGGAAAAGAATGAAAAATTAAATAGACGTAGGAAGGATAAAGGGACATGCGCTTAGTTGACGATTGCGTGAATAAGATTCATCAATACAGTTCCAACATGACGGTTCCCAGAGTTCTGTCAATTCTCAGCATTCTGTGCCTTACGTAAGATGGGGCGCCGTAATAAATGTAAACCGCGGATGATTCCGCAACAAGATAAAAGAATTTGTGGAAGCATCTGTTTTTGCCAGTTAATAGTCGTTTTTAGCAGCGTCTCGTTGATTTATCTGACAGTCGCCATCTACATCCCTTCATACAGGGCTTTTCATTCCGGATACGAGGAGGTGCCAGTAATGTGTCAAACAGTAAATACAAGTATGATCAACAATTGTAGCTGGGCGTCGTGCGGGGAATGGTGTTTGACGAAAACCTCTGGATTTTGTCCGCAAATTCAGGTGACAACGAGACGAAATGGAACTGAGTTGATTTTGGAAGGGTGTACAAATTTTATTTCGGTTTCATGCCCTGAGGCGAACGTAGGGAAATTAAAAAAATATAATTGTAATAACGGCACGGAATGTAAGACACTCTACGGCGTTTTTAATTGTTCTTTGGGACACTGCACGAATATGTCTCAAGTTTATCAGTGTCATTATAAAGCTGATGGGTTCGTGGTTGATTCAGATAAAGATAACACTAAATTAAACGGATTTTTCGAGTGCAAAGGAGCAAAATGCACGAAAATCAAACGTGCGTTTAGTTGCGACAGATATTGCGATACGATTTACAGCTCTCTCAAAAATGTTATTATATCCGTTGATAACACACTTCATTTAGCTTATTGTGGAAGTGTTATAGCCACCACAATGGCTAATGGACGAGAAGAAGGAAAAGTTATTCCTCCAAAAACAATTTGGAGAGAAACTAAAAATGATATTCTTATGATGTCTTGCTTCAAAGCTGTTTATTATAATAATGGAACCAATGGAATAATTAAGTAATACGAAATTTTCAACGCAATATTTTTATTATTTATTCTTTTTATTGCAGTGCATCTGATTGCATTAACGGGACCATTTACAACGCGATAGACGTTCCAAAACCGTCAATGAACTTTACCACGTTCTGGAATTTACAAAAGAAATGGCGTGAATCACTCGACCCCGAGCAAAATTTTATACCGATGCAATCGCATCTTACCATTTACAATAGTTCACACCTTTATATTAACCTCGATGGTTGCGTCAACACGTTAAAAGGCGAATGCCGCCAGTTTTTACACACGCACGGTAAAGACGGCAGAAATCAAACTGCACAATCCAGATTCCACTGCTTTCATAATAAGGTAACTTAATACTTGTAAATACACAAAAAAATACGCTGCTTCTTTTAATTTTATTTTGGTATATTTCATGAATCAAATAATTTTCAGAACAGTTCTTTTATGGTAGTAGCACGATATGATTTGCAAAAAACATGGAAGGAGCTAGTGATAGCTATTAGTATTCCAACAGTATTGTTTGCAGTCTCATTTATAACGCTATGCGTGATCATGCAGTCTGTCAAGGTAGGTGATGACACAAAAATGCGGTGCCAGTACTGTTTGGTGAGTGACAAATCCGAATTGAATCTAAGCAAATACGAAGTTAGCGAAAGGGAATCCGATAGACCAAATCATATGGAAGGATGAAAACGACTCTGTCTCTAATCGACTCAATGTGCAAAAAAAAATTTAAAAAATATACCGTACTCGTGACATGTATGTAAAAACGTGTACTATATTTTAAAACGTGCCTTTTGTGTGCCTGAAAATATGATTATATACATTAAATAATCTATCCCCGCATATTCTGTTAAGACTTTACATGTTTACATACGTTGTCTACTTCTCGAAATTGCAAATGCGCCTTGGTGTGAACGTTTACAAGATCGATGTTGTATCTGTCAATCAATGTATCGCTTCAATGTATTCTAAATACTCTCGTTTAACTATAACTTATTATTATACAGGGTCTAAAGAAATTTTTGTTCACTATAAAAATATATCAACTTGGCATCAAGTTACCTCTTATCAAGTTTTTGAAGTCTCATAGATAACATCGTTTTTGCAAATAGATTTAATAATAAATCTTAAGAGAATCAATGAAATCCAATCATGTTAATTTGACAATCATGTTAACAGAGAGAAAGAATATACGTACAGATATGTTTCAAACTCAAAGTAACAAGGAGACGCTTCAAAAACTCACAATTTTAAAGTTAATTTCCCCAATTAAATAATTTAATAAAAGGATACAACGATTTCTCCATTATTACAATCTTTTAAGTTACATACAAATTTTGTTGAAGAATTTAACTCCAATTCTAAATTGGTAAGTCAATACGAATTTTTGTAGAGAACAAGAGTTTCTGAAGACCCTTTATTATACGAAAATCGTTCAACGGCACAAAATTTAACGAATTTCAATGAACAATGGGGCCCTACGTACAGAACGAACACAAATGTAATTTTATATGTATGTCTATTATAAAAAAACTCATAATAAATAAAACAAGGTGGTTTACAAAAAACAGTTTTTTTTTGTGAGATTAATTAAAATAATTTATCAGCTTTCGTACGCTCCATAAATACATAAATTCTTAATAGAGGCATCTATGACTAATACTTCAAGTAAATTTACTAATCATATCAACTTCATATGAAGCCTACATCATCAAATCGCCAAACAGTTTGAAGCAGCTCTCCATACAGATCTTAATCTGTATCAAGTTTTTGAAGTCTCCATCAATTCTTTCAAATCTTCTCTGTAATTGTAGTTTGATAACATCTTTTTTGCCAAAGCATGGCAAAAAAGATTTAATAATAAATCTTAAGAGAATCAATTGGCAGAAATGAAATCCAATCATTTTAATTTGACAATCATGTTAACAAAGAGAAAGAATATACGTATAGAGATGTTCCAACCTCACAATGAAGAACCACTACATGACAACCCACAACAAAGAAGTACCAAGGAGGCTTCCAAAACTCACAATTTTACAGTTAATTTCAAATTTTTACATCCTGAAATCATTTATAATGATAAGGTGAATATTAATAGATGTATAATTACAAACTTTTATTTGCAATGTTTTAAGTTACATACATTTTTTGAAATTATAGCTCCAATTTTAAATTGGTAAGTCAATACATACCTTTTATTATACAAAAATAATATCTATTATAAAAAAACTCATACAATAAATAAAACAAGGAGGTTTACAAAAAACAGTATTTTTTTGTGAGATTAATTAAAATAATTTGTCAGCTTTCCAGCTTTCGTACTCTCCATAAACACATAAACTCTTAATAGAGACATCTATAACTAATAATTCAAGTAAATTTACTAATTCCTCTTTAACTTTTTTGTATAAAGCTTTGTTGTTCGCACATTGAGTGGAATTCAATCGAAACCCAACATTCTTTAAAGAATCGCCTACTTTCTTTTCAACAATATTTTTTACTGCAAGAAGTTCCACTACTGTTAATCCACAATTAGTTTCCTTTATATATTGTTCCATTAAACTCTTTTCATTGTCCTTGGTTTTCGAGGGAATTGATTTACAATGTTTTATGTTATTTGTATTTACATTATCTAAAGTATTATCTGCACATTTAGAGTTACTTGCCATTAAAGTATTACAAAAATGGCATACAGTAGATGTATCCATTCTTTTACAAATACCAACCCAACGTTGACTCATTTCTAGAATAGAATTTTTTTTCACCATTAACTCATCTTCATCATCACTTTCACTCGAATCGGTATCATCATTGTCATCAAATTGTTCTGCCAAATTATCGAATTGTATAGATGTATCTTCATCAAAACATTGGGAATATTTCCAAATAACGTTATTCCATTGTGTTTGTCTCGATTGAGAAAGATTATTTTGAAGCTCCAACACTGTTTGTTCGTTGTCTAATTCCGTGGTGAGTTCTAAACGTGACATTTTTTGGTTTATTCTTATTCTTAATATTATAGTGATGCCGTTTCGTAAAGTTTGATTGATCTGTAAACACGCGTGGTAAAAACCGTTACTTATTCTTTAAAAATTTCTATGCTATCGCCATCTAGTATTGAAAGTGGCCTCAATTTGCGTGAAGACACCTTTAATCAACGTATTAATTAACGATAGAGGGCACTACTATACCCAATTCCCTATTTTGTTTAAAATCTCTAATTATTTATTAACAAATCATGAATAAAAATGGGATTTATTTTTAATTCGTATTATATACAAATATTCTTATAGAGTGAACTAAATTAACTTTGGCAATAGAATTCTTTTTTAATAGTTAAAGTAATTCTACCATGATGTTACCATATAAACTTTTACTTAAACAAAAATGCTTGATTAATATGTTGTGCGTTTATAATTAAGATAAAATTTTATTTTAATTTTAATTCGAATTACATAATTGAACTTGTAGCTAAAACGACATCTCTTATTCAAACGCAAGACTAAACCAAAATGTTTATATCGTTCCCTTAAATGTCTGAAGATGCAGAACTCAACCCGAAACTTTCTAATTTTAATTGTTATTCACTAGACCTAAAACTAGAAACATTCGGGTTTAGCCGTCTTAAAAGACGATCAATATTTGGTGTGTTTAATAAAATAATTAAAAAAATTAAATTTAAATATGACATTTATTATTGTTATTGATATAATAGTACGTAATATGTATATCTACAGAAAATGTACAATATTTTTTTTATTATACAACAATGATTTGATTTAATATAATTTAAATAACTACTATACACAAAAAAAATAAAATCGGGTTTTTAAATATGTTACATTTAAATAATTACAATAAAATAATTAACAATGTGAGGTTTCTAAAATATGTTCTAAGTGAATTCTCAATTTATTTTAGTTCAAAGAACATCACATCGATAGGTTGGTTATTAGTTCATACACTAAGCTATATAGGCTCCGTTTTATTTTTTTATTTTTCGTAATCTACTCGTCTATGTATATTTCTCGTGTCGTATGAGATCGTGAGAGAATGAGAAATGAAAGCTAGTGCGATAGTCGAATAGATACAGTAAGTTTGTGTTACATGTCCATTTAATGTTAAAATTCGTTAGTGTGAGTTAATACCGTTTATAAATGACGGGATCGACGTCTTAATATTGGATTATTATTAACCGTTTAAAATGCAAGTATTGAGTAGAACAGTTTACATCAATTATATCAGAACATTACATAAATATACGTCGTAAATCTGATGGCGATGTAATCATACTGCATTGTGGACACACTTTTTTACTTCCCTAAAAAAAAATGATTTAAAATTTATTTTAAAAGTAAAAAAATAATGCTCACCAAAGTATGTAACCAACACTCTTCACAGTGTACATGCCAACATACCGTTGAAATAACTGGTTTTTTGTAATGTTCCTAAAATGAATAAATATTGCAAAAAGTGTCCAAAAAGAAAGTTAAGAAACTAACCAAACAAATCAAACATTTATAGTCCTCGACAACGTCGCCAGCGTTCGGATCCCCGGATCCTTCGGCTTCCAGCTGGCGAATCCTGTTCTTCAACTCTTCAATCAACTGGGCACGGCTACTCGGTTCTGCGTCGGATGTGCTGACGTTGCTGTCGCACTGCTGACCGCTTTCGACTTTCACCTCTACGTCGCCGCTCGAGTTAACGGTGGCCACCTGCGACTGGCCCTTTTCCTTTTGCTTTTCCTGCGAACTCTTGATCACCACGTCCGATTCGGTATACTGGGATGGGCCAAATGAAGACTCCTCCTGCTCGTCCCCATCAACAATCACATCATCACCTTCCGCATCCGTGCTAATTCTTCCACTGCTGCTTGGTGTTGTTCCCGCCGTTATTAACGCGTTTGTTCGTCTACGTTGACCTTCACTCCATTCTTCAAATTCCGAATCACCTTCTACGTCCACCGTTTCATCTTCATCGTTGATATTCTAATATTTTTGTTTTAATTAAAATTTATATTAATTTACTTTATTTTATTTTACCTTTCGATTGCATTGTTCTTCGTGGAACGCCATATCTTCTGGAGATCTATTAACACGTTCGTTGCAAACGGGACAATCTTCATTCTTCCTTTTTTTGATTTTGATTCTAAGCCTACCTTGTCTATTGATTTTTATCCTTTGAAACGTCTTGCAAATTAAAAAAGGATTATTAAAATGAATGAATAATTAAATAAATGGGTACCTCCCAACGTCCTTCCGGTCCAGTATCGCCTGGAAGAGCTGGAGGTCTGGTTAGATCTGCTTTTCTTTTTCTGCCTGCAATAATGCCGGATCCGCATAGTTTGTATAAACGTTCGAGTTCGTGCATTAGATGAATCTGGAGGTCGCCAGGTGCAATGGTCAGTCCACAGACTGGACAACTGGAGGGGTCGCGCTTCCGCTTGTTACCTGTAACGTCTTCAAAAGAAACAGGTGTGAGAAAGGATAGACGATCGTGTGCGGAAACTGTTGAGGTTAATTCGCGGGATGGCAGAGATCGTTGTGGAATGCTGATATGAACGCAGGGCCACGGAACCGTGCATAATGCCTTCGCGTCCACGCCAATTATCAAAGAGCGGCGTTTTTGTTTGTGGCTTGGGTCGGGGATGCATAATATTTAATATCGCCGCCATTGCACTAGCCATAAATGTGCGGCAAATGTCTTAGAATAAAGTCGGGTGTTATTGTTTCCGGTAGACCGGGTAGATGGGGTTTCGCTGGCCTCGCAATGGAAACGGGGGATCCTCATCCTACTCGGCATGCTCGATTTGCAACCCCAGACCAAACACTATAACCATTATTTACGGTCACATATTTCCACATTCGCACATACTTATTGTAACTATCACCTATATTTCAGCGGGGTCCGTTGGAAAAATCTACATTTTATTACGTCGAAACGAGCGCCTCCAAACGCACGCGTCGTGGCCGTCGACGAGCAGATAGCGATTTTAAGTCCCTTCACAAAACAAGATATTAGGAAAGTTTGGATCCTCTCCGACGCACCGGGTATCCTTCGCTATTAAAACTCGATATAACAGTTCGCCTACACGAATGACAAAATCACCAACGGTCACCACAAAAACCCGACGGACCCACTAAAGGGATTACATTTTATTATAAGTCTTATCGAACACCAGAACCCAAATCTATCACGTATTATTTATTTTACCGAAGAAGATAATATAAGTAAGTTAATATAGGAATAATTAAGCAATTAACGTAATACGTAAATGTTATGAAGGGGTAATAATCCGATTGTCGAGTGAGCGTGTCCCTAGCTCTGGCAAATATGCACGTGAAATCCTGACCAAACATTTCAATAATACCGCAATAACCCCGACCAATTTCAATTTACCAATTAGCACCTGCCAGTAACACTAGCATATAAACACGGCGTAGGGTTACGAGAAATTTATATTGAACTTGATGTTTCCGAGTGATTCCACTAATTTCTTAGGGACTCTGAATTCCTTAATTGTATTTGGAGAGCGGAGAACCGGAATTGATCGATTTACGATAGGTAGAATGGAAACGGATCGTTTCGGGTTTTCTTTCGATTGCAAAGGATTCGATTTGGAGGCTAATAAAAAGCAAACGAGATTAAACGGGTTGTATTTTTTAAAAGTTTGCGTGCAAAGTCAAAGTGAGACACTTATCGTGTAGTGGGTAACACAATACGGGTTCGGAGCGTACAAGCTTTAGGGCAGAATATGTCAATTTATTCAAGCTTTTTATACGTTTTTGCAAGAACGATCAAAAGAAGGTCGCCCTCGCCTTATTTAGCCTAATAAAGCAATCAGACGGGCGCGCTTTTCCTCGTTTTTTTCATTAAGCCCCCGTGCGCTAAGTAAGTGACGGCATAAAGATAATGTATTCCCCTCCCTCACGACGAGGAATAGTTGACGCGATCTTAAGCCGCGGAATTAATAGCCCGAAATTAACCCTTCCACTAATTTTGAGGGGCTATAAATTTGAAACCTTCATTTGTGGCCTTCAATGGTGGATGTAACAGATGTTACGGAACGTTTTGAGGCAGTCTGCAACAATTACTGTTCGTCGCTACCGCAGCACCCCCTTTAGCGGTTTTCGCAAATCTTCGACTAAACCGATTCTCCCCCAAAATCAAAATCATTTTAAAACCATAAAATCATAAAATCAGAAAGTTTCACCAAATGAGATTCGTTTGACCGACGTAATTTCCGACCCGCATATTAATAGGACAAAGTATCACGACGAATTTTCATTTTATTTTGTGAAAAGTATTTCATGAAAATTTATTGAAGCCAAAATTTATTACAAACTATATACTTTCTTTTTAATTAATAAATTCAGTCAATATAGATAAATAGAATTTATCTTGCAAAATATGTTTGAGTGGGGCTACATAAAAAAATTTACTCACACTTTAACTGTCGCTAACACGCTGCCTTTTTGTTTTGCAGGTGTAATTAATTAATCACAGCATGGCGGGAAATCAACTTAGTTTGGAAGAGAGGAAATTTGTCGTGAAATGTTATTGGAAGACCGAAAACGTCATTGAAGTGCAAAGACGATTCAGAAGGGAATTCGCAAAATCGCCACCAACGCGACAAAGACAAATTTGAAGCAGATCGAACCGCCCAGAACGTCAACAAGAAACGTTTTGGACTACCACGGACATCCACAAAGCTTTGGAAAAGAAGAGCAGGTGCAGGAAACACTTCTTCGACCACCACAGAAATCTTTTCGACAAACTGCTCAAAAGTCTGCACTGGAAATGTTACATGCCAACTGTAATCCATGCTCTCAACGAAGATGATCCTGATCGGAGAGTTCAATTCTGTGAAGATGTAGAGTAACAGTGTGGTGTAAGATATCCGCATTGAACATCATAGGACCAACTTGCTTCAGGAGTTAGTCGGTCCATAAATTTCAGATAAGTTTGGTGATGACGACGAGATTTACTTTCAGCAAGATCTTCCATCACCTTCGTTTTGTCTGCGTTATCAGCGTTGTCTGGACAATAATGGCCATCAATTTGCGAACATGATTCATCAATTACATTTGTCTTCTGTATTCGAAGTTATTCCATTTCATTCCATTCGAAGTGTGAGTAAATTTTTTTGATATACCCTGTATATATATAATTTTATATTAATAATATGTTTTCATAAAAGTAGTTTGTGAAATGGTTAACAAAAAAAAAAAGTTTGGGTAGTTGGATAAATAATCTGGGGTCGAATTTGCATGGGGTAAGGTTGCCGTTTAGGTAAACGAATAGGCCGAGGAGGAGTTTGGTAGATGTCAATCCTGCTAATGATACGTCCGACCGCAGTAAATTACTCCAGCAGCGGAGGGAGCGGGGTTTTACTGACTTGTGCCATATGGCGTTCATGAGAGTTAGTTTTCCCGTTTGTAATATGCCTAATGACGTACGCACGCGTTGCAGCGACGGCGAGTGACTATAACAGTGGTGCGCCCCGACGCCTACTGAATGAAAACGCTACTTTTCCGGTGGTTTCCGAAAAAGGGGCACCATAATGAGGGCTCCGATAACGTCCGCGTTTTCTTCGCATCGATTTTCTCATCGAAAAAGGGGATTGAAAAACAAATGCCTTCCCCGATTTTCCAGCTGAATACTTAGTTATTAATTCGCTGCCATAAAAAATATCGGTACCGGATTTAATTTTGAATTAACACCATCTTTAAACGTTTGAGACACCTAAAAATAACATCGTAAAATTGCCGTTTTTGGATACATCCCAAAATCGATTTAAAACGTTTCGTATAAATTAGTAGGGACGTAGGTGTTTCGAGGTGTAAAGTGGAGTTACGCCCCAGGATCAGGAAAGGATCGGTTGAAACCCGGAACCGTGAAACCCAGCTACAGCATAGCGATCGCTGTCTTAACGCGGGCATATTTACAGGTCGGACGGTGTAAATTTCGGTGATGACTTGAGCCCAGTTCATCCCCTTTTAGCCGGTGCTGATTTACGAACGGTTCCCGGCAGAAGCAAGCAATTAACAAGGTTAGCTGGGCTAATCCCATGAATGATGTCCGCATAGTGACGGATTGGGGCCCGCAGGTGTGGCGCGGATCAGGTCCCATCATGCGGGTGCCCCGCGAAACCCCCCAAAACTCTCCCCCTATCGCCGAACGCTACAAATCCGCTACTATTAACATGACAAATTCTAATATATTTCAACGGATTTTACGCTACTTTTCTTCTGTTTGTCTTTACGTCCTTTCTCAACACCGTTAAAAGAATTAGGCCTATTTTTCAACTTCTCAACACCCCTCCAACCATACTATTTTACTTCTAACATTTCTATAAGTAAAACTTGAACATCTTTTATTTTTCTTTTATACAGGAATGAGGATTAATAGAAGTCAATAGAGGGCGCTATTTTTGAAATTAAAATTATATAATTTTTTAATTATATTTTTTGATTGTGTGAAATTAATTTACTAACCGATGATACTAACGACGAAGTAAAACGGTGGCCGTTTTGTGTAGTACTTGCGTAATAGTAATTATTGTTTTATTAATTAATTGTATAGTTTTATTATAGCATTCGAGGTCTTGTGTTAGTTCTAGTTTTAGTTGTTATTCAGTATTAGATTGTTGTGTATTTTTCATTGTACTAAAAGTGTCATATTACAAAGTGTCAAAAAGCAAGTGACCGTAAGTTAGTGTAAAAATAAAATAATCAGAGTATATCTGTTTATATGTACTAAATTCGGTAGCACACCTGTTTTCGTTTATTTAATATCGATTACAACGCATTAATCTCGCCGGTAAAAGTTATTTGACAGATATAAGATTGAGCTCGGCACGCCATATGCTGCCTCCGTGTGTGCTACCTGTTTAATTAATCCCGTTATCCTAAACAACAGCGTAAAAAAAATAATCGCAATTTGCATACAGAATAACCCTACATTATTTAGTAATTACTCGGGCATTTTCCGAGTGATAGCGCGACGGGTTTTTTATCTTCGTTATCGGTCGCGTACATATGTCCATAGTAAATTAATAATGTATCGGTTAGGTATTAAGGGCGTCGATTTATCCGGCGAAGAGGGGGGAAGGTCTCTAAAAAGGCAATTACTCGTTCGTTTCACGGTGCCGGGATTAAAACGGCTCGCCCTTTTTAGACGGAGTCTCAAAGACGATGTTTACGCCAGATTTCATTAATTAATTCAGGTGCCTCTTGGGCTCATTTCGTAATCCCCCGTGCGGTTATTACTTTGTAAGTATAATAACAGTAACACTACTTGACAATTTGAAAATTAATATCTTCATAAAATGCCCCTTGCTGGGCGCAGGGCCCAGGCTATATTATATTTGGGACGCCACCTACACGGGGACGCACTTAACCTTCTCTTATGAGGCCATTTTTCCTGCTTTTCATTACAACGACAATTATATGAATTG